AGTGGGTGGGGGGGGGTGTTAAGTTAATAATTCACTGAAGAAAAAATAAACATGAAGATTACTGCAGGAATAGAAGAATAGAGAAAAGCAAGAAGCAAAAAAAAATTTTAAATATGTGATGACAAGAAAAATAAAATTAGTTGCACAACAGGTGGAAAAGGAAGACGACATTTAAGTAACCAGATATGAAAATTTTAGAATGGGATATCCTTAATCCCGATCGGTTCATTAATCTGGAGATTAATAACAAGAGGAGAACAAGCATTATTTAATCTCGAGATTAAGAAGAAGAGGAGATAAAGCATTGATTTCGATATCCATGCACCATTCTAAAGTTTTCAGCTCATGTGCGTTTTTGATAAAATTAAAGCTAACCGCTGGACCATGGTGGCTTGAACAAATTTAAACGGCAAAATAATACTGTGTTTCTTGTTTTTGAACTATTTAAAATCATAACTTGAGTCTAACTGTCGTCTTCCTATTCCAGAGTTTTGTTAGTCCCTCTGTATACGCGTATATAAAAGTGAAAGGGGGTTATGTTTGACCATGCTTGACTGATGAACAATGAATAGTTCCTTGTAAATGTTCACACGAGAAGCAAGCTATATATTCGCGCGTGGTGCGCGGCTTTACGTTTATGATATAGATATATGTATGTAATGAAGGCTTGAAACAGCTTTTCTAAGCTGTCCCGGCTGTTCACACGACAGCTTCACTATAAACCAGCTGTTGTGATGCTGTCAGGCAGTATAGTTTAAGCTTTCTGAGACGATACTTGTTTACAGAAAAATGAAATAAGGCCAATCTATGCAGGCTTTAAATTAGTTAATAATGACATGCATTATTGCACTCAGTGCAAGCAGTTCATATCAATTCAAGCATGCATGTGTATATAGTGCTTTATGTGATGGGTGTAATATAGTACATTCTCGTTTACTACAACTGTTTTAACTTTAAAACAATAACAACAGTATCTGTAAAACTTAGTGAATTCCAAATATTTATAAATTTTCTTGTAATTCTAGGTTCTATTAAAATAATATTTAGAGGTTATCATTTGAAAATGCATTATGAATAAAATTTAACTATATAATATATACTTTTTTCCTTGGGGGTAAATGNGGGGGTCACTGACCCTTTAGAGGCCAAAAACCGGTTATTTTATCGAAAAAGTATTGTTTATAACTTGAATTTTATCACTTCCTCATTTTATCTTGTTCATGCACACTTCACCCTTCCTTAGATAGTAAATGTCAACGACAGTTAAAATTTCGTCTCTAAATTCCAATGTTTTTTGGAGCACCTTCGTCCTTTAATCTCTATCTTTTTATTATTTCACCTTCCATTAAACCACAACCCCCCCCCCTTATCACTGATATTTCCCATAGATCCCTTAACATTTGCGTAATTTATTAATTTTTTATAATTTATTATCGTAATTATCTTCTTAAGGATGAAAGGGACAAAGATAGGTGAGGGGTCAGAATTTTTAATGAATTCTAAACAATTTTATATTTGTTCATATTACCTATATCATAAACAAACTGTAACAATTCTAAACAATTTTATAATTGTTCATATTACCTATATCATAAACAAACTGTAACAATTCTAAACAATTTTATAATTGGTCATATATTACCTATATATCATAAACAAACTGAAACAATTCTAAAGGTTAAAGGAACAGTTGACAAAGTAAGCAACCCTCCACTTAAAGAATTAAATGTTAAATTCAAAAAAATTATAATCTTTTACCCTTTGTTTTAGCAGAAATGATGGAGGTAGATATTCTTGTTGTTGAAATGTTTATTTGCGAAAAAGAAGGAAATCTTTTCAGATTATAAAACAATGATATCTCTTAACTGAAAGTTTTAAGATCAAGGTTTAAAGGGAGTGACCGGCAATGTATGGTAGTTGGACTGAGAATTTATTTATTTTAAATTTATCCATTTGGGTGGTTACATTTTGAGAATTGATTTTTTTAAATTATTAAATAACGACAACAAAAATGTAACAACTATTTAGTTGTTCAGCAAGGAACAGTTTGAGAAAATAAAAATTGACTCTTATTATCGAAAATAAGTAATCGTTTTCAGTTAATAGTCTCTGTAATCTCTCATTGTTCACAAACATTTTCTGTAGATTTTCTGGAATTTTTATTGAAAAGACAAAATTTGAGGAATTTTTAGAAATCTGAGAACAAATTCGGAAACTGGAAAGAATAAGAAATTAAATATAATGATGAAAAAGAGATAATTGATTCTAACACTGATTTATTGCCAAATTTCTATTGAAAATATGCTCTTAAACATCTAATTAGTTTACTGTAGAATTTTGATACATTTTTCGTCGTCGTTATTTAAAATTTTTTTAAAAAATCGATTCTCAAAACGTACCCCCACGAATGGATCATTTTGAACGTCGACTTTGCGCTGAAACTCAGTAATTATACATCATTAAAACGTTTTATATGTCTCCACAATACTGCATTCTCAGTTCAACTACCATACATTGTCGGTCACTCCCTTTAACTGAACTTTCTGAAATAATTTGGAAAAACTTTAATCAAGTGCAGGTTCAATCCTTCAATATTAAATTATATTTTAACTAAGAAAAAATTTTTTTCTTCAAACTTCATTTTTTCAATGTAGATCAAAATGCTTGGTTTTTTTGGAGATGTTACTTTATTCTTAAAGTTTGATACAGTGTGCATCGATAATCATGTTTTTAAACTTCACTATAAGGTTAGATCAGTCATTTGGGCATTCCTTCAATTATTTATTCACAAAACAGCTAAAGTATAGCATGTTCGGGCAAAACTCAGCTATTTGAGATTTGATTTTTATTTAAAAATAAAAAAACGTCGTATTAATTGATTAATCCATAAACACAGAGTCAGAAAAAAAGGAAAAAAAGATCGTTTCGATCCATATCATGTGTAAGAAAATCGTTTTCAATCCTTATTATGTGTATGAGATCGTTTTCAATCCTTATTTTGTGTAATAGGAGATAGTTTTCAATCCTTATTATGTGTATGAGATCGTTTTCAATCCTTATTATGTGTATGAGATCGTTTTCAATCCTTATTTTGTGTACGGAGATCGTTTTCGATCCTTTCTATGTGTATAAAGATCGTTTTCAATTCAAAAGTCGGTTCTCACTTATGATTTTACCAAGTTAATTATAATATATATGCAAAACTTGACTAAATCTAATTTTCAAATTATTCTAAATAAATTGATTTAAATGATATTTTCTATCTTTAAAATATTTCAGGCAACAGTTATCATCCTTGTTATTGCTAGTCTACTAGTTACCGGCAACCAATATATAGGGACATTATAATAATATATAATGATAATGATAATGATAATGATAATAATAATACTATAATAATATTATTGTCTATGAAGGGGATCCAATTGATTGTATGTGTGATGGAATACCGGGAGGTATATACTTTTAAACTTCGTAAATCAGAAAAATCAATTCTAAATGTTGTCTAGACAATATAAGATTTGAAGGGAACAAACTCTGTTTAGATTTGATCAATTGCATAAATATAGTCTTGGTGTGTGATTGTATCTAGAGAGAGAAACTAGTTTATATGTTACCTCAAACTTCAGTTTAAAGGGACTGTGAGCCTAAATTCAAGTTTAAAGGGTCTGTGAGCCTAAATTCAAGTTTATAGGGACTGTGGGCGTAAATTCAAGTTTAAAGGGTCTGTGAGCCTAAATTCAAGTTTAAAGGGACTGTGAGCGTAAATTCAAGTTTAAAGGGACTGTGAGCCTAAATTCAAGTTTAAAGGGTCTGTGAGCCTAAATTCAAGTTTATAGGGACTGTGAGCGTAAATTCAAGTTGAAAGGGTCTGTGAGCCTAAATTCAAGTTTAAAGGGACTGTGAGCGTAAATTCAAGTTACCCTCCACGCAAAGAAATTAAAATGCCCGATTCAAAACAGTAACTTTTAAAGCTTTGTTTAATTAAGTATGAATAAGATTCACAATATCAATGTTTATGATTATAAAAGCTGATTAGTTTCAAGAGTGGGTTCTTTCGGTGGGAAAATTATTGATCAAATAAAAGTGTCAAGAGTAGTTTTGTGATCTAATTGTCTATATTTGAAACTAGGATCAATTGAAATTTCGTCTACAGTCCTTTTAAAAAACTTTAAAAATTATTTACTTAGAAGCTTGTTGACAATTTTGTTAAAAAAGTAGAAAAGTTTTTGTAATATTTTCCAGATGGTGGAACTGGAAGATAGATATACATCATACAACTTTTAAATTAATTATAGGATGAAGGAAGAAGATGGGGCCTGGGGGGGGGCGTCTAATTGAAAATGTTACCTGAGATTTGTTTAAAGAGCTATTGAAAAGAATAAAAAGTTTGAACTTCACATATGCAACAAGATAAAATTAGATTTTCTAGCACTTTAACGTTAAATCAAAACTAGACGAGCCATGGAGTTGCAAAGCACTGCAAACCAAGATGTCCACGCTCTTACAACAAAAATTTAGCAGTATTTTGCCGAATACTCCTTTTAAACTTAAGCTAGAAAAAGCTCCTTGCATTTTTAAAAATGGGAAGTCCAGGCCTTCAAAAGAGTATAAGTGAGTTGGTGAGGTAAAACCAAAGGCCAAGGCGCTGTGACACTTTAAAGTCGAGGCTATAAAAAAATTTGATGACCAAGTTTTAGAGTTGTCCAGATCTCAGTGAATTCTGTTAGATCAAATATAGCAAGTTTGCAATACTAAAGGTTTACGACATCAGGATACAAAAATAGGGACTTGCACGTTTTGGTTTGTGGCAAAGACTCAATTCCTTTGACCATATATATGTTTAGATTGGAGTGGGGTGATTTTACACAAATTATTTTAATTTACAAATATATATTTTTAGGAATAATTGACACCTACTGTTGGATTCATTCTACATTTAGTATTCCAGAGAGATTTGTAGGAAAACAGGGTAGGTGGATTTTATTATTAAATTTCTTATTTAATTCATAAATATTATTTACTAGCCTTAGAGGGCGCTTCGCGCCCATCTTCTAAATTAATTGTGAACATGTTCTCTTTGTGTACATCGTAAAACAAAACAAAAATAATTCGCGGATTTTCACAAATAATTTTGTGGATTTTAAAAATTTTCAAAAATTTAATGAAGATCAAATTTTGATGGAGACAAATATTTGAAATTTTGATCATTCATAAACCTTCCCTTTGGTAAACATGATGTCCCACAAAAAATTTGGTCCCGATCGGTTCAGCCGTTTTGACGTTTATTTTATACAAACAAACAAACAAACAGACAAATAGACAAACAGACAGACAAGCCAAATTTATATATAGATGAACCAACTTTACTAAGAAACTGAAATTTTGCTATAAAAAGTCATTCTACTCAACTTTGAATTGTTAAACCAAGCTAAGGACATTTCGTGGTTCTTTGAGGCAAATTGGTCAAGGGATTCCTAATTTATGATCAGAAAAACAAACAGATAAAATTAAATACAAAAAGAGGGGCGTGAAGATCCCTAAAAGTAAGGTCCTATGTTTATGGTATCTCTTCTATCCCTGAATTTGTTAAATTGAGTCTAACTGTTTAAATGAATTTATCCATTCCTGAACTAATGCAGAAAGTTGATAAATTGCATAGAATTGCCTGGAGGAGAAACTAGGTTTATTGTTCTCTAGTCAGCTGATCACCGGAACCAGGAACCAGAGTTTCCGAGATTTTCGTGGTTTCCGGTTTGGGAAATTTTCATGTTAACTCATCCCCACACCTTCCCCCGCACCTCAGGATAAGGGGGGGGAGGGCAGGCGCGTAGTGGAGGTTTAGCCTAGGGGGTGCACATTTTTTTGTGCACCCCCCTAAAAAACCAGTATTAAGAAGAAAAAAAAAGTTTAAAATCTATATTAATCTACCTGAAGGCTGACTATTAGTCATCTTACCATAATTACCAATTATTTTAAATGAAACCCCGAAAATTTTTTTTGTAAATAAGAATTTGAGAAATAATCATAAAATGGAAAAATTGTGACATTGTCGATTGATAAGAAAAGTAAAAAATCTGAATATATATGTAAATTTACTGTTTAATAAATTAGAGCCTGCCTCTGGCACAAGGTACCGGCCCCCCTCAACTACGCGCCTGGGGGAGGGATGTCCTTTTTTCAAACCCAGGATATTTTGTATCCTTATATTTCAAGTACAGAGAAATTTCCCTAAAAAAGCTTGTTTAAACGGTCAATTTTCTGTTTAAAGTAGAATATCGTTCTTATAATAATATATTTGTAGGAATTGATGTCGCCTTCCCTGGTGTTGCTCCAATAGAAGTTGATGGAAAGGAGCCCAGATATCATAAATACTATCAGGTAAATTTATTTTTAAAGGGTGTGTACAAAAAAATGTATCGTCTCTTTAATGATTTCTATCCAGTGATATGTTTATATCTGCCTGTACTTTTCTGTATTCCCAGTTTAAATAATAAAGGATCTTATATGAGAATAGAGCGCTGAAATAAGAATATTAAGAATATATGAATAATCAGTAAAACCCTTTTTAAAAGGGTAATTAGCAGGACTGTTGCTAAAAGCAAACCCTTTAAACTTTATCTGATCAATAATGTAAAAGAAATAGTCGTTTTTGTGACTAGAATATGTCAAATGTCATTTATCATATGTCGCATGCGTCATAGTTCGCATTTGTCAAATGTCATATCTGTAAATTGAATAATGTCTCATCCATAAAAATGTCGCAAATGTTATAAGTCACATCTGTCAAATGTCAAAGAAATATAAAATTTACAAAAAAAATCCGAAATTATTTTTAATTAAATTTGCATTCCAAACATGAAGAAAAACATAATTTTTAAAAACAAAATTTTGCAGGAATTTTATTTTTTGATTTTATTTATGAAGTTGTTCACTTGAAGGAAGATACGATTTTCTACTGAATTAATGAAAAATAAGAAGTAAATAATAAAATTTGCATTTCACACATAAAAAATCATAATTTTGAAGAACATTTTTCTTGTGGGAACATCATATATAATTCATAAAATTGTTGCAAATTTCAAATTCACAAAATTAACACTTTTTTGAAAATATTGTAACCCTAAACAAGGTAAGTATATAACGTAATACATTTAGTGAATGATCCAAAAGAATTATAAATCTCACTTAAAAACACAGTACCTTCTAGAACCAAGAAATGATACTATAATCATATCATTTTAAATAAAATTAAAATACTGCGTGTTATTTTAGTGGGTGTGTTTTGTGTTAATGCTGCAAGCAGCTTTCTGCTTTGCTCCGAGGTGAATTTATCATAACAATATAAAAAGAAGAATTTTTGTCAAAGACCCATATTTTGATAATCTTTTCAGTGCTTTATAAATACGGAATTAATTCCATGATGGGCGAAATTGATATAAAAAATTGAAAAAAATTGTTGATTTAATAGTTCAAAATTTGAATTCCCATGGAAACGTTTATCAGTATTTTTTTCTTTATCAGATTTGTGTGGAAGGGTGTTGAAGATGGTAAAATAAAGATGTTGGTTCAGGTAAAATAAAGATGTTGGTTCAGGTAAAGTAAAGATGTTAGTTCAGGTTAAGTAAAGATGTTGGTTCAGGTAAAGTAAAGATGTTGGTTCAGGTAAAATAAAGATGTTGGTTCAGGTAAAATAAAGATGTTGGTTCAGGTAAAGTAAAGATGTTGGTTCAGGTAAAATAAAGATGTTGGTTCAGGTAAAATAAAGATGTTGGTTCAGGTAAAGTAAAGATGTTGGTTCAGGTAAAGTATTTGAAAGGAACTGAGTTCTTGCCACTAACTCAAATTTTCTAATTCCAATTTTTGCAACATGATGGTACACACTTGATATTTCAAACTACTCGACTACTTGATATAACAGAATTCCGAGTTTGAAATATAAAATATCTGCAACATCGGGTTGCACAGATATTAGGATTAAAAAATCAGAATTTGCGGCAAAGACTCAGTTCCTTTGCTGTGAGGCAAATATTTAAGATTTTGTCAGGCCATGTGATTTTGACGGATCCTGATTATGTTTAATCTAGGATATGTCGGATCCTGATTATGTTTCATCTAGGATATGTCGGCTTTTGATTATGTTTGTTTTAGGATATGACAGATCCTGATAATGTTTGTTCTAGGATATGTCGGATTCTGATTATGTTTGTTTTAGGATATGACATCCTGATAATGTTTATCTAGGATATGTCGGATCCTGATTATGTTAAATCTAGGATATGTCGACTTCTGATTATGTTTGTTTTAGGATATGACAGATCCTGATAATGTTTGTTCTAGGATATGTCGGATCTTGATTATGTTTAATCTAGGATATGTCGGAATCTGATTATGATTGTTCTGGAATTTGACGGATCCTGATTATGTTTGTCTAGGATATGACAGATCCTGATTATGTGTGTTTAGGATATGTCGGATTATGATTATGTTTGTCTAGGATAAGTCGGATTCTGATTATGTTTAATCTAGGATATGTCGGATTCTGATTATGTTTAATCTAGGATATGTCGGATTCTGATTATGTTTGTTCTGGGATCTGACGGATCCTGATTATGTTTGTCAAGGATATGACGGATCCTGATTATGTTTAATCTAGGATACGTCGGATTATGATTATGTTTGTCTAGGATATGACGGATTCTGAATACGTTTGTCAAGGATATGACGGATCCTGATTATGTTTAATCTAGGATACGTCGGATCCTGATTATGTTTGTCTAGGATTTGACAGATCCTGATTATGTTTGTCTAGGATATGACAAATTCTGATTATGTTTGTCTAGGATATGTCGGATTCTGATTATGTTTGTCTAGGATATGTCGGATTCTGATGATGTTTGTCCTATGATATGACGGATTCTGATTATGTTTGTTTTAGGATATGACAGATCCTGATAATGTGTGTTCTAGGATTTGATAGATCCTGATTATGTTTAATCTAGGATATGACGGATCCTGATTATGTTTGACTAGGATATGACGGATCCAGATTATGTTTGTCTAGGATATGATGGATCCAGATTATGTTTGTCTAGGATATGACGGATTCAGATTATGTTTGTCAAGGATATGACGTATCCTGATTATGTTTGTCTAGGATATGACGGATCCAGATTATGTTTGTCTAGGATATGACGGATCCAGATTATGTTTGTCTAGGATATGATGGATCCTGATTATGTTTGTCTAGGATATGACGGATGTTTGTCTAGGATATGATTATGTTTGTCTAGGATATGACGGATCCTGATTATGTTTGTCTAGGATATGACGGATCCAGATTATGTTGTTAATGCTGAGAAAAGAAAAGATAGAATCAACTTAATCGTCAAATATTTCAGGTTTGTTCAACTTTGTCCGGGTTCTTTTGGTTTAATCCTAAACATGCTGAGGGAGGGAGGGAGGAGGGGGAGGGGGGTTCTAATGATCCTGTGCCATCCTCATAGAAAAATACTTAGTTAAATTAATGAAAGTGCAGTTTAATGAATGTTAATTAACCAACTTTTTAAGGACATTTTATGTTTTTAGAATTTAATTTTTCAACAAATTGAACAAATTATTTATACGAATTATTAAAGATTTTTTTTGTGTGTTTCATCCACCTGCCTTATTTTCTAATAAGTCGAAAGGTTTCAAGGTAATCTTTTTAAAATTAGTTACTACACAATATATTTAATTTTTTTAGAGAATTTCGTGGAGGACATGCCGCTTACAGTTTTAAGTTTTTTACTTGTGAACTTTTTAATCTGATTATCATCATTTCACAAATATTCTTCATGGACAGGTAAAAAAAATAAGAAAAAAGGAGCCAAGAAGGTTAAAATGTGAAATAAATGGTGGAATGAATGAATTTACGTATTTATAAATTTAAGTATTATGGAACAAATGTACATTAATTAACGCATAGTGAAGGCATCTGCCTATAACTTTTAAATAGTATAACATTTTTACTTTTTACATTTAGAAAATAGAGAAAAGTAAGAAAAAAAGCCAAAAGGAATAAAATTGTAGAAAAAAAGAAAATAACTAAAAATTTTGTTTATGGCGTTTAAATAGTGTAATAATCTCAAGAGCGTAGACCTTCGATATTTATAACTATGAATTCTGTTAGATCTAAAAACTGTGTAATTAGGTTTCTAGGATATGAGTTCAGTGAGTACGGTCTAGATGTACTGGGATATACTGAGCTAGATCCTAGAGAGAGACCAGATCCAATGGCTGTCGTTTTTCCGAAGGTACAAAATGCTTATTTGTTTGCTTAAAAAGTTGAAAAAAGTGGTATAGATAGCTAATCATATTATCTTTAACCGATGTATCTGTAAATAGAAATTGACTTTAAACCGTTCTCCAGCGATACAAGAAATATTGATTGTTCAGTATCGAATTGAATTACTTAAAATTCAATAATTTTATAATAGTTATAATCAAAATAAATTGAAAAAGAATAGCTCTGACGCTATTAATTCCTTCGCTTTAACCTATTTTTTATATTCTATTTGTTTCAGATCACAAAGTGTACGTTCAGAAAGTACGGAGCATCTGGAAGTATTGAAAAGTATGACGCACTCTGTGTCCTACCTTTAAATATCATTAACGAGAAGGTAAAAATTAGGAAAATGTTAAAAATAAAACTACAGGGAAATTGACTAAGAATAAAAACAACTAAATATAAAAAAAATGACAAAAATAATGTAAAATTGCGGAGTGATAAGCTCTAGTTCCTCAAGTAACTAGGGTCTAGGTGTAGACAAAAAGTATTTTTGTTTTTTTTAAGGAACAATTTTCTTTAATATTTTTTTTTCTTCAGATTTACACATTTCTGTGGTTCTGGTTTATTATTGTGGCCTCGGTGACAGGACTTTACATGCTGTACAGGGTCTTCATCATCCTAGGGGCTGGACTCAGGGTCGCTCTTATTCAGGTTAGTGGGGTTACTGTACTGTACTGTACTGTACTGTACTGTGCTGTACTGTACTGCACTGTACTGTACTGCACTGTACTGTACTGTACTGTACTGTACTGTACTTGGAGCAAATGTTATTTAGGTCTATTGATCAAATTACGAAAGAGCATAGGGCATATTTTCATCTAACAATCGATGATAAATTGTATCGTCAGCAACATGTTCAGTAATTATTATTATCACTTGATCAAATATTTATATTTATATTTGTAAATCTGTTTAGTCTAGAACTGGTCGAGGATTACCTAGGGAGAAGTTAGAGGATATTTTAAATGAGAAAACTTTAAATATTTTACAGAAGGTAAAACTTCTTTTTTTTAAAGTAAATTTACATTTTAGAACGTTGTTTCAAGAATACTTGTTTAAAAAATTATTTCCTTATTATTATTATTCAAATTTTTAAACCGAAACCGTTTTCAATGTTTACAATTTTGTTTATGAAAAAATGGAATTGTAGTATATTTTCCAATAAATATTTTTATATATATTTTCCAATATATTTCTCGATATATATTTATATATTTTATAGAATGGTGACTTCTTTCTTCTACATTTAGTTACAAAAAACCTAGATGAAATGACAAACAAGGTATATTTCTATTCATCAAATAATTTAGTTCAAAAAAATAATCATCAAAAATAGATATGGAGATATTTGAAATAAAAATGCGGAATTTATTTGTCAAATCTGAGGCTGGCGCTCAATTGAAACCGGTTTTTAGCGGATTTGAGACTCGGCTCCAATTCAGTAAATTCGGACTGAGATGACCAAATTAAAAGTTCTCGTAGCAATATGTTATTTATTTATAAATCTTATAATGATATTAATATCTAAATATTTTGATGATATTATTTATATTCAAACACAAAATACAAAATAATAATATATAATGGTTTAGCTAAAAACAAACACAAAAGAAAATCTAATATTAGCCAAATGAAAATATAATTTTTAATAATTTTGTTCTGATCGGTATTTATTGAAACCACAATTGAATAAACATTCATTGTATCATTTACAAGTAGATAATTAGTCAGCTCTCTTTTTCAGAAATGCATTCATTGAACTTATAAATACATATTGTTACAGCCTAAGGAGCAATGTATTCTTGTTGATTGTGGTAGACTTTAGCATTAGCATTAATTTTTAAATGTGTCTAAATGTGTCAATTATATTTATTTTTACATATTTTTTATATTACTTTTTGAATATTTAGGAACTGCTTGAAGCAATACACCTAGATCTATATCCTGCGACATCAATTGAAAATAAGGTAATTTTTATTTTTGAAGTCAATAAAGTGCAGAATTTATCCATTTTTATGCCTATTTTACTAAAATATTATGTATAATATATATAAAATATAGTAAATTAAAATTGTCTTTTCAAGCACTCACAAATGTTATAATCTTCTTTTTATAAATGTTTTGTCTAAGCTTAGACTTAATTTTTTAAACGGTTTAATTAATTTTCATATTTTTCGTGTCTATCTGAATGTTGTTTTTTTGTTCAATTTCTCCGAACTGATTTATTTCTGTCGAAGGAATCAATGGAATAATTATTTTCTAGGAAATAGATGAAATCAATGGAATAATTAGTTTCTAGGATATAGATGGAATTAATGGAATAAACATTTTCCAGAATGTGGATGGAAGTAATTAAATATTTATTTTAGGATTCATGGATGGAAGAAATAGAATGATCTTTTCCTAGAATGTGGATGGAATTGATTAACCCTATTCCTGCTGGGGGGTCAGGCACACTGCCTGAATGACTGCTTTTGCCTGTAACAAACTAAATCTTTGTTTTGACCCACTTTCACTTATCAGATTTTGATAAAATTTAGCTTTTTGGAAAGCCTATGACATAAGGAAACGGATTGCACAAGTTTTGCGAAAAAACATTGCAAATTTTTTGCAAACAACCTGTCTTAGGAAATTTGCACATTTTTAGTTTTTCTTGATTAAAAATCAGGTTATTTAAAATTTTGCAAAATTTTTTGCATATTTAAAATGGCATGGTCAAGGGCTTTTCAAAAATGTATAATTTGTCATTTTTTGGACAAATTTTTTTTTGCAAATATTTTTACTATAAAACTGGATTTTGCGATAAAAAATTCAATTTTCGCAAATTTGCAAATTTTTTTGCAGATTCTAAAAGTAGAGCACAAGAGCTTTCTAATGTTGTATCATTTGTCATATTTGGACATAAAACATGGGATTTAGAGCGGGGGGGGGGGTCAAATTGACCGCCCCCCAGCGTATCCTGGTTTTCAAGTACCCCAGCAGGGATAGGGTTAAATAATTGTTTTTTAGGATTTGAATGAAATTAATGGAATTATTATTTTCTAGGATGTGGATGAAAGTAATGTAATAAATGTTTTTTACGATATGGATGGAATCAATGGAATTATTATTTTTTAAGATGTAGATGGAATTAATTAAATAATTGTTTTCTAGGACATGAATGAAATTAATGGAATTATTATTTTTTAGGATGTGGATGGAAGTAATGTAATAATTGTTTTCAAGGATATGGATGGAATTAATGAAATTTTAATTTTCTAAGATGTGAATAGAATTGATAGAAGTATTATTTTCTAGGATGTGAATGGAATTAATAGAATTATTATTTTCTAGGATGTGAATGGAATTAATAGAATTATTGTTTTCTAGGATGTGAATGGAATTAATAGAATTATTATTTTCTAAGATGTGAATGGAATGAATAGAATTATTGTTTTCTAGGATGTGAATGGAATTAATAGAATTATCATTTTCTAGGATGAGAATGGAATTAATAGAATTATTGTCTTCTAGAATGAGAATGGAATTATTAGAATTATTATTTTCTAGGATGAGAATGGAATTAATAGAATTATTATTTTCTAGGATGTAGATGGAAGTAATGGCATCTCTACAACATCTGTCTAAAATTGATCTCCTCATATTATCTCGTCTCATCAATAAATCTCATGTAATCTCTGCTTGTAAACTGTAAACAGTACAAGCTGAAACCTTTAGAATTTGATGCCCTTAATACAGACTGCTTAATCTTAATATCCACTATGGATACTCTTTTTTTTACACCTCTACTGGATGCCGACCGATAAGAATTCTCTCATTAAAATTACAAAAATTACAAGTTTCCTGGCTTCTGATTGGCTGTTCGGGCATCTTTATACATTACTCTGATTGGTTAAATTTTAGAAACTCTCCTGGATACAAACTAATGAATAAAATAATCTTAAGAGGAGATCAATCATTGATATCGATTTCCACAATTCTAAAGTTTTCAGCTCAGGGTGTCCTAAGACCCAATGGAATTAAGGACGTCCATTAGTGAAATTTTTTTCTTCAAATTAAGATTACTTTTGTTTTGAGATTATAGAAATGTTGTATGCCAACAGAGGACGACATTTGAAAAGATGTCTGGTTTGACTTTTTTTCATTTTTCAAGAGTTACTGACTGCCTAAAGAGAATCTCAACTCATATGGAAAATATATCAAAAATACATTTTACAAAATTAAACCATATTTCCTCTACTTCACTAAACATGATTATATGAATGTTATTGTTAATTCAATATTTTGGTGTTTATAAATTTAAAGTACTACTTTACTATGCAAAAAATGTTGTTAAACATACATGAAATAAATATTTTTGTAAAATATTAATTTATCTAATTATAATTTTAAAAAGGAGTTTTCAACTTGATCTAACCTAAATAAAACCACAATCCACAAGAGAAGTAGTTTTTGTCACTTGTGTCATGTGCAAGTCTTGGGAAGAATGAGTTCATCTCATTTGAACCGAATTAAATCAGTTTTGTCAATTCAAAAGTGTCCAACTCCAAAAAGAGAAATGAGTACACCCCCAAATAAGCTTTCGGTGCGTTCTAAGCCCGAAATTTATAAGGTATTGTTGAACAAAACTCCCGAATTTCCTTTTTGGGGTCTTATTATTTGTGTAGATTTTGAATCGAAAAAAATGCTAAAATATGAAGAAACTAAATAAAATAATATTTAAAAATAAAAAGATTGATATCTACAAAACTGGGTAAAACCATTTGTGAAACCTGGGTTCCAAAACTGGTTTTCACAACGATATCCTGTCTTTAGTTTTGGGCTCTGCAGTAATGTGCAGTACACTGACCGAGATCAATTACCAAGAAGAAAATATTAAAGATATTTTTTTAGATCATTTATTCTGTTTCTCCTGAGGCACTGTTTTCTGTTCTAGTAGATTCGCCATTAAAGATTTCCTTTTATCATTACTTACAAAAGCCCAAAGTGTATTCTTGCTTAACAGGAGAATCTATCTTGAGCTCTCTTGTTTTAGAAAGATTTTCTTGCTATGAGAAAGAAAAATTTTATCGGAAAAGTCGTAAAATCCTGGCGCTGAAAGGATCTTACTTAAAACATAAATATGAAAACCTTATTTTTATAAACTATACCTATCTTAAAAACTAAAATTATCTATCCTAGAACTTTCTTTTGTCTCTCTAAGCTATGCCTTAGGAGTAGGACTAAAATTTCAAATACACACGCCAATAATACGTAAATAATATTCATTTGAACCTTGTATTTTCACCTTAGTCTAATTTACAAATTTCAAAAATCATGCTTTTCATAAAGATATTCTGTTATATTTGAAAAAACATAATTTAAAGCAACTTGGGCAAGAAAAAAATCGGCTGAGAACATTTCTGCATGGCTGTAAAAAAGGCATGTTCCTTTGTCCTTTAAAAGCATGTTACCTTGCCCTTTAAAAGCATGTGCCCTTGTCCTTTAAAAGCATGTTCCCTTGTCCTTTAAAAGCATGTTCCCTTGTACTTAAAAAACATGTTCCCTTGTCCTTTAAAAGCATGTTCCCCCTTGTCCTTTAAAAGCATGTTTCCTTGTCCTTTAAAAATGTTCCCTAGTCCTTTAAAAGCATGTTCCCTTGCCCTTTAAAAGCATGTTTCCTTGTCCTTTAAAAGCATGTTCCCTTGTCCTTTAAAAGCATGTTCCCTTGTCCTTTAAAAGCATGTTCCCTTGTCCTTTAAAAGCATGTTCCCTTGTCCTTTAAAAGCATGTTCTCTTATCCTTTAAAAGCATGTTCCCTTGTCCTTTAAAAGCATGTTTCCTTGTCCTTTAAAAGCATGAAAGGTTCTTGTTTATATTAAGATCTGATCAACGTCAGTTGATTTTTAAACAAGAAACTCAAGAGATACATTTTACATTTCTCGGGCACGTTTAGAAATTGAAGTTTCTTCTTTTACGCCCGATCTTCAAACAATAAAATCCTATTTATTCTTTAGCCTGTTTATTTCTGGTCATTAAACGCGTATTAACTATATTTGATTTTGTTGACGCTAGTAGAGAACAACTCACATTATTATTATCGTCTTTTTTGGTTGGTATTGTCTCGCCTTTAGGAAAGGACCCCCTCCCCCCTCCTTCCCCCCTTTAAATATATATCTTCGAACCTATATTTGTTGCCACTCAGTATGGGGCTGAAATGTGCAAAATACTTCAGGTAAAATTCGAAAATTCAAAAATGAATTTAGTTTCCGACTTTTTTTTGGTAGATTTTGAAAACTTTTGTATTTGTAAATATCCGGGAATAGTTTATCCCTGTTAGAAAGCTCCCTCCTAGCTCTTTAGATGTTTATGTTATATTTTGATTATTTGTAAACAATCATTGTCAGTTTTGAAGTTCATCTCAGACAGCACAAGCAACAAATGTGTAGATTTGTACGGCTAACTTTATTTTGATTTCATAAAAAAAATCTACGTGAATATACACTTTGCAATAAAAAATGTTTTTTGATTTTAGTTTGGAAGGAAGAGATGTATAAGTAGATTTTAAAAAGTTGTTAATTTATTAAAATCTAGAGAATGACAAATTGTTTTTTGGTCTGCGTTGAATTGATAGGCTCATAGACTGTAGTTTTAAAAAATTTTTAAAAGTTTTTAATTTTTAAAATTTTTTTTAATCCGAGCATGCTTCCATGAATATGTATTATCAAGCAAAGCTTCCATAAAATCCTTGGCTGATAAATTTCAAGGACCTTATAATTAAGTAGAAAAAACAGAGCTTAGCGACATCAGTATACAGATTGAAAACTGTTCCCCAGCTTTAGCGATTTAAAAGCTTCGGCTCGGGTCTTAATTCCTTAAACCCAGCTTAAAACCCCAATCTAAGACCCAACTCTGACGACAGCTTGTGTCACGTGAATGACGCTGTGAAATCTTAGGCTCGAATTACGGAGTTAGGCCCAATATAAATAAAACCGACCTTGGTTGGTATTAGAGGGGAATAAGACTCAATGCTGAGTTTTGTTCTCATAAAAAAACTCGGAATGCGCCAATTCCAACAATTAAAATCCACCAAATACATTATTAAACCGGTTTTATGAACTCAACTCTGTGGAAAATTAGATGCAACTTAAATCCGAAAGCTCAAGCCGTAAATGAGGCCCAATGACAGCTTAGACCTGAGTCGTATTTTATTGAATTTTTTAAAATCGCCTGCACAGAGTAGAAAGCCCTATGTGATTTAAAATGCAGATAAATTGAAATTATTAAACATTTTACCAACTTTACACTTTACATTTAGACTCGGAAAGAAACGATGAAATATAATATATTTGATGACATCTCATTAGAGCTGTGTGTACATTGTACAATTGTACATGTTTTGATTTGTCTTAGATCAAATATTAAACTCGGTGTATGTAGTTTACTTGTTTAAACTTTTTTATTAAAAATTGTTAGAGAGTTCGCAATAATGTTTATGTTTCAAAATCTGTCTGGATCACAGAGAGGATAAGAAATTATCTTCCCTGTAAATAAAAAAGTACGGAATCAAAGGTTGGTTATTTCGTTGAACAAGAGATTAAACATTTGGCAGATCAGGGATAAATAAGATATTCTCATTTTTCGAGGTTAAAATCGATTTTTTTCATTTTTTGTTTCTCTAAACCTTAAAATTAACAGAATAAATAGTTTGAAATATCTAAGGTCTACGACATTGGGTTGCAAAGATATTGGGATTAAAAAATCAAAGGTTGTGGCAAAAACTCAATTCTTTTTTAGAGTTTTTTTTTACTTTTCAAAAAAGAAATCAAATTTCTTCATTATTGTTATAAAGGCAGAGATTTAAGTGGTACCATTATGAATCGGACATGCCACTCACTTAAGATTACGTCTCCTATTTTGTGGAAAGGAGTTTAGTTTCTTGCTTCAATTAGTAATCAAGTGATTTTAGATACTTACTTTAGATTAGTAAAGGTAGAAAATCGTATAAATTGAATGAATCAATATAAATCAAAAAAATTCTTATTCCCTTTTTAAACTTTATTGTACATTTATATATAGGAACTTAACACGCGCCACCAATTCTAACTTTTTAATCACATTGTCAAGACTACACGATTGAAAAGTTTAAGGTTATATACCATCAAGCTGCAAAGATAAATGGATTAAAAATTAGAGTTTGTATCATATGTATTATGTAGTGTACAGTTCTGTTATTTTACTTCTAAATGTTATTTATCCTGTCCGTTCCCTCACACCCACACAAATACTATAGGAAAAGAATTATTAAAAAATTTAACTTGATATATTATTATTATTTCTAGAATTCTAAGAATGACTTTAGATCGCAAACTCTCAAACACAACTCAAGCAGATCTTCTGAGTGCTTTCAGGAACAATTACAACTTGTTTCATTATTTATTCTAATATTTACATTTTACATTTTTAACTCAATATAAAAAACATGTTTAAGTTTGAAAAGTCAGACGATTTGCACGTATTTTAAGAGGGAAAAGCCAAGAAAAAAGTAGATAAACCACAGCTAAATCATGATTAAATCGCTAATACTTTTATATCAATACGATATTTCTGTAAATAGTAATCAGTAAAAAGCCCCAAAAATATCCTGACAATGCACATAGATTCATCCTACTTTAGAACTGTAAAGCATTTTTCTCCGCTTTAGTTTTAAAGGAACAATTGACAAAATATCTTCGATATATTAGGTTGCAAAGAAATACGGAATAGAAAATGAGAGTGCAGGGTGGCAAAAATTAAATTACTTTATGACACTTTGTTTGTAAATGGTAATCAACAAAGACAATTAAAACTTTTTTTTCCATTTGTTTTAAAATTTTCCATTTTCCAAGAACTATTAAATAGGTTTTGATAAAAGTTTTCCCGTTAAGATCCATAAACTTTCTTTTTAGAAAGTTTAAAAGTTTTAAACTTGTAAATGTATGAATATAGGGCTGCAGGGTATATAAGTGAACTCAATTTAAAACCTTTATTTGACTTTAGCCTAAAGTTTGATTGAACTTCCGAGTTTAAATACATTCCTTCTTTCTAAATAATGTTCGAAATATTGTTGATTAATTTGAAAAGTACGATATTTTTATATTTTTAAATGCTATTCAAGTTGTTTGACACCCTGTAATCAAGTTAGATTATTAAACTGTATTCAAGATGTATGTTTGACACCCTGTAATCAAGATAATTAAAGTCTATTCAAGTTGTTTGACACCCTGTAATCGAGTAAGATTATTAAACTGTATTCAAGATGTATGTTTGACACCCTGTAATCAAGTAAGATTATTAAACTGTATTCAAGATGTATGTTTGACACCCTGTAATCGAGTAAGATTATTAAAGTCTATTCAAGTTGTTTGACACCCTGTAATCGAGTAAGATTATTAAACTGTATTTAAGATGTATGTTTGACACCCTGTAATCGAGTAAGATTATTAAATTCTGTTCAAGTTGTTTGACACCCTGTAATCGAGTAAGATTATTAAACTGTATTCAAGATGTCTGTTTGACACCCTGTAATCTAGTAAGATTATTAAACTGTATTCAAGATGTATGTTTGACACCCTGTAATCAAGATTATTAAAGTCTATTCAGAAGAAGAACGCGGGATTATCCTTATACTCGTGTGATCAGTTTTTAGGAGTTATAAAAAGTTGCTGGATATAAAGAAATATATATTGGAATACTTCTAACCTAGTTTCGATAGAGTCCGTCCTCTGACCTCTATATTGGTGACCCCGACGAAGAACATTCAGTGATTTTTTTCCAGTACTCCGAACTTTATTTCTAACTTCGTGAAGATGACGGATGTACCGGCTGCCACACCCACCTCGCAGTTCGTCGCAAAGTTAGCTGTCAAACTTCCAGATTTTTGGACGGATGACCCTGATCTTTGGTTTTTGCACGCTGAGTCCGCCTTCAGGAACTCCCAGGTTACTCAGTCGCAGACCAAATTNGAAGATACTCCAGAGTTGCCTCCTCGACGTGGTCGTCCCCCTCGTGCAGTTAGACAAGCTCCTCCAGCTCCTCGACCTCGTGGACGACCTCGAAAACCTGTTGATTCCGCTTCCTCCATGTCTCCGCCAAGAAGAAGGAAATCAGTCATTTTTAACCTGTCTCCAGTTATAATTTGGTAAACCCTCCGGCCTCTACGCTGGGGGGGGGGTAGTGTGGAAGAAGATGTTTTGCGGCCTCCAAAACAGAGTTCCACAACAGAAGAGGAACGCGGGATTATCCTTATACTCGTGTGATCAGTTTTTAGGAGTTATAAAAAGTTGCTGGATATAAAGAAATATATATTGGAATACTTCTAACCTAGTTTCGATAGAGTCCGTCCTCTGACCTCTATAACACCCTGTAATCGAGTAAGATTATTAAACTGTATTCAAGATGTATGTTTGACACCCTGTAATCAAGAAAGATTAAATTAAACTATTTTCAAGTTGTTTGATTAAAGATTATTTGACGGGGACAAGGACAACAGAGTTAATGCTGGGGAGGTGCTAGCTCTCATAGGTAAACATGTTTTTTTCGTGCTCTAGATGCACTTTTTGCTTGCTGAACACGGCTAATACTTATATAGACTGATACATTTTGCGCATTCATTGGTTTTAGTGGTCATAAACATTATAATATCAACAAATAAAAGAATATTAACGTTAATTTAATAAAAAACCCTATTTCCGATTTTTCACAAATACATCATTGCAAGTGAGATAGTATATATTTTATTAATATCGAACGCGGAGTTATCCAAGAACGGAAATTGCGTAGTGATTAATTGATTGCGAAGGGAACGTCGTCTTTGTATACACATTTAATTAACAGCTAATAGGCCGTTTAGTTTATCATGAAATCACCCAAATAAGTGAACGGTCCCTTTAAGATTGTTAGAATGGTTTTTTCGTGCTTAAGATTGTAAAACTGTTAATGCCTAGTATGATACTCTATTTACATTAGTTAGAGAGGGGTCATAAACATATAGTTTAAACAAATAAAAGAATATATAAAAAATTTGACAATTTGTTTAGAGTCCTTTGGAGGACAGAAGGATTGCCCACAAGTTCAGGTCTCTTATTTATGCTTAATATTTACCTTATTTTTTTTTCAAATAACATTTTTATTTGATAAAACTGTGAAATAGGAAGACGACATTATACAGGGTGTCCCACGAAACATAAATAGTTTAAAATGTCTTCCATAATTCAATAAGATGTTTGATACTAAAGAGACTAATAACATTTTTTATATGACAGTTGTATTATAGTAAAATTGATTTCACATAAGTTAAACATTTTTTAAAGAAATAAACTGCAAAAAGTCTTTAGTATCTTATACAGTATGTGAAAGAAGCCATTCAAGACTATTCACCAACTGTCATGTTTCGTGGGATACACTGTAGTTGTCTTTGTTTTAGTTTTTATAAAGATTTTAAAATATTAATCTAAATATCTAAAAATTATTTAAGTATGTTACCCTTTCAAGTGACTGTTGGCGTTATTTTTAAATGACCGTCCATTAGTAGAATGGCATGTCTGATTCACAACATTAACCTTTAAACCTTTGATTGAGCAAGGATACCAGACTGATCGATACAGACTTAATTTATAGAAACTAGAATATTCGGGATTTTCGAGGTATGCATGTAACGTCAGAGCTTGTTCTGTTGTACATACACCCTACCGTACTTACACTTCCGTTACTTCGCCTCGATGATTAGTTAAGGGGGGTCACTTGAAGTTACACTCAGAGTCCGTTTTAGTAGATGTACTCTTTACTAAATAGTACTCTCTGCAGTTTATTTGATTTGTTGTCAATTTCATTTGATATCTAATATTTGGTATTTAACCCATGAGTGGGACTAATATATAATTTGATCAGTTCCTCTCAGTTAAATGTCAAATCTGTGATTATATCGGTGTCAAACTTAGGTGGGATCATCCTACTTTAATCTTTAATTAAACTTAAACAATAATTTGGTAGAATCTAGTGAGAGCCTGTGAGCAGAACAAGGATGGAAGGAATTCTAGAAATTCACATAAAAAGCATTTAAAAGTTTGATTTCACAGAATGAATGAAATTTAGTTTTAGAAAGTTAAAATAATTTCTAGAATCTTTAGTCTTGATTTGGAAGAGTTTCTTCAGCAATGGAGAATATTTTGTAGATCCAATATGGCGGATGAGGAACCAGGTTAAATATCTAATTAAATCCAATATGGCGGATGAGGAACCAGGTTAAATATCTAATTAAACCCAATATGGCGGATATGGAACCAGGTTAAATATCTGAAAATTCAATATGGCGGATGAGGAAACAGGTAAATAACTGTAAATCCAATATGGCAGATGAGGAACCAGGTAAATATCTGTAAATTCAATATGGCTGATGAGAAACCAGGTTAAATATCCGTAAATCCAATATGGTTGATGAGGAACCAGGTAAACATCTTTAAATCCAATATTGCGGATGGGGAACAAGGTTAAATATTTGTAAATGCAAGATAGCGGATGAGGAACAAGGTAAATAACTGTAAATCTGGAATATGGCGGATGAGTAACCAGGCAAATATCTTTAAATCCAATATGGCGGATGAGGATCAAGGTTAAATATCTTTAAATCCAATATGCTTGATGAGGAATCAGGTTGAATATCTGTAAATCCAATATGGCGGATGAGGAACAAGGTTAAATATCTGTAAATTCAATATGGCGGATGAGGTACCAGGTTAAATATTTGATTCTACCATAATCTAATAATATCCTTCTATAATATTGTAAACTGTAATTCAGTATGTTTTTTAAAAAAAGTTTTTTTATGTCCAATTCTTTAAAATCACACATCTACACAGTTTGTTTTTAATCTTTGTGAAGAAACAATCTCAATGAATAATAATTGTCTTAAAACATTTTTTAAAAGTGAATATTTGCAAATTATCTTTTTTCCATCTCATAATCTGAATTCGTTTCCCTTATGTCCATTTGACAGCCCAAATTTTTATTTTGAATAATCTTTTTTGTTTGTTTATCTTCTTGTGATTTTTTACATTTTTTAATTTTTTTTATCGATTTTGATGGTTATTATATCGTTAGAACTGACGAGGGCCAACCCAGACCGAAATATATTTTCAATAAATGTGGAAATAACATCTACTTTTTTACTCTACAGAGGTTTGGTCCATCACCATCACCGAATTTTAAATATTCTTTCTCAAAAGCAAAATAAATAGTTAAATGATTTTTTATTTTATTTTAGAAGAAGAGATTCTCGAAGCATTTCGAGGCTACGACCTTGATCAAGACGGGTTTATCACCAGGTCACAAATAAAATAAAAAAAACAGTAATTTTAAAAAAAGTTAAAAGTAGAGAAATTATTGAAAGGGGCTGTGCAGTTATTTCCAAAAAAGTACACCGTAATTTTGGAATAAGGAACACAACTAAAGTTCGCGTACTGTCCCATTAAAATCCAGAAAGTTTTACTTTTTGGTAAAATTATAATGATTACTTGAAAATCAGACATTTTACTCAAATATCATGTTTGATTTTAAAGTCAGCTATAGACGTTTCTTTTCTAAAAACCTCTTATTGGTATTTTCAAATAATTACACAATCTCTTTAAAGTCGTCTTCATAGCCCTGAAAGTTGTTGTTTTGAGGATTATATATCAGGGATGAGATGGTTGAAGTATTGAAGAGGATTATATATCAGGGATGAGATGGTTGAAGTATTGAAGAGGATGGGAACAATTAGAAACTCAGAGCTTGAAGCAGAGAAATGTATTCAGGTAAATGTCCATACTTAGCACTGAAAACTCAGGTTCATTTGAAGTAACGGACTGTCTTAAACAGAGATAAGGCAAAGTGTACACTGTGCACTGTACAGTATAGCGTACAGACAATAGACGGCAGAACTGGGCAGTACACTGTACAGTATAGCGTACAGACAATAGACGGCAGAACTGGGGAGATTACTTTGTCAAGGAAATATAATCTTTTATGGGAATTGTAACCGAAAACTCACCACTAATTCTAATATAGATTTTAAACTATATTTCGACTAATGATTTCTTGAATAATATGTTTATTAGTCAGGACTTATCTAGCCAACCAGGGCTATTTTAAATGATAAGCTCTACATAAAAAATTACAAAATATTTGAATCAAAGAAAATGAGGATTGGAGGAGAGGGAAAACGGAAAAACGAATGGCGAACCGTTGATTTTTCTAAGTACTTTGCATATCACAGAAAAGTGGAGAAGATTGGAAGAGTAATCACAAACACAGCTCTGCAAAATTAATTACTTAAAGGCAGAGTTCTATTTTAAGCAAAATATTTTTTTTTATATTTTTCTTTAAAAGATTGCTTCTTGTAATTTTTAAAATCTGTTAAGAGATTTTATTTCTTTTGTGTCAATATGTCCACTTTGTTCCATTATAGCCGAGGAAACGTGACTTATGGAAAATTAGCGATATATTTATTCACAACTTTTTCTATCTTATAAGATTTTGTCCTGTTTGATTAATGTTGCAACCTGATGTTGTTTTACATTTAATATTTAAAACTTTGTACTCTGAGTTCAGGCCAAAAAGTTTAAGTTTTACATATCAAAGGTTTACAATATCAAGTTGCAAAAATATCGGGGTAAAAAAATTTGAATTTCTTTGAAGTGTTTCTAGCTCGTTTATAAATAACCAAAGTTAAAGAGTCTGTTGATCTAATTTCAAGTGATCCTTCTTTAAAAAAAGAAAATAAACGATTGACAAAGTTACCATTTCAAATAAAAACAACAATAACTTTGTCAATGTTACTTAGATAAAGATTTAAAGGGGACCGTTGTTAATCACATACGGCACTCACTTGAAATTATGTCTGCAGTCCCTTTCAGTCAAATTTCATTTAGGAAATGGATCTGGATAAAGATGGAAAAGTCAGTTTTGTAGAATTTTTGATAAAATGGAGAGTTTCGTAAAATTGTATAATTATTAAAGCTAAAGTGCCCGGCGTTGCCCAGTTTAATCATTGTTACTACCGTCATTTACCCGCGATTGGTCTTAAATTACGATTTTATCTATACAAGTCGACCCACTAAATTAAGAATATCAAAACCAAGCTTAGAACATTTCCGTGGTTCTCTCGAGTTCCCCAATCAAAGAATGAGACATAATTGAGTAAAAAATGTTTAATTTTCTTAAAGAAATCCTTTGACTATAGCTTATATCATTTAGCATGGAAGCCTAGTATTATTCCTGACATTAGTTTTGCCATGAAATAAAATCCTGAGATTAACAAGAAAATGTTCAGAATTTAATAATAAAAACATATTTAACCTTAACCTGAGTCAAAGTACAATTTGTGAAGAAAAAAGTGCAGTGTAAATTATTAAAATATATAGATATAATAACAAATTACAAAACTACATGTTTCTATATATTCAGTCAATAAAGCATAGAAATTTTAAACATATCACAATCTAATTTATTCATCTTTTTAAAGATAAGTATTTGTTAAAAATATGTAAAGTTCCGAAAATGTTTTAGAATTTCCAAAATAAAAATTAGATTCCATGTACTTGTCTTTCAAAAGACAAATATTATTTTATAAGGAATTCGATTTTTATCTCTATACACAAGAGATTATGTACGTTGTTGTCTCGACATGTTTGAAATAGCGAGGACAGTTCGAACTTTCGAGAACTCTAATCGAACTCGGCTAACTACAAATTTGCGAGGAAATCTATACTTTTAGGATTATTTTAAAGGTGTTGCTCATGTCATAGCGAACTTTTGTTTTACCATTTTGAGGAAAAAAACTCTACTGCATTGATAATGATAATATAAATAAAAAATAGACTTTTAGAAGTGATTGAACTAGAGGCCAAATGATATAATGTTCAATTGAACTAACATCGCAAAATGGGGTTTTAGTCCGTTTAAACTTTAGTACAAATGAACACAATAAAAATTAACTATTTTCAAATGAACTAATTAAAAAACATTACATGGGCATCATCATTTTAAAGATCTGTGGCCGAGCGCCGGCCTCCTAACCTTGCCTATCCGCAACGCAACTTCCCCTAGTTAGGGATGGTCACGTTCCAACTTTTTAAAAATCGTTCCGTTCTGTTCTAGAACGAGGGCCTTCAGCTAGATCGTTCGTTCTTTTTCCAATCGTTCCATCCACGTTCCGTTCCGTTCTTTTAGTTCTTAGTCGAGAACGGTTCCATCCCGAGTGTTAAACAATTATTTAGGTAATTTTTCTTAAGTGCACTCATCAGACACTCCCTCTTAATACTGCAGTGGTGTAGCTAGTAAGCTTCAAGGGGTGAAAAATAGAGATGTAAATTTTACTTTAAAAATATCTATATTTTCATAGAATTTGTTAAATAAATTATGATATCAAATCTTTATTTACACTGAAGACTGTATTGATTAAAGCTTTTTAAGGAAATTTTTTAAGTTATGGGCAAAAGTGAGATTTTAAAAATATTTTTTATTTGATGTAATTATACTTAAATGGAATACATGCGTAATTTCAAGTGACCCTCTATTTATAGAGTGGCATCATGGCATGTCCGATGTACCTTTGAAACCTTTATTTGTTTATTTCAACATTCTTTTCAAACAATTTCCGCTCGTTCCACGTTCGTTCTATTAATTATCGTTCCAATATTTTTAAGAACGCGTTCTATGTGTTTATTATTTTTTTTCGGAACGATGGGATCGTTCTCGTGAAAGAACGATAGGTTCGAAGGGACAAAGCTTAGCCCTACCCGTAGCCACAGCGCCTGGCCCCCTAACCTGTCCTAGCCGCAGCGCTCGGTCCAGAAATGGTCGTAACCTGCCCTAGCCTTCAAATATTGATATTATGGAATATAATTTTTTGGACTATATTTCAAATGATATGACACCCACCAAACAACATGTTTAGATTAGAATTTATTCCTGTTAATAAAGCCATATCCCTTTTCGCAAACCCAGCCTTTCCTTGATAAGGAATTTTTATGTTTTCTTAATCTTGAAACGATTGGATGCTAGTTTGATAGATAGATAGTTAGATATTAGTTAGTTAGATAGATAGTTGGCTAAAAAGCAGTGAGGGCTTGGCTCAGGCAGATAATAGACCTAAATTATACCTGCGCAATTTGCGTCATTTAGTGTACGCACTCTACGTAGGTCCGGAAAAGCGTAAGAATGCTGTTGTCAGATAAGAATAAAAAACACTTCAATTTGATATTTAGTAATATTTCTTAGTTAAAAATTTTATTTTTTAAAAGTTTTCAAGTAAGATGCAAATCTCACAAGAAACCTTTATTAATAAAAGTGTGTTTCATTTCAGTTTTTCTAACTAGATCTGACGCAGCTTATGCGTTTTAAAGTGAAATAAAAGTACAGAGATAGTTTAACAGTTTTAATGATTATTTCTGTTGTTTTCTTAAAAAAGTGTATTGTAATGTATAACCTTTATTGGGAACAACTTTCTTCTAAAGAATGTGAGCAAACTTTTAATATTAATACTTTTCATATCTCTCTTACAGGATTTCTTTGAGTTTAGAAAAATGCCTTTTTTATTATATTCACCTCTTTTTAACACTAACTCTTCATTATTTTGACAGTTTTGACTCTATATGATGCCTTTTTCTGCAATTTATAAAATTCTAATTTGTTGTCGCATCTTTCATTTAAGAATCGGGGGCAGTCTAAGAAAAAACCCGAAACTTAAGACTAAAATGTTTTAAACCTGTGTTATGTATGATAGTGAGAAGAAGATATATTAAGAACCATCAGAAAGATATTTTGTAGTCCAAAATGCATTTGTCCCACTACCTCCGTGTACTTCTAACTGGTTTTAACTAGTTTTGAATTTAAAGTACGGAGACTGAAACTAAAATATTGAGAATTATACATTGAGCCTATTAATTTTTTGTTAGCAAAGACTGCAGCTTTATACAGGATATAAAGTTATAAAACTGGGAGTCGATTAAACTAATAAGATATCATCGTGTCGATTATACTAATAAGATATCATCGTGTCGATTATGCTAATAAGATATCATCATGTCGATTATACTAATAAGATATCATCATGTCGATTATACTAATAAGATATCATCGTGTCGACTAAACTAATAATATATCATCGTGTCGATTATACTAATAAGATATCATCGTGTCGATTAAACTAATAAGATATCATCATGTCTATTATACTTTTTTTAAAAGAGATTTTTTTGTCCCCAGGACATGATCGGGTTGTTACGATCAAATCTCGNCATCATGTCGATTATACTAATAAGATATCATCGTGTCGATTATACTAATAAGATATCATCGTGTAGATTATACTAATAACTTCATCAGTGGGATAAAATATATGAGAATTGAGAATGCCATATTGTGCTTGTTTTTTACTGTTGAAATCCACAAGTCTCGTCATCAAACCTAGATCTTCCAAGAATTTCTACTTCTCAAGTTCTTGATGTTGTTTACTGGAAATAACAATTCTTATCTTTCGTTGTATAATATTTTTGTTTCCGCGTTCAAACAAACATACAATAAAAAAAATGAGTTGAATTTTCTAAAATATTGTTTTTGTTTATCTGTCTACATATCCATCTATATATCTATTTATCTGTCTAATTCTCAATATTTCAATACATCTATAGCTCTATCTACATTTTTCATTTTTTATTTTTTTAATATATAAGTTTTTATCTAACAACCTTGTTAAAATCATTTGTTCCCTCTATCCATCAATATATCTATCCTATCTGTCTTTCTATTTATCTAATCATTTATCTATTTATCTATCTATTATCTTTTTCCCTCTCACTCTATATATATAAAGATATATATAAATCTATATCTATTAAACCGCCTTGTTTAAAGCAGCAGTGCATGTTTTATCTAAAGGTCCAGTTCCCAGCAGGATTCTAAAGTGCAAACATATTCTGTGAACTCTGTCTGGGTTATATATATTATCAGGCAGTTAAAGGCCTGCCTGCCTGCTTACATACTTCTAACAAACGATTGATTATCATACTAAACAAACAAAAACAAGAACATGCATATGTAATATGTATACGTGATTTGTTTTGAGAACTCCATTTTTTGTGTTCAAACTGTAAATTCTGTTTACCATATCTGTTCCATTTACCATATCTGTTCCATTTACCACATCCGCTCCATTTACCGTATCTTTTCCATTTACCATATCTGTTCCATTTACCGTATCTGTTTCATTTACCATATTTGTTCTCATTCCTTATGCAGTTTTATCTATACCAATGCAGATCCATTTTCACCAAATCAGTTCCATTTTCACCATTGCAATTCCTTTTACCTTTGCAGTTCGATTGAAGTTCCATGTACCATATCTGTTCCATTTACCATATCTGTTCCATTTACCGTATCTGTTCCATTTACCATGTCTGTTCCATTTCATTTTGCAATTCTGTATATTATTCAGTTCCATCTATACCAATGCAGTTCCATTTTCACCATTGCAATCCCATTTACCTTTGCAGTTCGATTGAAGTTCCATTTACCGTATCTGTTCCATTTATCATGTCTGTTCCAATTCATTTTGCAGTTCGATATATCATTGCAGTTCCATCTTTATAATGCAGTTCCATTTTCACCATTGCAATTATTTTTACCTTTGCAGTTCGACTGAAGTTCCATTTACCATATCTGTTCCATTTACCATATCTGTTCCTTTTATCATATCTGTTCCATTTACCATATCTGTTACTTTTATCATATCTGTTCCATTTACCATATCTGTTACTTTTATCATATCTGTTACATTTACCGTATCTGTTACTTTTATCATATCTGTTCCATTTACCATATCTGTTACTTTTATCATATCTGTTCCATTTACCATATCTGTTACTTTTATCATATCTGTTCCATTTAACATATCTGTTACTTTTATCATATCTGTTACATTTACCGTATCTGTTACTTTTATCATATCTGTTCCATTTACCGTATCTGTTCCATTTACCGTATCTGTTACTTTTATCATATCTGTTCCATTTACCATATCTGTTACTTTTATCATATCTGTTACATTTACCGTATCTGTTACTTTTATCATATCTGTTACATTTACCGTATCTGTTCCATTTACCGTATCTGTTCCTTTTATCATATCTGTTCCATTTACCATATCTATTCCCCTTATCATGTCTGTTTCATTTACATTATCTGTTCCATTTACCGTATCTGTTCCTTTTACCATTTATCATTGTTCCATTAATAATTGCAATTTTATTTGTGTTAATGCAGTTCCATCAAAACCAATGTAATTCCTTTTACCTTTGCAATTTCCATTTATGATTGAAGTTCCATTTACCATATCGGTACCATTTACTATTTCAAATTCAATGGTAATTGCAGTTCCTTTTACAATTGCAGTTCCCTTCACCATTGCATTACCATTTATCATTACAGATCCGAAATTGTTATTGCTGTTCTAATAACCATTGAATTGTGGTTCTATTTGATTTTGTTGTTCTACATATTTACCATTGCAGTTTTGTTTACCATTGCAGTTTCTTTTACCATTGCAGTTTCTTTTATCATTGCAGATTCTTTTACAATTTCAGTTTCTTTTAGCATTGCAGTTTCTTTTATCATTGCAGATTCTTTTACAATGGCAGTTTCTTTTAGCATTGCAGTTTCTTTTATCATTGCAGATACTTTTACAATTGCAGTTACTTTTAGCATTGCAGTTTCTTTTATCATTGCAGTTTCTTTTACCATTGCGGTTTCTTTTACTATTGCAGTTTCTTTTACCATTTCAGTTTCTTTTACCATTACAGTTTCTTTTACCATTGCAGTTTCTTTTACCATTGCAGTTTTGTTTCTTTGCAGTATCTTCTGTCATCCTTGTTTTAAGTTTGTATTAAAGTCTTATGTCATTCCAATTAACAATACTATTTCTAATTACTAAAAATACTATATTATTGGTTAACAACATCAACCCCCNAAATATTTGAAGATTAAAAACCAGTTTTTGAATTACTCTGTCCTGGTTGTTCAGGTGGAAAAGCAATGGTTTTTTAAATATTCCAAAAATATTCTTTAAAAAAAAGACGATAAGCTTTTGAGTGGCGACTTTAGATGAAAAAAACACATTCCCGTTAAGATCGGGGCAAACTCATTTGTTTACCTTCGCTACCTCGTTTTATCCTTTGTGCAAGAATTCCTGGGAGAACTACTGCCCCCCCCCCCCCCCCCCTTCCGAAATAAAAGCGAATCTTTACATACTATGAAATAACAGTCTTTTTCCAGAGATTTCAGAATTTTAAAGGGACTGTGTATCTATTTGAAAACATTTATAATAATTTGTTCTATAAGCACAGGTTAGCCCATTTCAAAAGTAAAAGGGCCAGAATGGTCAGAATTGTCGATACATAATGATATTGAAGTCTCAAGGGTACCTTACTGCATGCAGGCTGCCCACAAACAATAACAATCGCTTTTCCTGGTAAATTATGTTTTCTTTGACGCAATGTTTTGTGATTGTTTGCGTATTTTGATATCTTGAAACTTTTCGTTGAATTGCGTATATGTTTGAAAACTGTAATTGTAACATGACTCTGTAACCGTGAATTAGTATTCTTCAAATCATGAATATTTGCACACTTCAGGTTATATAGAATCATGTAAACTGTGCAGTGTACAGGATTAAACGTGATTATATCAAACTGCGTGTATATATTGTAACGTTCAGTGTGCAGGAAAGGAATTGAGTCTTTGCCACAAACTCGGCTTTTCTACACCATATATCTTTGGATTCCAATGTCGTAGACCTTAGCTATTTCAAAAAATGAATTCTGTTAGATCAAGTGATATAAGTTTGAAATATTAAAGACGTACGACATTGGGTTCCAAAGCTATAGGGATTATAAATTCAGAGTTTGTGGCAAAGACTCAAATCATTTCAATTAATTTCAGCGTCCCTCTTTATATACAAATAAAAGCTAAAAGCTCATGATCCTAAAGTTCATGATCCTAAAGTTCATGATCCTAAAGTTCATGTTCCTAAAGTTCATGATCCTAAAGGGTTCTCGACTTAAAATTAAATTGTTCCTAAAATAAAAGTAAATAGTTTTTATTTGGAAAAAAGTATGAATAATAAGTATCTTCTGTACAGTGTACACTCCACTTATCAGTGAACAGTGTACAGTGGATTTTACCTATAAACTGTATAGTGTACAGTGTATTTTACCTATAAACTGTACAGTGTACAGTGGATTTTACCTATAAACTGTACAGTGCACAGTTCACATTTTAATCCCTGATAAAACTTATCTCTATTATTGTTTATCAAAATAATTTTAAGAATTTTTCCATGAAAATAAACACTGTGTGCATAAAGATAAATAATTCACTAAAATTTTAAAGGAATGGTAAACATCTTTATTTGGAAATATCTAATATTAGGATTAATGCACAATATATGGAAACAGTTAAGCTTGAAATATCTGTCATAAATGTTTTCTTGTTTTTAAGATGTTTAATTTTAATTTTCCGTCTATAAATTCTTCTTCTTTCGAATTTCATTATTTATGAAACAGCCGATCTCTGAAATGTTCTATTTATGAAATGATCTATGATTTTTCATAGAAAAAAGTCAATTTATAAAATGTCTTTCGATGAATTGTCCTAAAAGCAAAAATATGATGGAACTTTTTTACAAATTTTTTTTCACGGAGTTTAATAAATTTCTGATTTTGATTAGAATAATGGATGACGAGCCGATTCTAAAAGATGAGTTCAGCTGGGGATGCCGTACAGTACAATTAAAATTGTTTACATTCAGGAAACTTTATATGTGTACATAAACTAGGACTTAACCAGATAAATATCTTTTACAACATAAGAAGATGTGAAAACTTCCCTGAGCTTATTCTAACCTTAAAAATGAAAACATGGAAAATCTACTTGACAACTCCAATCTCTTTACTGATTTATTTTTAATTTTATAGAACATCTTGTCAACTGATGCCACCAATCCACCAATTATTCACTAGTAAAAACAAGCGGAAAAAGCATTTTACAAAAAAATTTAAGTATTTGGTTGAACGTAAAAAATTTAAACTCAACCAAATTTAAGAGAAAGGGTTGCATTTTCAGACAAAAGCAATATCCAAGGAAGACTTCACATCTTCTTTAATTAGTCCTTTCTTTAAAGAATATTTCGAATCACAATTCATAAACAAAAAGAAAAACTTCTTCTTTTCAACCAACAATTTAAATTGTTTTTAAGAATAAAAAATGCAAAAAAAATCAGGTTAGAAGAGGAAATTTATCAATTGATTTCAAACTAACCATCCTTTATATAACTTTTCTTTACTTTATTATTCCTATATCTTTGCAACCTGATGGTGTAAACCTTTGATATTGTAAACTTAGACTATTTGATAAAATAGAATTCCTAGTTTGAAAGCCAAGCAGTAAGGTAATAGAGATGAGAAAATTGTTCAGTTCCTTCTCATACTAAAATATCTAACTTTTTATTTTTATAAGAATCTTTAAGGTTTTCATCCCTTAAATATTGTTTTAATACTTTTCTCTGTCAAATATCCCAGTTTCCTCTATATTTTTATTTTATGTCTACATGTATAAGAATATGAAATGTATTTCAGATATTTTGTCTAAGATATGTAAAGTATGTATGTATATATAATGGATATATTGTATATTTATTGTAGGAAATATTGGAAATACAAGAACTCTAACTAGTCATACATTCGCAGATTAAATGGAATAAAGGGAATAACCTTCGTCAAAAAAGATATCGCGGGACGCCGGAAAATACTTTTTGAGTTTTTGGAAAACGTTTAATTTTAACTTCTTTTTTGAAACACATTGGCTGGAAAATATGTCAATGCGTACTGAATTTCTCCTTTTTTATTCCTACACCCTCTTTAAAATTTACACGATCACTCCCTTTCTATCGTATACTAATATTAAGTAAATAGGAATTAATTTTTTTATACTTCAGTATTTTTATAATTTAAACAACACAATGAACCAAATATTGCATAATTTCTTGAAAATACAGCGGTAGTTGCTGTTTAACACAATTAAAACAGGGCATGCTGCTTTTTCACGTTTTGTGATAATATAAATTATAAAGCTCTTCGCTCATATATATTTATATATTTCTATGTTTACTATAGCTGGCCAAATAGTTGGACCAAATTGGCTGAACATTGTTGAGGATATCCACGGGTACCTAGGGGGTAACATAGACTAAAAAATCATTTTTTCAAAAACCATTTTTTGAAATTGATTTTTTTTTCACGGGCAACGCCGGGGACTCTAGCTAGTAAATAATAATCCCAATGTACGAAAACTATGTTGGGTACTTAATTTTTTATTATAAAAAATGTAATTTTATTACTAACTTCAATCAAGAAAAGTGCTGATAAAAAGTTTGGTTTACATAGTCTCCAGCTAACTGGACTACCTTGCTGCTTAAACTGTTACAAAATACATCACGATATTCTTCTAGAGGATATCATTGGAACATCAATATCCAACTCAAAGTACGTACGTATGTTTACAAAAAGAAATGCTTAATTTGTGCTTATATTTTTAATATTCAGGAATCCTGGCTGCAATGATGGTGATGGAAGGTATTTACATGTGTATTGGTATCCCAGAAAAAAGGTTTATGAGAGCGACAAGGAGATGATCTTGGTCTGCAGAAAAATTATTTGTCTCAGGTCAGTTAGAAGGGATCCCATTGTCTTTATAAAGCACTATAATTAATTAAATATATGTTTGGATTTTAAAATTCGAAATTAAGGTCTTAAAGGAAGTGTTCGCAAAAAAATGAAAGGGGGTATATAGGCTTACGGCGAAAAATAATCGCTTTTGATCGCTACTAGTCTTACCTCTATCAGTTGCGTCTATAAGGAGAAAATTGTTAAAAACGACTTATACTGAAGAACGTAGCGTCCATACAAATTCAGAAATTTTCAATATATGACTCGGATCGTAAAAAATCAATTTAATTTAAAAAAAAATTCAAATCAAAAATATTATGAAATATCAATTATATATGAATGCGTCGAAAAATAATCGATGACTATAGGTTGTAATATCTGAACGATGTGTTTTAAATTAAATTGATTTTTTACGTATATTGCAAATTTCTGAATTTGAATGGACGCTACGTAGCGATCAAAAGCTATTTCTTTCGCCGTGAGCCTATACCCGCTTTCATTTTTCACGAACACTCCCTTTAAAATATATTTGACAAAAATTCTGGTTATATCTAGCGAGTAGTTTAGGACTTTGCTACATGCACTTATCTATGCATGCTTAAATACTTTTTTTTGCGTTTTTTTAAATGAGTCTATTGCATAAGATTATGCTTATCTCTAATATTTTGATTTTCAACAAACTAATTTTATGTTTTAATAATTTTAAACTTAGGTTTAACGGCAACAAAGAAGAGGCAGCTACAAGGAATAAAGTCATGAACCTAAAAGATATTAAAAATTAGAAATTTTAGAATATTTTTTTTTAAATGGGCCCGGTCACTTATGCTTTTCTTCAAACACCACTTATCTAACTTTAAAATTAACAAAATGAGTTTTACTATTTACTATAAGATTTTAACTTTATTTTTCTTATTTATTAATGAATTTATTAGACTGAAGGTATGGGATCGATCTGTTCAGTATTATTCAAGAGGACTTGTCAGGATATCACAAGGTGGAATAATTCATGCATTCCTTCATTCAGCAATCCACCTATGCACCTATTCATTCATCAATCCATATTTGTTAACCATTAATTTCAAAACCTCTGTAAAATGTCGTCTTCTACTGGAATCTCCTGTCGGAGACAGCCAAACCAAATTTTCAGCCCGCAAATTCCATTGCCCTCCTCCGACGGAGCTTGAAATATTTCGTTGTTGTGAAATCATTAAAGTTAAGCAAAATATTTTCATAAGAAGCATAAGTGAATTTCGTTAAATATTCAACTGTAATTTTTTCAGAAGTTAAAAACGTATTTCAATACTGACCAACAAATAAGTCACCCCTTCTATACTTAAATAATTCGTAAGATTTTTTCTACTATTAACATTCATTATAACATTGTACAATTAAACATGACCTATAATTTATGTTATTTTTTAGGAAATAAAGATTTTGTTATCGAATTTCTGTGACGGGGTTACTCTGTTGTGTGTGTATTGTTCGGCCATCGGGAAAGAATCGTCTGGGGATAATAAACACCCCTTTCAAAATCCCTACCGGCCTATTATCCGGATTTGTCTAGCGTGTCGCTGTTATCTGTCAACAATATTACTGCAAACTAGACTGAAGGAGACTGAAGCCAAATCATGCGACATCCGACTTTGTAATTTCGAAGAAAACATTAAGAATTTCAAAACCCTTTCCAGAAGTTTGATATAATGCAGACAAAAAATATTAGTATTTTTTCTTCTCTAGCAGCTAAATTTATATCTGCATGAAATGAGTTTATGAAAAAATGTGTTTACCCCATAATGACGTATTTAAGATATGTACAATTATTGCTCAATGCATGCAGTGTACGTAGAAATATTTTTTTCGCTCAACTGTAAATTAAAAGGTTATGTTTTAGATGCAATATTATCTTATGTACACCCTGTACATAAACCTATACTGTTCTTGGTTAATCCAAAGTCAGGCAAAGGATTAGCAGGTAGATTAAAGTAAAGCTTATTTATTAAAAAAGTGGGGAATTGCCCGATTCACACTTGTACCTTAACAATATGTATGTTATCGTCCTTTTTATCTCTTGAAAAGTGTTTAATTCTGGCAATTTTTCACCAATTTGCGCTCAAGTCACTTTACAGAGAAACCACAACTAAAAAAAATCGATTTTCAAAGAGAAGATTTCGGCTATTTTATACATTCTTCATCATTCAAAGCTTACTCTGGCAACGTTGAGAACCGGATATGCAGCTCTTTTTTTAAAAGGAGAGTCATCTTACGATCTAAAAATAAACTTGAAGTTATATTTCAGAAAAATTGTTTCACCAGCAAATAGAACCGGTTCTAGTTCAGGCGGGTCGTCCCTTTAAACTTCTACTCACAACCAAACCAAACCACGCCAGGTAAAACCAGGAGGAAACATGAAACATGAAACATGAAACATGAAACATGAAACATGAAACATGAAACATGAAACATGAAACATGAAACATGAAACATGAAACATGAAACATTTAACATTAAACATTAAACATTAAACATGAAACATGAAACATGAAACATGAAACATGAAACATGAAACATGAAACATGAAACATGAAACATGAAACATGAAACATGAAACATAATACATGAAACATAAAACATGAGACATGAAACATGAAGCATGAAATATGAAACATGAAATATCAAACATAGATCATAGAATCACTCCAAAAATAAGACAGTTTTTGATTATAAAAAATATACTAAAGTTTCTTTTCTAGTTGAAAATTAAAAATATTAAAATCTAGATTTGTTACAAACATGAAACATGAAAAATGAAAAATGAAACATGAAACATGAAACATACAATATTACAAAAATAAAACGTAAAGATTTGAAAATATTTCTTGTAATTATAAAAATTGATCAAATAAGAGATGATATGAACCAAACCAAACCAAACCAAACAGAAAATTCTAGAAACATGAAGAAGATCATATTTTGCAAAATGCATTGAAATTCAAGCTAAAGTATCAGTTATGTACAGTAAAACCATGAAATAACAGAGTGAATTATTCAAAATTCTAATTGTGTTGATTAAATAAAATTGTTAATCCAATCTTTGCATAACGAATAAGTTTATTTTATGCTCCCTTTAATTTGCCATAATTACGTTTGCCAAAATTTAACTTTTTATAATAACAATTGTCATAATTACACTTCCTATAATAACTACTTTTTCCATGAGTAACATCTACCTATATATATAAATAAATAATAAATGTCAATACGGAATATGGCCGATGAAACTGCGCCAATTTTTCTAAAAAAACTGAATAACCATGAAAGCCTGACAAAACCAAATTTTAAAGTTTATTTAGCAAAATTTAAGAATCGCCCCCCCCCCCCCCTCCCCTTCCTCACAGCTCCTCACCTTAGGTTACGCTTCGCATCTGATTTTTTAGAGAAGTGATTGCCCACCAGGATTTAAGCGAATGGGGTGCTATTGTGGCCGTTTCAGGTACTGATATAGATCAAATTAAGTAATGTTTTTTCTTCTGTATGTACACTATGAAATAAGAAATCGCTGATATATAACAAAAAAAACGTTTATTTGGCAACAGAAGTTGGATAATTACCAAACTGTGCAGTGTGCACGTCCTCACGCAAAAAGTATCATTTTGCCAAGAACTAGTTTTAAGTTAGAAACAAGCGCGTTGCAAGAATATATAAGTCTTGGTCTACAAAAAAAGTATAAATGAGTTCGTAAAACTACAGGCCTAGGTGTTGCAGCACATAAAGTCTAGGCGCTGTCTTAAAATAAGAACTTTTAGACTTGTCTAAATTTCAGTGCAAAAAAAGTGATTTTTTGTTGTTAAATATATATAATCATTTTTTTGTCGCTTTTTTCCAGCCATACAACTTTTCCTGCAAAATAAGCAATTTTTTTATTTCGAAATTTCAAGTGTTAAATGTAAAATGTAAAATGAAAAGTGTAAATTTGTATTCAATTCTATTTAGAACAATCATAGCTGCAAGTTGCAATAACTTTTCAACCAATTTAAATGTGTTTAAATGAGTTGAATTGATTCTCATATCTCTCACTGGAAACAAACTTAAATGGGTTGAACTTATTCTCAATATCAAATCTTTAAAAAAAATATATTTCGAAACTAAAAATATTAGATTAAAAATGTTTGAAAATGTTCCTAAATATAAAACAGAATTTAGATAAACTGTAAATAGAAGAAAAAACTTTAGATAAAGTTAACCAGGAAACTTTCTACCCCTAGGAGACGGATTGATCCATGAGATGATTAATGGATTGTTTGAGAGGAAGGATTGGTCGTCTTCCTTCAAAACTCCATTCGGAGTTATTCCCGGGGGCAGTGGAAATGGTCTGGCTCGGTATTTATCATTTTTTTTTACTTTAATGAATTGAAATGGGGGGGCACCCCCGTCTAGACTTTAAATTTATGCAAAATTACTGTTTTGACTTTGTGACATCGTAGTCAAAGTACGCCTAGATACGAAAAAAAACATTATTATAAACTTTTTTATTCTTCTTGAAATAGCTCTTGAGAAAACGGCATTTTCATTGAAAACATGAAAAAAATAATCTAACATAAAATTTATTAAAATTTGACGTTGGACAGGGGAGATACTTGGCCTTTATAGTTTTATTATAATCATTATTAGCATAAAATATAAATATTCAATAAAATAATAATTTCATTTTTGTTTTTAAGATCCTTGGCTTATCACAGAAAAGAGGTTCATGATAGGGATGGTGTGTTATTATTATTATTATTATTATTATTATTATTATTATTATTATTATTATTATTATTATTATTATTATTATTATTTTTATTTATTCTTTTATAATAGTTTTTTCTTAAGCATTTAATTACTTTGAATTTTCAAATTATCTGAAATAAGATATATAGTTTAAATGAAAACGATTGGTTGAATAGTTGTAAAAAATTGGATTGATTAATTACTAAGGTTAATATCAGTTCTTACATTAAATATATTAAATAATCTAAAAAAGCAAACTTAAACAATTCTAAAATAAATGTCTTAGATTCTTGTAAAGCATCTTAAAAGTCTAAAACACTGAAGTTTTTAACACTAGCCAGAGAGCAGTGTTCACTTCTATTCATACTATTCCTTTAAATCCTTCCTTGATTGATATTTCAGAATACCCTTGCTGTCATCAGAGGAGAAAATAAACCAATAGATCTTGTTTGTGTAGAAACTAAAGGGACAGATTGCAAATAATCATAATTAAAAACCATAAAGTAATTGAGTCTTTGTCACAGGCTCAGATTTTATATTCTTTAAAATCTTCGCAACCTGATGGTGTAAACCTTTGAAACTTAGATTATTCCATCTAACAGAATTCATAGTTTGAAATATCTAATGACAACTACGTTGGGTTACAAAGATAAATTGATTGAAAGATAAGTACGTTTGTGGCAAGAGCACCTTTTCTTTCAATTAAAAGTAATTCAAATAAAATGTTTTGGTGATCTAAGTAGCTTAACTAATTATCGAATACTTTTTTATTTATATAAGAGAAGTAGTTCAGAGGGGTATATGCAGGGGGGGATTAGTGTGGTTCAGCCAACCCCCTGAGGAAATTCCTGTGTACGCCCCTGACGTAGTTTTCTTAAATGTACATAGTTCAACTAGAATTCTCAGTACTGATCAGTTTCGATTTCAAATTGTGCTCCTAAATAAATGATAAAATAATTATGATAATGATAATGAAAAATATATCCAACCTGTCCTGTATAGAGGGTCCAATCTACTCCTGCCTCAGTATAGGGTTCGCTTTCATGGCAGACGTGGATATTGAATCAGAGTGCCTTAGGTTAGTTCTTTTATTTTTACTCTTTATACAATTTGTAACATTGTAAATGTAAAAGGTCCACTTCAGTTAAAATAAAAGGGCAGCTTTAACTTTGAAAAATGTAAGACATTTAACTTCATTTACTTTTTTTAAATATTCTAGCGCAAAGCTGTATTAGAGTTATAGGAAAAGCCCTCCCCTATCCCAGCCTGGCTAGGGATATAGATTATAATTATTAACTAATCAACATATATCCCAAACACGTCAAATTACATAATCTTACATGTTTCCATTCATGACTCCCTATTTTTAAAATCCTGAAAGTTTTCTATTTGTTCAAATTAGCATGAATTTTCTTTTCTTATACTTCTTGAGGGTTAAAGCAAAATGAGAAACGAGGTCCCAAACACCATGTTTTTGTCTGGATCCAAATTCAACTTATTTGTTCAGGTTTATTGGTGATCTAAGGTTCCCGTTATGGAGTATTATCAGGTTTACAAAACTTAGATACTACAGGTAAATTGTAATGATTATTGCCACTATCTATTACAATTACAGACATATATCTTCGGGTTTTCGAGATCAATCATTTGCTCTCTCAGAGAAAGGGCGTGTACAAATGTCTTTCACTAGGTTCCTGTACTTCGTTTCATAAATCCCATTAATGCTTTCTCTCTATATATGTTTAGATATATCTCACAGAGTATGAATGAATGGGATTCATCAGCTTTTATATTTAATGATCTAAATACATCTGTTTATGTTTATTCTTTGCGTCCTGCAGCAGTTATTTCTACAACAGATACGTGAATCGTTGTCTACAAAGATCTGCGTCTCATGTCCCTAAATTATCTTATTCTTATATGATGGGTATTTGGAGAGCTGTCTGTAAAGAGCAGCGTCTCCTGTAACAAGATCATCTTATTCTTCTATAATGGATATGTGAAGAGCTATCTGTAAAGAGCAGCGTCCCCAGTATCAGGTCATAGCTTCTGCTGCTGGATTTCTAAGTCTGACTAAATCTTCTAGCTGCTCCAGATATATGAAGAGCTGTCTGTAAAGATCAGCGTCTCCAGTATCAGGTTTATCGTCTGCACCTGGAGTCCTAAGTCTGACTAAGCTGCTCCAGATATATAAAGACCTGTCTGTAAAGATCAGCTTCTCCTGTCTCATGTTTAGCTTCTGCTCCTGGAGTCCTAAGTCTGACTAGATCTTCTAGCTGCTCCAGATATATGAACAGCTGTCTATAAAGATCAGTTCCTGTCTCAGGTTTAGCTTCTGCTCCTGGAGTCCTAAGTCTGACTAGATCTTCTAGCTGCTCCAGATATATGAAGAGCTGTCTATAAAGATCAGTTCCTGTCTCAGGTTTAGCTTCTGCTCCTGGAGTCCTAAGTCTGACTAGATCTTCTAGCTGCTCCAGATATATGAAGAGCTGTCTATAAAGATCAGCTTCTCCTGTCTCAGGTTTAGCTTCTGCTCCTGGAATCCTAAGTCTGACTAGATCTTCTAGCTATTCCAGTCTCAGGTTTAGGCAGCATCTGATATCTTGAATATCCTAGTTCTCCGCTGTATCAAGGATATTCCAGTGGGTAATTCAGACGGGCTGGTACGAGAGCAATCGGTCCAGTTCTAGAAGCTACAGGATAATTATTTACAGACGAGTATGGAGAAACCGTGTATTAGTCTTGTATAATGAGGTGGAAGGAGGCCAGTGTCCTCCTTAGTCCCCTGGTAGGCAGAGTAGGCATGATAAAGATATATCTATCTGTTAGCTGTCTGTTGTGCAAGCCATCCAGCCTTCCTATACAAAAGATTAAACTCTGCGTCTGTATTCTAGAAATGTTGGTTGTGCACTGATCTTATTCTTCAAGTTCTCTACTCCGCTCAGAGCCGGAGAAAGGGTTGAAAGGGTTTCCAGTATACAATCATACTTTATATATTACATTATGCTCTAAATATTACAAAATATCGTAAAAACAAACAAAATTTTAATAATTATGGAAAATAAAAATGTATTCACGAAATAATTAAATCATTTGTAAACATCTTTAAAATTTTCACGCTTTTTTAAAAAAGAATATTATTTCAAGGACTGTTGGTGTAAGTTCAAGTGACCCTTATTTTATAGAATTTCATGTCAGATTCACAGGGGTACCCTTAACCCTATAAAGGCTGGGGGGGTCTGAAGCTATGCAAAGTCTGGGGGGCGTTTGGCGCCCCCCCTAGAAAAAGGCCTTAGAGAATATGTATAGGGTTGAAATGCATGTGCATGGCCCAATTTGCCAAGGCCAGCTCATTGAAAAAATTAGACCGATAACTTTCATAGTTTGGGTGCTAGGGAGGGTTAAAAAAAACGCCAAAACAAGGGTCACAAAAATTTAAAACAATATTTTTTTGTTTTAACAAATATGAAAGTGTGACACATGTATCCCTATCCATTTTTCCTTTACAAAAAATCTTTTAAATTACTATTCATTAAAAATCACAAAATTTCATGATAATAGGATCAAAAATTAGACAAAAAAACTACTGGTGGGCGCCAAACGCCCCCCTCCTCAGCCTATTTAGGGTTAAACCCTTAGTCTTATCAAGGATGAATGACAATTGCCTGCCTACTTGTTGAGCTGAAAATTGTTTAATTTAATTGTGGTTTCTCTCTAAAAGTGACTTGCGCATTCATTTTATAAAGGAAGTAAATAGAATTCAACACTTAAAGCTAGATAGAAATTTGACTGATACTCCTCATTGTTGAAAATATATTGGCGTGAATCGGACATGCCATTTTTATTATTTTTTTAATGGAGGGTCACTTGAAATACGTCAACAGTTACATTAAGCAACATTTTAATAAGAATAACTTTGTGCAGTAATCACTAACTGTAATCATAATTACTTATCTATAATAGTGACTAGCTGAAGTGCCCGGCGTTGCACGTGGTAAAAAAACAAACTTCGAATTAAAAAAAAATTTAATTAAAAAAAAACAAATTTTTGAAAAAAATGATATTAAAAAACTTATTTAAGAAAAATTCATTAAAAAGATTTATTTTTGAAAAAAAAAAATCAATTCAAAACAAATAAATGTAGAATTTTTTTTAGCCTATGTTACCCCCGGGGTGCTCATAGGTTTCCTAAAAAAAATGTCGGCCAATTCGGTCTAGCCGTTTGGCCAGCTATTGCTAACATATATGAGCTTTATTATATCAATAGCATCGGATCGAATGAATAACAGACTAACAGTAAATATAATTCTTTTAACAACAACCCCTCTGAATACAGAATACTAGAATAAACTTTTATTCTCTTTAGAAATCAAGATTTCTGCATTTCGCGGCCCTTTGAAATACTTTCTTTTTATCATGCTAGGTCTAGAGCAAATTCTATACTTTAACGAGTTTAAAATTTTTAATAAAAATCCAAGCCGAATATCTTTATTAGTTTAAGTAACAGTTTGAGTAACAATTGCCGGGCTTTATTATCTCATTTCTAGTTAATATTTTAATAATTCATTGCAATCACTATTTTTAATCTGTAAATGACGGAGATATATAAATTTTTCTTTCTGAAATTTCAAAACTCTTTTATTTCTTTCACAAAAGGGAATCCTTATTCCTTAAAGAGTTAGTTTCACCGTTTAAATTGTCGGTTACTGAAACGTTGATTGATAAATATATATACATATATAGGAGAAATTATTAATACTATTATTTGCAGAGTTCGACTTTGGTACCTACCAGCTGACAATATGGAACTACAGAAGAATGGTCAAAAGAAAAACAAGAAAGAGAAAAATCAGAAGAATGGTTCCGTTTCTAAGGTATCCATATTTATGAATACTCCTTTCAGGTATAGTGCATGTCACACACTCCATATTTGAAAATAGTTAACTTCCCGTATAACAAAAGTTCCATATTTATGAATACTCCTTTAACTGTCTAGTATACTTCACACTCCATATTTATGAATTCTCCTTTAACTGTCTAGTATACTACACACTCCATATTTATAAATACTCCTTTAACTCTCTATCCTACACACTTCATAATTATGATTACTCCTTTAACTTCCTAATATTCTAAACACACTCCATATTTATAAATACTCCCAGTAAGCGGATGTTACTCTATGTATAGAGGAAACATTTTGGAGTTCCTTCTCATAATATATTTAGGAGGATACATTTATATATACATATCCGTATACAAACATACACACACAAACTTAATTAAATATTAATTTTCCCTTTTTCCTTTTCACTTTATTCAATTTAATATCTTATTTACATTTTTTAGAATTTTCGATATTAAATTAACTTTTCCTTCTATATACATAGAGAATAGAATGAGAGGAATTTAAAGAATCTCTCGGTATGATTTTTTTCAGTCCCTTTCAGCCTGAAAGGAAGTTCAAAGTGTACAAATCATGTAAATGTTCACAAATTATATGCAGTAGAGTACATTAATACAGTATGTGCCCTAGACTTTTCATTTCAATTTCGAATTTTTTAAGTTAAATAAACTTTATGATGAATTAGGTGAATAAAAAACATCATTTTATTTATAGTTATAACGGAAAATCATCGTTTGTAAAGTGAAATGATCATTGGTCAATTATGAAACCAGCCTATTTCATAATTTGGTTTTCTTTTAGCAATAATTTTAGATTTTCTATAAAATGATATTCCAGGGCCCAAAAGGTTATATAGCATATATGTAAATTACACCTGCAGTATGGAAACAGTACAACAAAATGGCCGTTTTACACTTTTTTCTAGTAAATTCCCCCCTAATATATATTCTATTCTCTATGTCTATGTACCAGCTGCACAGTGCACAGTGTACACTGCACTCATAGATGTAAATGAATATAGATCGCTAATGTAACTGTAAACTGTAAAGGTGTAAATTGTACAACCCCTTGTACAACATGAACTCGTCATTTGAAAAGGTCATTGAATACAATATTTGTAAATAATATTTGTAAACAAACCCCCATAAATTTACTTGCGGCAAACCTTTTTATCCCATGTACTGTATGTCAGTAGCTAGTACCATAGCTAAATTGCCAATTTTCAATTTCAACCGCAACCCTCCGGTATGGTGAAGACGACATAAGCGATCTATATTCTTGTACGTCTATGACTGCACCATACAGGAAATTCACAAAATATAAGATATGATGTTAGCTTCTGAAACTAAAGGCTTCATCCAAAATGAAAATTATTGTTTTTATTAGATTCATGTTATTTCTGGTATTATTCAATGTTCAATAAATTTTAACAGTGAAGCAGGCGTGACAGTGACAGGAAGCTCCGCCAGAGAAACAGGATTTTTTTTTCAAAATAACATTGAATTGGTTACAAACACTCATAATAAACTACCTACCATTAATTCCAAATTCGTTGTATTTGGGAAACGTTTAAAAGCTGTTTCTGGAAGCATCTGCATAGAATGAGGGATTTATTTAAAGTTTCAAAAAATTCGAAAATATTTTTTCATTGATATTTTTTTTCCAGCGTTCTCGGCTCTCTGGCCTAGACAACAACGGTGTACAAGTAAGTAGCTAAAATTTGGTGATACAAAATTAAAATAAAACTTTACATTTCGATTTTTAAGAGATATTTGGAAGCAAGATTTCTTTATTCTTTATCTAACAATATGACCCTCTTTTCTGCAGTTTAGTAAAAATTTAAAACATTATTAAGAAGTGTTGTTTACTTTTTATCAAATTATGATTATATAAAATATTTCAAGTATGAAGAGGGTATGGGAGTTTATCGGTCACATGACCGATATTATTCAACCTGTGACACAAACTACGAGAGCACAATCTGCGATGATTCATCGTTACATTCATATCAGGTGAAAATAAGACGATATTCACATCAGGTGAAAATAAGACGACATTCACATCAGGTTAAAATAAGACGACATTCATGAAATCAGTTATTTCATCCCTTCTCAATTCTCAATCAGATTTAAAAACAGAAAATTTATTTCTTTTTACATCGTTTATACCTAAAACTGTCAATTAAAGAGACTGTCAGATTAATTTCAAGTGACCGGGACCCCCGGGACCCATATGCAAAGATGGCTTTGCCCAATTGACATGGTACCGATAAAAGCTTTGTTCAAGCATGAATATGATATCAATGATTTTTTCATTGGACTGTTTATGTTTTTTTTATTTGCGGGTTTTCTGCAAAAATGACTTGCGCATCTCTTGCATATTAGATGCAATGGAGAAATTATAAGTATTAGATATATTTTGAGTCATAAAAACGATGATATCTTAAAATTACGTCCTTTAATACTTTCTAATCAGGAGATGGACAGTGAGACTGATTCCAATACATTCTGTTCAATTTCTGAGACCAGTGAGTTCCTTTACTCAGATCAATCAAAGGTATACCAAAGATTGAGGAGATATAGTGATGTAGTAAATACCCTACTCCAATAAATTCCTTTAGCCACGTATCAATCCAGGTACAACTCAATCCCTCTCGCTATGATCGGCGAGGCGTAAGAACTAATCCGTTCAACAATACTTTAGTATCAATGTCAATCCGAACACGACTTAATCTGTATCAGTTCCCAATCTATACATCTATCTTTCAAGTATGTGATTCAGGACGCTTCCTGTTTGCTAACCAAGAAGTAATTACTCTCACACCGTAATCAATGTTCTATGTTACAAGTTAAAGTAAATCGACGTAATTACAAGTTTTGCGTCGTTAAATACAACGTAATTAGGCTAATCAAGTTAAATACCACGTAATTAGGCTAATCAAGTTAAATACCACGTAATTAGGCTAATCAAGTTAAATATAACGTAATTAGGCTAATCAAGTTAAATACAACGTAATTAGGCTAATCAAGTTAAGATAAATCATGATATGGGTTTTAGGTAGCTATTTACAACGTAGATAATTAATCATGTACAACGTAGTTCAGGTTTACAGATATAGTGTTACACGATATTTATTACAGTAAGTCCCAACAATCGGCGGAATAAGAAGACGACATTTAAGATTTTTTTTGTGGATTTGATTGTTACCAGTACGTACAAAGCTTAAAGTCAACTTATTACGCGGAATGGGTCTGATTTGTACCGCAATAAAAAATTGTTTTATGTTCTTTGGACTATTTAAAATTAAATTTTCAGAAATTAAAAATTTGGTATAAAAGTCGTCTTTCTATTCCGCAATTTAATTTGTATGAACATGTGTCTATATAAAATTAAGTTCCTTGGTGAACTCTAGGAATGCAAATATCAAAATATATTTCCTACTTTGAAGTTGCATTTTACTGATACCAGGCTGTCACGGTGCTTCGTGCCCAACTTCTACTTTATATACATTGTAAAACAAAAACAAACCAAAAATTTCGAGGATTTTATATTAAAAATTCATGGATTTTTAAAATCTTAAAGACAAATTGTGAAAATTTGTTCATTCATGAGGTCTTGTGACGTGAGGAATACAAAAAATTGGGCCCAATCGGTTCAGCCGTTTTGACGGAAAGACAAACTATTATAACAAGCAAAGTATATAAAGAAGATAGAAAAATAAGAAACCGATTTGGATCTTTAAAATTAAATTATCATATATTTTAGTTCAAGATTCCAGATTTAGGAGTTCCAACGTTAAACCAACCTGTTCCTAGTTCCTGGGTTAAATTAGAAGACGACTTTGTTCTCCTCTACGCTGTTACTCAGGTTAAATTAGAAGACGACTTTGTTCTCCTCTACGCTGTTACTCAGGTTAAATTAGAAGACGACTTTGTTCTTCTCTACGCTGTCACTCAGGTTAAATTAGAAGACGACTTTGTTCTCCTCTACGCTGTTACTCAGGTTAAATTAGAAGACGACTTTGTTCTCCTCTACTCTGTTACTCAGGTTAAATTAGAAGACGACTTTGTTCTTCTCTACGCTGTTACTCAGGTTAAATTAGAAGACGACTTTGTTCTCCTCTACGCTGTCACTCAGGTTTATTTTGCTTCTCAAATATATTTTACAAGGCTTACAAGGAGCCTCGCTATAATTATATCTGTTAAAGGATACTTTACATGCATTTTTTATAGAGGTTCCACAAGAAATGTGGTCACGTCCCATCCGACAGCTGTTATAGTAACAATCTCTTTAATTTATCCCATCTGGCAGCTGTACTAACAAACCCTTTATTTAGTCCCATGTGATAGCTGTACTAACAATTCCTTCATTTAGTCCCGTCTGATAACTGTACATCAATCCCTTTATTTAGTCCCATCTGATAGTTGTATATCAATCCCTATATTTAGTCCCATCTGACAGCTGTATATCAATCCCTTTATTTAGTCCCATCTGATAGCTGTATATCAATCCCTTTATTTAGTCCCATCTGATAGCTGTATATCAATCCCTTTATTTAGTCCCATCTGACAGCTGTACTTTAGTCCCATCTGATAGCTGTATATCAATCCCTTTATTTAGTCCCGTCTGATAACTGTACATCAATCTCTTTATTTAGTCCCATCTGATAGTTGTATATGAATCCCTACATTTAGTCCCATCTGATAGCTGTATATCAATCCCTATATTTAGTCCCATCTGATAGCTGTATATCAATCCCTTTGTTTAGTCCCATCTGATAGTTGTATATCAATCCCTTTATTTAGTCCCATCTGATAGCTCTATATCAATCCCTTTATTTAGTTCCATCTGATAGCTGTATATCAATCCCTTTATTCAGTCCCATCTGGCAGCTGTATATCAATCCCTTTATTTAGTCCCATCTGATAGCTGTATATCAATCCCTTTATTTAGTCCCATCTGATAGCTGTATATCAATCCCTTTATTTAGTCCCATCTGATAGCTGTATATCAATCCCTTTATTTAGTCCCATCTGATAGCTGTATATCAATCCCTTTGTTTAGTCCCATCTGATAGTTGTATATCAATCCCTTTATTTAGTCCCATCTGATAGCTCTATATCAATCCCTTTATTTAGTTCCATCTGATAGCTGTATATCAATCCCTATATCTAGTCCCATCTGATAGCTGTATATCAATCCCTTTATTTAGTCCCATCTGATAGAGGTATATCAAGCCATATATTTAGTCCCATCTGACAGCTCTATATCAATCCCTTTATTTAGTTCCATCTGATAGCTGTATATCAATCCCTTTATTTAGTCCCATCTGGCAGCTGTACATCAATCCCTTTATTTAGTCCCATCTGATAGCTGTATATCAATCCCTTTATTTAGTCCCATCTGATAGCTGTATATCAATCCCTATATTTAGTCCCATCTGACTGCCACTATGCATTTCTCCCCCTCAGCTACTCCAGATGATGGTGTTATATGGTTAACCATGATACGCAGGTAACGGGGTTCCAATACTAATACGGGGGGGGGGGGGGGGTCATGAGGCTCCCCCCTCCTTAGAAATGGCGTGACTGTTAAATCCACCTCCCTAAGACAAATTCATGTATTCCTCCCTATTAGGGTAAAAGTCTGAAATATATCGGAACCCAGGTTTCGTGAATGGGTTAAGACAATATAAATTTTCCAATGATTAGAATTTTTTTTTTAATTTTCAAAAAGGAAACTCCGTTGTTTCATTCAACGATACTTTCTTAAATTTCCGCTTCTTCACTTATTGATCCTTCCCCTGGTAAACGATGGTAAAGATTACGATCTCTGGTCTCAACTTCTTTTCTTTCATTCTTTTCTTTTTCCATTCTAGATTTTAATCACCGACTGGTGACCCTCGCCCCTCCGAGATCTTTCTGTATCTTTTTGTGTAAAAAACTTACTATATCTTTTATAATTCCACAAGGTGTAAGGTTTTAGTTTCTAAAATGTGGATGGTATAGCAAAACTCTAGGAGAAATTATGCAAACCCCCCCCCCCCTCCCCCGTCCTGTTCAGGTTTAAAACTATAACTCTATATGTGCAGAAGTTACTTCTCCAGTGGCCAGGTACCGAGATCCCTTCTTGTAAATGTTTTCACTAAATCGGAATCAGGGTGAGTTATTTTGTCTTCTAGTTTTTTTTTATTAAATATCCTATTGTAATTTGTAACTGATCACTTACCTCAAACTCATTTTTTCTTTGGATAAATTATACATTCCAAAGAATGTATAGAATGTATAGACATAGAATACATTTTATGGCTCCATCTTTCAGTCCAAGCGTGTCTCAGACATGGTCTGTGAACTATCTGACAAATGCTCCCATTCTCCATCAAATACGAAAACCAACTTGCTGAAGTTAAACCACTTTTTAATCATTTTATGGTTTTATAAGAATCTCTTTTAACTGGTTACAGTTTCTTAGTTTAACTCGAATCCATCAATACCTAGAATTGCCATCCTGTTGTGTGGGGAGTTAGATTTCCAACTCGAAAAAATAATGAAATTAACATATTCAGAAAATTGGTTTTCCTTGTTTTGAGTTTTTCTCTGATCCTAAATAAATTTTTTTCTATAAAAGTTATATTCAATTAATCAGACATAATTCTAAATTTAAATTTTTGAATTTACTTTTCCAACATGTAATGTATTTTGCTATTGTTATTTTCCTTTTTCTAAAAACACCCTTTGTTAATTCATAAAAACTCATTCTCATTAAAGCTCTAAATAAGATTTGAGGCAAATCGGTCAAGGGTTTTTTGAGGTATGATCGTACATCCAATTAAACAAACAGAGATTACAACTTTGAATGTATATACAATATACATGGATACCTAATATAAACCTAATTGTATAATTGTCCGGGCCCTTTTAATTTGAGGATCAAATATATCTTTCCATACCTTCATCTTACTTACCTTTTCATATCTTTATTTTACCTACCTTTCCATCTCTTCATTTTTACATACCTTTCCATATCTTTATTTACATACCTTTCCATATCTTTATTTACCTACCTTTCCATTTCTTTATTTACCTACCTTTCCATATCTTTATTTTACCTACCTTTCCATATCTTTATTTTACCTACCTTTCCATATCTTCATTTTACATACCTTTCTATGTCTTCATTTTACCTACCTTTCCATATCTTCATTTTACATACCTTTCTATGTCTTCATTTTACCTACCTTTCCATATCTTCATTTTACATACCTTTCTATGTCTTCATTTTACCTACCTTTCCATATCTTCATTTTACATACCTTTCTATGTCTTCATTTTAGTTATTTCTCCCCTGACCAAAGCTCCCTTAAACCCTTGACTGGGTGCAATTACAATGGTCTCACTACAAAGATGTTTAAAAACTATCATTTTTTTAGGCAGCAGGTGCTGCTTCCAGGGGTAGAAACTATACCGGTCAAATCATTCCGGTTTGAACCAGTGGATAACAGGTTAAATGTATAACAATAACAATGACAATAACACTAACAATGACAATAACAATGACGATGACGATGACGATGACGATGACGATGACGATGACGATAACGATGACGATGACGATGACGATGACGATGACGATGACGATAACTATTTCAGAGGTTTAATAACAGTGGATGGCGAAGTGATAAAAACCGGTAAAATCCAGGCAACCATCCTTCCCTCAGTGCTCAATATGCTGGCTTAAATGCTTAAATTGGTTTAAAATTTTATCAACAAAATAATTTTCAATTCCTTTGTTGTCTACGTATTGGTGTGTGAAATTTTTAGATAATGATTTTAGAAGAAAAAAATGGTTCTTTGAAAAGTGAGCCGCCTTCATGAAATATGATAAAAACTATTAAACTTTTTTTGAAAACTTTTAATATATATATATATATATATAAAATTATAAGAAAATTAAATGATAAAAACAAAAGACAAAGAATTGAAATATGCTTTTTTAATGTAGAGTAAATTTCTTTTTTACAATCTTCATTTTTCTTTCCATCCAGGTTTATCCTGAAAATGCTTAAAAATTGTCACACCTAACTATTGTTCTAATCCTATGTATTATGGAGATCACGGTGTTTCAAACATTTTGTTTCAGAATTTAAAGAAATATTTTAAACTCCGTTTATTTTTGTATTTTTCAATTATATCAAATATCAATACAATATTTTGATATATTTTCTACACTTTTTTATATGTTGATATATAATATGTTCATAATCCAACCAATCTAATAACAGTATATTTTTATATATCTTTATTTGTAAACCACACAGAAATCTAATAAACATCTTACATCAGAAGGTTCTCCCATATTTAAGATTATTCAAAAATAATGATATTAATTTTAAGATGTATGTTTATTAGATCTCCCTGTCCTAGTATAGACTGCATTTTATATTTTATATTTTGTGAATTTTATATTTTTATATTTTTATATCTGTTTAATGCTCTTGGAAACCTTTGCTTCAAATAAATACATTCTTTTATATATAACATAGCCTGGTACCAAAATATATATAACATAGCCTGGTACCAAAATAAAAACATTCCCATGGTTCTACCAAGTTCCACAATCAAAGTTTGAGGCAAATCTGTCTAGGGGTTCACGAGTTATGATCGCACGTGCATACAAATATAGTTTACTACTTTATGTAGATATATGTAGAAATAAACAACATTAAATAATCAAGTAAGTCCAAAAAGACTTGGAGCTTATTGAACATTAAAGGGAGTGTTCGCGAAAAATGAAAGTGGGTAAAGGCTTAATGTGATAAAAAAGCGCTTTCGATCGCTACTAATCTTACTTCTATCTGTTGCGTCTATAAGGAGAAAATTGTTAAAGACGTCTCATACCGAATAACTTAGCGTCCATACAAATTAAGAAAATTGCAACATACGTCTTAGACCGTAAAAAATCAATTGAATTTCAAACAAATCATTCAGATATTACAACCTATAGTCATCGATTATCTTTCGCCACATTTGTATAGTGTTTATATTTTATAATATTTTTGATTTCGTTTTTTTAAAGATATTTCTCTGGCGCTGGATTTTCGAACATCCCTGAAAAATATGAAAATGTCGTCTTCGCTATCAGAATAACAGGAATAAAAGTAACTATCAGTTCATAAATAATATAAAATACTATGAAATATCAACTAAATACGAATGCGTCGAATAATTATCGATGATTATCGGTTGTAAGAACTGAATGATTTGTTTGAAATTAAATTGATTTTTTTACGATCCGAGTTATATGTAGCAACTTTCTGCATTTGTATTGACGTTACGTTCTTCGGTATAAGTCGGTTTTAACAATTTGCTCCTTATAGACGCAACAGATAGAAGTAAGATTAAAAGCGATCAAAAGCGATTATTTTTCGTATTAAGCCTATACTACCTTTCATTTTTCACGTACACTCCCTTTAAACGTGGATAAATTTAAACTGAAGTCAACAACAACTGTTTAACCAAAAAAGCTTAAAAGATCCAATTTTTAGCTAGCTCCACAAAAATCCACAATATTTATATTTTTGATATTTTACTTTTTAAAATTTGGTTTTCTTATATTATGATTTTGCTTGCACTGACAGAAGAAATAGATCTGATTCAAGAAAACAGGCGCGTATACAGAATTTAAGCTGGGCGGGGGGGAGGGACAGTAAGCTGGCGAAATTTTCTCCTGAAGACTATTACTATAAAGATTTTTGCTAAATCTAATTTTATCTGTTCAATACAGAAAAATAACAAAATCAGATTTTTAGCTATTGAGAAATTAGTTTGGTCTGGATTTCACTAAATGGTCCGATTTATTTCAATTCAAGAAAATAATTTAGAAATCATCTTAATATATTATATTTTACAAAGATAATACTTAACAATTAAATATAACGAAGAGTTCAGGGGTGTTTACAGTATTTGAGAAGGAACAGGGGTATATATATATCACATTGTAAGACAGGGTTCTCTTAGGATATTTAGAGATCATTTAACCAAGATAATTTTTTGGTAAAAGATAAGAAAATTCATCTACAATAAAAATATTGACATTAGCCCACGGGCAGCTGTAGTACATATGAATTTCCGAGCCGGGTCAACCTTTCCGCTTCCAGTTTGTACTGTACCCAGCTCTATGGACAGGACTAGCCGGTGCAACAAAGTTGACGCGGTTAGACTTTAAGCTTCATATAGGTTGAATTTACCTTTACCAAAGGGGCAGAGGTGCGTGGCCACAGTTACACCAGTAAAACAACTTCACCGGGCATTTTCATTTTTAAGAATCCTTCAGGCTTTGATTCTAATATTGTTTCGTAGAGCAACGTTTTATCTTTAAGTGAAACTTTTTTTAAAGTTCATCTTGGAAAAATGATCCTTAATTATGGATAAAAACAGGGTTATGAATTTATACATTGATAATACTTTTGTTGCATTGATTTATGGTAACATTATTTATTATAGCTTGTAATTTTTAACTGAGAAAAAATAAATAATTTTTAACACCACACGGTTCAATTGTACAGGGTTTGAGCATGATAAGATCCACGCCCTGAGCCAGAACTTTGATATTTATTTAATATTTAAAACTTAAATATTTATAAAAAAATTGGATTATGATTATGATTTTCACAAATTTGCTCTGATCGATATATTTGTAATTTCTTAAGTTTCTGGCTCTTGGGGCTTTGGGTATTGGTTTCAGATTCACAAACTTATTCAGTTCGACATTTTTCAGATTCATAAATTTAAAATTTTGGTTTATACTTTATACAATATACAATATACAATATACAATATACAATATACAATATACAATATACAATAACAATATACAATATACAATATACAATATACAATATACAAAATACAATATACAACTGTAGAGAATACTTGATAGAATATGGAAAATCATAATAGCACAGTTTTCCACTATATTACATTTACGAGGAGGGAGGGGGAAGGAGTAAAGAGAAGTACAATGTCGTCTTTACAAATATTTAGAGATATGAGCTACATATTTTGTGTGTGTGATTATCTAAATTTTGTTGATCAAACAATGAAAACTCATTGAATTATTCATTTTGACAGTCGTCATTTCTTTTATTTTGTTTTAACTCAAACTTGTATTTTCTAGCCATATTTATTTATAGCTAAAATAATAAAGAATATATGGTTTACAACCCCGAAATGATATGAAAAAAATAAAAGACTGTTCTTAGGTGTAAACCTTGGAGTCTGACATGTTAAATGTTGATTATCAAAACAAAAGATGCCGCTAATACAATTTTTGAAGATGATTTAGTTATTTGTTTAATTTATTAACTATGAATTTATAAAGAGGCAATAATTGAGAATTTTAAATTTTTACCGACCGTTGAAAGGACTGACAACGTTTTACCGATCTTAAAGGTACTATTATAGTTTCTACCGATAAATTTATATCAATTGTTAAAAAGTAACACCGAGGTTGTAAAATATCAATTTTCAGAGAGAAACAATTTCCAACCATTTCCCAAGCGAAGGTTTAAAAGGAGGGTAACTTAAAATTTCGTTATCAGTCCCTTTAAAGGTTTATATTTAAGCTCTGAGGGTTCTTAGAACCCAGACATCAGGAGTTCCTGTCTTCTTGTTGGGTAGGATAGGGATAGGGTCATCGTCGCCTCGTATTAGAATAGTTTCAGTAGATTTAGACAGGATACTTCTAGAATATAGTAGATTTAGACAGAGTACTTCTAGAATATAGTAGATTTAGACAGGATACTTCTAGAATATAGTAGATTTAGACAGGATACTTCTATAATATAGTAGATTTAGACAGGATACTTCTAGAATATATAAGTCGATTTAGACAGGGTTCTTCTACAATATTTTAGTAGATTTAGACAGGGTTCTTCTACAATATTTTAGTAGATTTAGACAGGGTTCTTCTACAATATATTAGTAGATTTAGACAGATTACTTCAGAATATAGTAGATTTAGACAGGGTTCTTCTACAATATATTAGTAGATTTAGACAGATTACTTCAGAATATAGTAGATTTAGACAGGTTATTTCTGGGCTCAAGTATATTTATACAGGATACTTCTAGAATATAGTAGATTTAGAAAGGGTACTTCTAGAATATAGTTTATTTAGACAGGATACTTCTAGAATATAGTAGATTTAGAAAGGGTACTTCTAGNCCCCCCCCCCCCCTCTAACCTGTCTTTATCTTGGCTCTTGTCCTTCAAGGACGACACTTCCACTTTATGACGACGAAGAGAACTTCTTCGCTTGAATTCATCCTGGTTAGTTCTGTTCGTCATGTGCTCTGTATATCTAGAATCCTCTCCTCCCTGGTGCACGGAGCTGGAGGAGCGTTTTCCGACCCGTTCTTGATCTTTCATCACTATTCTATCGGATTGATCTCTGCGAGGTTTATGATCACTTGTTGAACGATCCGAATATCGGTCCATTCTTAATGATCTATAGTCCAGGTCTTGATCTATTCGTTGCACTGATCTCTGCTCAGCATAGTTTAATTCAGGATCATTTATCATCAGATCTGTGGAATCCAATCTGAAAAATATTGTTAATAATTTAAACTAACATCTTTAGACACGGCGAACCTAACCTGATCTGATATAAAATAAAATCGGAGTTAATCTGCTCTGAATTATCCCGATTAAATCTAATCTGCTCTAATTTATCCTGATAAAACCTAATCTTCTCTAATTTTTCCAGATTAAACCTAATCCGCTCCAATTTATCCTGATTAAAACTAGTCTGCTCCAATTTATCCTGATCCAACCTAGTCTGCTCCAATTTATCCTGATTAAAACTAGTCTGCTCCAATTTATCCTGATACAACTAATCTGCTCCAATTTATCCTGATTAAAACTAGTCTACTCCAATTTATCCTGAACCAACCTATTCTGCTCCAATTTATCCTGATTAAACATAATCTGCTCCAATTCCTGATTAAACGTAATCTGCTCTAAATTATACTGATTAAATCTGATCTGCTTTAATTTATGTTGATCAAACCTAAACTCTACCCTCACTAACAAGCTCTACCCTCTAACTATCCAGCTCTACCCTCACTATCCAGCTCTACCCTCACTGACCAGCTCTACAGACACTAACCAACTCTGCCCTCACTAATTAACTCTACCCTCACTAACCAACTCTACCTTCACTAACTAGCTCTACCCTCACAAACTAGCTCTACCCACACTAACCAACTCTATAAACACTAACCAACTCTACCCTTACTAACCAACTCTACCCTCAGTAACCAGCTCTACCCTCACTAACCAGCTCTACCATCTAATCAGCTCTACCCTCATTAACCAGCTCTACCCTCACTAACCAACTCTACCCTCACTAACCAGCTCTACCCTCAGTAACCAGCTCTACCCTCACTAACCAACTCTACCCTCACTAACCAGCTCTACCCTCAATAACCAGCTCTTCCCTCACTAACCACTTCTACCATCACTAACCAGCTCTACCCTCACTGAACTACCTGGGATATATTCCACTGAAATGTTTCGGATCCCGCAGAAGCTGATCGAGAGATCCTTGTCGGAGAACAGGAGGAGGACAACGTGTGTCCCGGACTGTAGGTGGATGACCACGTGTATCTCGACCAGGAGTAGGGCCACGAGTATCCCGACCACGTGTTTCCCGGATTACAGGAGTAGGACCACAAACACGAGGGGGTTGATTACGAGGTGGAGGAGGGGTAACAGTTGGTAAACAAATATCCTCAGAGTGCCTGAATTTAAAAATATTATTAATAATTAACATTAAATGTTACAAAATAGTTACGTTTCAAAATCTTCATTAGCATAGCAAGCAATTCTTTTGGAACTATGAGCTTAGAGCAATATCAATTATAGCTTTGAACTAGAATTAAAAACAAACTACGTCCCTGAGAAAAATAGTAATAAAACATCAAGTATATAAAAAATCAAAAAATCAAATATTTGTTTGCGCATGCGCAAATCTAAATTTCCTATATATACAGGGTGTCCCATGAAAAATGACAGTTAAGAGAAGGTCGTCTATTTTTAAATAATTTGCCGCATCATTCAAAAAGCAATTTAAGAAGTAGAATTCTTGTATTAATAATCTGTCTTCTTCGTGCTTTCAAAATTACCGGAGATATGAAATATTTCGTTGTGATTGCGACACGATCTATGAGCAAAGACGATATTCAAGTCATCTCTCAACTGCCATGTTTCGAGGGACCCCTTGTATATAAAACTTATAAGTTTGCACTGTGCAGAGAATGTGAGGCTGAATTTGAAAAAATGGATAACTAAACAATATTTGTAACTAATCCCAGGATCTAAACTCTTGTTTACAGATAAACCCTGAATCCTAAACCCAATATCAACTGCTGCACTGCGACTATTACTAGAGGAGGAGCAAAACTGAGTTAGAGGAAACAGTAATAATAGTCGAATAAAATCGTTAAAAAACATCAAATATTTTTAATACTCCTATATAGGTGCTTATGTAAAAATTACGCCACCCTATATGTGTTCAACATGTAGAACGTTAGATCTAAGAAATGAATATTGAAATCTAAAAAAAATAATGATGTTCTGCATTTTTAGCAATTTCTTTATTGACTTGAAAAATTGTCTTTATTCTCTGTTTACCTTATGGGAGGTAGGGGTTGATTTGTATCGAATATTTCTGCTACTGGATTTGATCCCCTTGAGGACCTGTGTGTCCCTGTCTCTAATGATCCCTTATGAGCCCCTTTGTTGGTCAAATCACGATGGTTCCTTGTTTTAGGAGAGTTCCATCCCATCTCTTGTTCTACGATATTGTCTATAGGTTTAAATCCATCTCCTGAAGGGTTCTCCGTTGAAACAATAAACCCCTTTACTTCCTCCATTCTAGATTCAGGGGCGACATAACTCTTTATGTAACCTTCTTCTACTTTACTTGATTCAGGGGCACCGAACGCCTTTAAACAAAAGCAACATTAATAATTGGTAAATTGATAAATTATACTATGAATTTCTACCTTTTTCACATAATTGAGATCAAAGGAATCTTTTCCGAGGACACGCAGAGGAGGATTGATAATCCCCGGATCCTCTGCTGTTTCAAACCCTGGAGGAACAGGAGCAGTATATCCAGCAGCAAAGGATCTGGGAGCAGCAACAGGAGCAAAATCACTATCAACTAAACTTCCTTTTGATTGAGCAGGAAGCGCTGTTTCCAGTTTCCTGGGGGATTCCTTTACAGGACAGGTACACACCTCATGACCGCCATTTTTACCCAAAATGGAAGCACTACTCTTAGGTCGTCGTTCTATGCTAAACTGGGATTGAGGAGTTGAACCGAAACTACTTTTAGGTCGGCGATCACGTTTTTTAGAGCTGTTTGAGCTTGATCTGGGTGAGCCAATGAGCTGATAAGGTTGTTGATGTATGTCTGGACCTGCCATAAAGGCAGATTCAGGTAAACTTTTCTTCCTAAATTTCATATTTATTATTTAAAAGAACTGTCAGAGTCGACTTGATTTCAACTGATCCATTATTTAAAGAGTAAAATACCCGAATCACAACATGTACCTTTAGAGCTTTGAAATTATAAAGATATCTAGAAAATTATATTTATCAAGTTTCTACAAAACAAAAATAAAGCTTACGGATTTATGCTGCATGAGACAGAAAAGGTAATCAACATGTTTCTTCGGCTATATTCAATAATTACGATACCTTCCTCATTGTTACTCAGATAAAGATTTAACGGGTACCGTTGTGAATCGAGCATATGACTCTATAAATGAGGGAACACTTGAATGATAATTAAATAATGTTAATACCTGGAGTATTTTGGAATAGCTCCGCTAGTTTCAACAGGTTTAGCAGATTTTTCTAGCGGACAACTTAGAGGCGGTGATTCACTTCTATCCGTTAGCATCTAACAATAGTAGGGTTTAACAGTTTGCAAAAATGTAATATATGTTTCCTACAGAGCTAGTATGAGATAACAAATAATCACAATTCATTATGTAGTCTAGGCCCGCCTAACCAGAGTAATTTGGTAATCAATATTTTTTAAGCTATACATTTTATATTGTGATTAGTTGTGCGAAACCGAACATTGAATTGTAAAAGTAAGTTTGATTTTAAAATATGTTTGATTTTTAGTTTATGATCTATTCAATCACAGTGTTCAGTCTTCCTTGCTTTATTCTTTTGTGATTTTTATATAAACTTGAAGAGATAACAATAGAGATTTAATATTTACACTTCACTTCAACACAGAATTTTTAATTCGCCAGAAACCTAGAAATAATATTTCTCGTCTCAATTCAATTTTCCCCCCTAAAAGAGCATTTTCGGTCAATTATGCTTTGTCATAAGATTTGCGGGTGGGACAAAATTAAAACATCTTTTAAAATACTGTACCATCTAGGACTACTGCTAAAATAAAACTTTACTCCTCTATTAGCAACGAAAAAACATTTTAAAAGTTGAATTTTTTTTGTTTAATAGTTAAAGTTTTTTAATAAAATTGAAGTTAAGAATAAAGTTTTTTTCTACCTTTGCTTTGTCCAAGGGATAATGTGGTGGAGGACAAGGAGCTCCATCAACAGGTCTTATATCTTCCGCCTCATTAATAATATCTCCAGCAATAGCAGGTAGATCAACACCATTTCCTGGACCTGGAACATGATATTCCTCTCCTAGTCCCAGATCAACTTCTTCACAGAGATCAACAACATCCAGTCCGTCGGGAGTGTTCACTGCTGGAGGTTCATTCTTCTCCTTGCTCACTTTCATGTCTTCTTTTTCCTTGCTCACAACGGTTCTATTTTCCACTTTCACTTTAGATCCTTTTCCTTCCCCTTTCCCATTCATTCCTCTCCCCTCAGAACAGCACTCTCCGTCCTGACAAGATTTAGATTTTGTTCCGTGAACTCCACTTTTCTTTAATGACTGAATATGAAACGGATCTACGAAAACAAACAAAAAATTAAAGTCTAGAATAGATATTTAGTAAAGAAGAATTTTTTTTGATAATTTCTTCAAATATATATATTTTTAATGTTTTTGTTGTAATTTTCCTGATCGAATGGTTCGCCCGTCAGAGACAAACATTGGTTCATCTATTGGCCGCCGATTTCCAATCTCTCGGCCGATTTCATCAATAGACCTTCTGCCAGGAGAATCCATGAATCCACGCTGTGCTGTTCTGAAACTAAAATTATAATTGTTAAAAAAGAAATTTAACACATAGATTATCGGCAAAGGAAAAAGTTTTAGCATCAAATAACACAGAATAATTTTTCTAAGTTTTAAATTACCCTTGCTACTATTGCTCGTGGGTGACTTAAAAAAAAAACTTAAATTACTAAACCAACATTTTACTAATACTTTTGAGATAGTTTCAGAGTTAATAGAAGATTTAACAAAGTCAAATAAAATCAGAATAAGCTTTTATTGAATACTAGGGTTTTAGGGCGCTTCGCGTCCATCTTCTATTTAAATTGTGAACATGTTCTTTTTGTTTACATTTAAAAACAAAGAAAAAAAAATTCGCGGATTTTCAAGAATTTAATTTTTATACAAAATTAAAAACCTTTAAAACACAATTTTTTTCAATTTTTATCATTCATAAACCTTCCCTGGGATAACGCGAGGTGCCACAAAAAATTTGGGCCAGATCGGTTCAGCCATTTTGACGTTTATTGGATACAAACAGACAAACCAAATTTATATATAGAAGTCATGACTGTATGTACTATGTTCTATGTACTATGTATTATGCAGTTTAAGTAAATTGTTAAAAGCCTAAGATGTTTGCCTACTCAGCAGAATATTATATTCGATTTCTTTACATCTAATATATTGAAATCTTATTTACAACAAATATATTTGTTTTGTTTAATTAATCCATTGGAAAAAAGCTTGTTAAACATATTCAGCCTCAGTTGTTTGGCGGTAAATTGTGCTTTAAAACATTTGTAAAATATTATGCTTAAAATGAAACATGTTGTAACAAAAAACATTATGTAAAAAGAAATAAAAGAATCAAAGAAGAAAATAACAACAGATAAATGAGAGAAAAATAGTAAAAGAAGAATAATAATAAAATGCATAAAAAAGTAAAAATAGAGAAATAGTCCCAAAAAAACAGAAGATAAATATATTTATGAAGAAAATTGAAATTTTCCAATCAGAAATGATTGAGTATTCAGTTTGAAATAAACCTTATTTCACATCTTGGATAAAAGATGATTTATTTAAAAGTAACATTACGGTACAGTACCTTGTACACCGTAGCTACTGTTGTTGTAACTGTACAGTACAGTTACTATACTACCTGGGGACTGTATGTAAGGTAGCTACTGTTGTTGTAACTGTACAGTACAGCTACTATACTACCTGGGGACTGTATGTAAGGTAGCAACTGTTGTTGTAACTGTACAGTACAGCTACTATCCTACCTGGGGACTGTATGTAAGGTAGCAACTGTTGTTGTAACTGTACAGTACAGCTGCTATCCTACCTGGGGACTGTATGTAAGGTAGCTACTGTTGTTGTAACTGTAACTCCTAATTCTGTTTCAGTCGCTGTTATTTCACAAACTTCACCATCATCAATCTCCTTAATAAAAATCAACCTTATCAACCTTCTGAATAATAAATGTCAACACCCTCATCAACCTCCTTAATAATATATATTAACCTAATCAACCTCCTTAATCAACCTCATCAATCTCTTTAATAATAAATATCACCCGTATCAACTTCCCTAATAAAAAAAATCAACCTCATCAACCTCCTTAATAACAAACATCAATTTCATCAATCTTTTCAATAACAAATAAAACCTAATCAACCTCTTTATTAATATATCAACCTTGTCAACCTCCTTAATAACAAATATAACCTCATCAACATCCTTAATAACATATATCAACTTCATCAACCTCCTTGATAATAATTATCGCCTCTATTAAACTCCTTAATAACAAATATAACCTCATCAACGTCCTCAATTACAATTATCAATTTTATCATTCTCCTTAATTACAAATATCAACCTTATCAATCTCCTTAATTAAAAATATAAAGCTTATCAAAATCCTTAATAATAATAATAACCTCATCAATCTCTCAATAACAAATATAAACCTTAATAAAAATATCACACTTATCAACCTCCTTAATAATAAATATCATCCGTATCAACCTCCTTTATAATAATAAATATCAACTCATGAACCTCCTAAATTACAAATATCAACCTCATGAACCTCCTAAATTACAAATATCAACCTCATGAACCTCCTAAATTACAAATATCAACCTTATGAACATCCTGATGAAACTTTTCATGATTAGTTAGTTTTAAGGTTTAAGGTCAACAGTTAATTATTCTATTTCAAGGTTTACGGTGAACAGTTAATTATTCTATTTCAAGGTTTACAGTCAACAGTTAATGATTCTATTTCAAGGTTTACAGTCAACAGTTAATTATTCTATTTCAAGGTTTACGGTCAACAGTTAATTATTCTATTCAAAGGTGTACGGTCAACAGTTGGTTTACGGTAAACAGTTAATGATTCTACTCAAAGGTTTAAGGTCAACAGTCAATTATTCTAATCAAAGGTTTACGGTCAACAGTTAATTATTCTATTTCAAGGTTTAAGGTCAACAGTTAATTATTCTATTCAAAGGTTTACGGTCAACAGTTGGTTTACGGTAAACAGTTAATTTTTCTATTTCAAGGTTTACGGTCAACAGTTAATTATTCTATTCAAAGGTGTACGGTCAACAGTTGGTTTACGGTCAACAATTAATTATTCTATTCAAAGGTTTACGGTCAACAGTTGGTTTACGGTCAACAGTTAATTATTCTATTTCGAGGTTTACGGTCAACACTCAATTATTCTATTTCAATGTTTGCGGTCAACAGTTAATTATTCTATTCAAAGGTTTACTTTACGGTTAACAGTTAATTATTCTATTCAAAGGTTTACGGTCAACAGTTAATTATTCTATTTAAGGTTTACGATCAACAAATAATTATTCTATTTAAGGTTTATGGCCAACAGTTAATTATTTAAATTCATGGTTTACGGTCAACACTCAAATACTCCATTTCAAGGTTTACGGTCAAAATCAATTTTCAATTTCAAACAAATTCAAGTTTCTACGAAATTCAATGTTTGACGGTTAAATTCCAAAAAAAGGTTTAGGACATGATAGTTTGGCCTTGATTTCAAAAGTTTAGATGGTTCAATAAATAATATATTAAGAAAGTTTTTTCCGATTTTGAAAATTATACCTGTTGGTCTTCTAGCATCGTTAGTTGAGTATCCGCTAGGGTTAAAGGAGTTTCAGTTAGATCACAGCTTTTACTTCTACCACCCCCTCCCCCCTCTAACAATCTAAACAGGGTTAAAGGGGTTTAAGTTGGATCACAGCCTTTACTTCTACCACCCCCTCCCCCTTCTAACAATCTAAACAGGGTTAAATGGGTTTAAGTTGGATCACAGCTTTAAACCTAAAAAAGTATTTCAAATATAGCAGAAAAAAATTCAAAATTAAATCTCTGAACTATTAATAATTACTCTTGTAAGCATGATACACAAATATGTATCCATCAATTTGAAAAATGATGCAAATATGGGAATAATTTTAAACCAGATATCGAATTTTCTGCCGCATCATAATTTACATTTTGAAGGATCAAATCAACGATGAGATTTAATTTAATTTAAAATTTTACAAAATACCTGCTATTATTATTTTCGTTGGGTTTAGAGTAAGAAAAACATCTTTTCTTTAAACTCTTCTGTCCCTAAAATAATAAGAAAATTTTTTTGAATTGATATTTCATACAGGGTGTCTCAGGAAACATTAAAGTTAAGATACGACTTAACAATTGACTGTTATCTTTAATTTAATTTGTAGCATTCATTCTTCAACACAGTTTCCAAGTACAATTCTTGAAACAATAAAATTATATAGCACGAGTACAATGTGGTCTGCCTGTTGTTCTTTCAATTTAAGGCCGGAGATAAAAGAATTTCGATCAATTCAATTTATTAAACATACAGTTATTCTATCACTTGTAATTTGAAGGCAGACCAAACTTTGGAAATGTATGGATTAGGGGTATTTTATTATTATTATTTTGAGGGACATATTTGTAAAATTAGGTGAACAATCTTCAAGTCGTCTCAAAAGAGTCATGTTTAGTGGGACACCCTTTCATTTGAGTTTCTTGTTTATCCCTAGGAATTTATGAACTATAATGCACATTCATAAATTATAAACTATAAAGTACATTTAGGCAATATGAACTATGAAGAATATTTAGGCAATATGAACTATAAAGTATATTTAGGCAATATGAACTATGAAGTATATTTAGGCAATATGAACTATGAAGTATATTTAGGCAATATGAACTATGAAGTATATTTAGGCAATATGAACTATGAAGTATATTTAGGTAATATGAACTATGAAGTATATATAGGCAATATGAACTATGAAGTATATATTTAGGCAATATGAAGTATGAAGTACATTTAGGCAATATGAACTATGAAGTATATTTAGGCAATATGAACTATGAAGTATACCTGAGGATTTCCATTCCCGCCTCGTAGCAACATTTCAGGAGAGTTATCAACCTTATAACTGGACACACACATCATTCATCAACACACATCATTTATCAACACACATCATTCATCAACACACATCATTCATCAATTCATCCTAATTCATCCATTCAAAGATCCTTTCATCCGTTATATTTATTCATTCATATCATTCTTTCACATATATCATCTCCTTTTATATTTCATTAAACTATAAGCATTCTTTGATTTATCCATTTTTAACACGTTCTCTCATAATTAAAATGACATAATTTGTCTTACAAGAGAATAAATATAATCTCTATGTAAAGAACAATCTAGGTGGAAAAATGTAAAAATTTTGTAATACGCTTCACCCTTTCATATATCTAATAAATTCCGGCGCAAAAAAGAACTGTAAAGTGCGACCGCTACAGCAATACCTTCGCTCGGAACTTTTTGTCAGAGACTATGATTCTCTCTCAAAGTTTCAAAATCATGAGTTTCCCATTGTGGTCAGGCATACTAAGTCTGTAAGACAAATTTCAAAGAGAATTTGGTTTACAGCTATGTGAGTTTTTATCTGCAGACTCTTGTAGAAGTTTGTTAAAAGCAAATCTTTGTCAAAATTTTAATCTACCTTTACTGCTACTATTAGGAGCAGTTCTTTCTTTTAAGATAATTTATCTTAATTCTACGATGAAATGTGAATAACAATAGACCAGCTCTAAATCAGCTCGAGGACAAAAGAAAACCAAAATTCTAAAATAATAAATCAGGCTTTTATTCGTTAAGTCAACACTAATACACACAAAAAAAAGCTAATACAATTTTTAGAATAATAAATCAACCACAGTCAAAACCTAAAAACCAAAAAATGGAGAAAATGTAAAAAAATATTTAGAAAATGGTTCTAAGTTAGACAATGTATACAATATTACAATATACATCAAAGGTATTCTATTCGTTAAAACCCTAACTAGACCCCCCCCCCTGCCCCCAGCATCTGTTTCTAGAATTCCAAACTATTCTTCCATAGTTTAACAGTTTTGAGAGGGGGAGCTAAGAACTAAAACCCACAACTCCAATGTACTCAAATGTACTCAGATTGTGTACACTGTACAGAACCTTTTGGGAGCAATGTATACAAAATCAGTGCTCCCACAACCTGTGAAAGGGCGGGACTGAAGCTTTCAGAAACGCCAATTATTTTCTTAAACTTCTGTTGTGACGGTAAATATAAAAATAAATCCTTATGATTATTGTCTTTTTGTTTATTATCATTCCCCTTTCCTGCCTGAAAGGCACCGGATTTGATGGAGCACGACTATTTAATATCAACTCACTTGCTATCCATTCACTTGCAATCAAAATCAGTTGCTATCAGCCTCCAGTGCTAATTGCTATCCAAACATTTGCTATCAAACTCATTTACTATCAACTCAGTTGCGATCACATTCATTTGCTTTCAAGCCTCACTTGCTATCAATCCTCAGTTGCTTTCAATCCTTAGTTGCAATCAACAATTTTGAAATCAATCATCATTTGCTATCATAATTTCGACTTGCTCTTAATCCTTATTTTTACCAATTTTTCCCCCTAAAAATCCGCAAAATAATATAGAAAAATTTCTCAAAATTTGGAAGTCTTCATACTCTGACAAACTTTGCGTGAGCATGGAGCATAATAACATGCCTATTCATTGTTCGTTTTTTCAAAGATGACTAAATTAAGATTTAAGCTGAATATCATACTGCATTAAAGTAATTATTACTGTTCTTCCTGTTTCATATTAAAAATTAACATGATTCGAACAAACATATTATTTGAACTGGTTTTTTATATCAACTTATTTAGAAAACAACCAATTTTGATAGCAATGTATTTACATAGGAACTATAATTTTAGATAGCGGATGAGCTTTGATAGCAATTGAGTCTCAAGAGCAAACATTTTGATAGCAAGTTAGGTCTGATAGCAAATTGACCGGATAGCAACTGAGGCTGGAGAGCAAGTGTGGCGAGAGCAAGTGAGACCTGAGCGCAAGTCAGACAGAGAGCAAGTAAAACAGATAGCAAGTGAATTGTTAGCAAATGAGGGGATAGCAAGCGAATTGTTAGCAAATGAGGGGACAGGAAGTGAGGTTGATAGTAAATGAGACTGTTTGCAAGTAAGGTATAGCAAATGAGTTGATAGCAAATAATCGTGCTCTGATTTGACGCAGCAGAAATGGCGGTTCGTAGTACAGTACAGTACAGTACAGTACAGTACAGTACAGTACAGTACAGTACTGTACAGTACAGTACAGTACAGTACAGTACAGTACAGTACAGTACAGTACAGTACAGTACAGTACAATACAGTACAGTACAGTACAGTACAGTGTACATACAGTACGTGCATTAAAGTACAGTACACTACAGTACAGTTCAGTACAGTACAGTACAGTACATTACAGTACAGTACAGTACAATACAGTACAGTACAGTAAGTGTATTAAAGTACCTCCTCCTTTTCAAATTTAAACTGAAAATGGGTACATACAGTACAGTGCACAGTTATAGTAATGGTATCAAAATCATCTAATACCATTAAATACATTTAACACATGTATCAGTCAGACTAAACAGACATAAATCTAAACATTTCTATAAAATTACACGGTATCAGCTTATTCCACTAGAGGAAACTGATCCATGTATTATATCTTAAAACAGGTTAGACTAGGTATAAGCTAGGTAGAACTGTATACAGGTATAACATTACACGGTATCAGCTTATTCCACTAGAGGAAACTGATCCATGTATTATATCTTAAAACAGGTTAGACTAGGTATAAGCTAGGTAGAACTGTATACAGGTATAGGCGTAGTTATAAAGAGGAGTAGAATCAAATCCGCAAAAACGTAAAATGCTCAATACTTTCCTAAAAACTACTTGATAATCAGTTCAGATACCCTTTAGGGCAGTTTCCTCAATAGGTCAGTTTCAGCAGCACTATTTAAGATTTACATTATTCAATTCATTGTAGTATAAATTAACCAATGTGTATTGTGTATCCTGCCTCATGTTGGAGTTTGACATCTGAGAGATAGCACTGTCTGAGACTGTGTAGGCCTAACAAATAAAGGAATTCACTCCTTGCTTCAAACTTTCTAATTTTCTAATCCCTTTATCTTTGAAACCTGATGGTGTAAACCATTGATATTTCAAACTTGAATTATTTAAATTATATTCATAGTTTGAAATATCTAAAATCTACGCCATCGGGTTTCAAAGATATAGCGATCAGAAAATCAAAGATTCTGGCAAAGACTCAATTCCTTATTTAATGGATGTATTGTAAGGTAATAGAACTGAGCTGAAATCTTAAAACCCGGTTTTGCGTCTTTCTACAACCGAGTAAAGTCCCAATGAGAATCTAGCTTAAGCTTAACTCGGCTTTAATTAAAACCAATCTGATTGGTTTATACGAATCTAGGTGACGTGGGCTATAGGACCTATGTCCGAAGATCGTACTTTATTTTAAAATTTAAAATCCTGGAAATCATTGTAGCGTCAAAATTGGGTTTCTTTATAAAAAGCTGAATATATTTATGTAAACTTCAAATTTCCGAAATTTACTATTTGAAATCGCGTTTTAATTTGCTGAATAATCATTTTTTCGGGTCTAGCGTTAGATCCAAGCGAAACACAAGGCGTAACTAAAGCTCGAGCGCGCATAGAGAATGAAGGTTTTTTCTTTTTAGATGGCTAACTTAATTTTTAATTAATCTACCTGTTTGATCTCTATTTAATCTACCTGTTTGATCTCTATTTAATCTACCTGTTTGATCTCTATTTAATCAACCTGTTTGATCTCTATTTAATCTACCTGTTTAATCTCTATTTAACCTACCTGCTTATTCTCTAACTCCTCCTCCTGGTCTAGGGTTTGAGTACAGCACAATTTCTCCAGGTAAGGAAGGGTAAATGTAGATTTCTCCTGGGGTCCCCACAAACCTAAACAAACGGTCAACCTTCATGCCATAGAAATCAGGACCGATCCTTAACAATAAACAATCTCAAAAAAATGTTGCTTACCGATACAAAAACGTCAATTTTCTTTCAGGGGTTTATATTTTCTTGAAAAATTCATTTCCGCCACTCATTGAAAATAATTGGGAATATTTTTGCGGAGCAGGAAAAAATTAAAATCAAGTCTGTGCTAAAAGTTTACTTATTTAAAATAGTTTTTATATAAAATACTAAAAAATCATGTGGAGGGGGGAGATAAAAGGGATTTATTTTGAAATTATTTATTAAAACGGTGGCAAACTGAGATATTGGAAATGGAAAACCATATTTTCTCTCTTTTTGTTAAATTTGTTAAAATCATATCAAAACTATTTTTCATCTAGAATTTATAAATTAAAAATCCCTACGAACTAAACTGGAGAAAAATTGGTAAACGTTATTAATGTTAACATTATTCAGGATTAAGCTGTCTGTCTATCTGTCTATCTGTCTAAAGCAATCAATAAATTCCTATTTGGTTAGTTACCTAGAATTGCCTGGAAGAAAATAGTTGAGAATATCCAAGATATCACCATCAGTATAGTGATGAAGGTGCCAATCTGAATACAGCATATTATCATAATCATAATTATTATAACTCTTATCTAAGAATTAAAAAATAATTTTTTTGCAACTAAACTCTGATGCTAAAGCACTCAATTTAATTTTGATTAATTGAGCGCAAAAGCCGCGTTACATTTATTCTAATATTATCTAAAGTTAGATACATTTTCTTCATCTAACTATAGATATTAATCGTTCTGACTTTATATACATGATTGTACAAATCTAAGTAGAAAGGATTCCAATATATTTTGACTGCAAGGAAGAAATATTTGAGTGGTAGAGGGAACATGATGCATTAAATTATCTCTTGCAGAATTAGAAAAATGGAAGTGAATGATTTATGTGTTAATATTGTGAAGTGAAAGTATGCATGAATCACGTGATATTAAAAAGTAAATGAAGAATGATGCATGTGGTTTAAAAAAGTGAATGATTCAAGTGGTGCTACATAGTGAATGATTTATGTGGTATTACGAAATAATTTTTCATGTGGTATTGCAAGAGGGTGTATCCTGTAGTATTGCGAAGTAAATGATTCATGTGGTACAAACAAGTGAATGATTCAAGTGGTGCTACATAGTGAATGATTTATGTGGTATTACGAAATACATTTTTCATGTGGTATTGCAAGAGGGTGTATCCTGTAGTATTGCAAAGTGAATGATTCATGTTATATTACAAAGTGTATGAATCATGTTGTATTACGAAGTGAATGATGCATGTGGTATTACGAAGTGAATGATTCATATGGTATTACAAAGTGTATGAATCATGTTGTATTACAAAGTGAATGATGCATGTGGTATTACGAAGGGAATTATTTATGTGGTATGATTACGAAGTGAATGATTTATATGGTATTACAAAGTGAATGCATCATATGGTATTACGAAGTGAATAATTTATGTGGTATTAAGAAGTGAATGAATCATGTGGTATTACGAAGTGAATGAATCATGTAGTATTACGAAGTGAATGAATCATGTGGTATTACGAAGTGAATGAATCATGTGGTATTACAAAGTGAATGATTCATGTGGTATTACAAAGTGAATGATTCATGTGGTACTAGGAAGTGAATGAACTGTAAAATTAAAATCCTTCTCAACCCAGCCAATTACTCAGGATAAAAATCCAAGAAGAAAATATTTTTTCCACGAATATTTTAACTAGAATGTTTTAAGAGCTGACACATTGTGTAAAGTTTAAAGAAAGTGTATGTAAGTCTCAAAGTTAAACTTATGCTTAAAACTAATTAATTAGATGCCAAAGTTTGAAGAAAAAAGGGCCTTCTCTGTTTTAGATAGACCTTTCCATTTAAAATATTAGTTTAACATCATTCTCACAAAACCAATATTTATAAGTATTGACATGTCATTCAAATATCCTTTATTGCCACACCAAACTTCTTAAAACTATACACTTCAAACTTTAATTATTCTTTGGACAGTTTAAGTGGAACTGCAATATTTCAGAACTTTCATTTTCCAGTTTCAATTCACTTTTAGAATTGCTTCCAGGAACTTACGTAATTTTATAATTCCTTTACACAAGCTTTAGCGTTTAATTATTTTTTAAAATTTTTGTTGTAAAAATGAATGACTTCAATTGTTTTTATCCTAGTCATTAAAATAAGTGAGAAGGGTTTGATCAAATTTGATGTTTAAACACATTTAATTATGTACAATTTCCAGAATATAGTTTAATATGTATGAATATGTTTGAATATAATAGATTTTTGATTATGTCTGATAACCCTTGAAATATGTTTAAATACGTTTGATCATGTTTCAATTTGTTTGATTTTGTGTTAATATGTTTGATTGTATTGAATATGTTTCATTATGTTTCAATATTTTTAATTATATTTAATTATATTACCTGGATATAAGCTAGAACTCTGCCAGGAAGGTAGTAAAGGCTGATTACCTGGATATAAGCTAGAAATCTGCTAGGAAGGTAGTAAAGACTAATTACCTGGATATAAGCTAGAACTCTGCCAGGAAGGAAGTAAAGGTTGATAACCTGGATATAATCTAGAACTCTGCAAGGAAGGTAGTAAAGGCTGATTACCTGGATATAAACTAGAGCTTTGCTAGGAAGGTAGTAAAGGCTGATTACCTAGATATAAGCTAGAACTCTGCTAGGAAGGAAGTAAAGGCTGATAACCTGGATATAATCTAGAACTCTGCCAGGAAGGTAGTAAAGGCTTATTACCTGGATATAAGCTAGAACCCTGCCAGGAAGGCAGTAAAGACTGATTACCTGGATATAAGCTAGAACTCTGCTAGGAAGAAGAACAACCCCTGCTAGGAAGGTAGTAAAGGCTGCCATACTAACAGGACTACCCATAGTAGACAAGGAAAAGTTCACACATGCCTCTCTATAACATATAACAACATCATTAAATATGTTTTCCCCCCTGATTTCTGATTTAACAGACATTTTTACTGTTGGACCTCATATGGCCCAAGGATGAATTTAAGGCGGGTCAAGATTGATAATGAATCTAAATTTTTCAATTAAAAAAGATATGACAGGATACTTTTGAATGATACAGTTTGGGACTTAAAGGGATTGTCGTTGTGATTTCAATTAGCCCTCAATTAAAAGAGGCGCAGTGCCATGCTATGCAGCTTTACAACAGTATCCTTTTATGCCTTTATCTGGATCAAACAACGTTTTTACATTTACCGTTATGAAAAGGTTCGGAATTAAATCAAACTGAAAGTTTTAAATTAAATCTTTAATGCCTAAAAATAGGGGTTTTCTAATCCGCCTAAACACCATAGAAAACTTGTACAAATGAAATACAGTGTACACTGTACATACCTTTCAGTGTCTACAGCCAGCTTGTACATAATTCCGTAGTGAAGAGTAAAGTCTACTGAGAGACCAATAGCAAGTGATACAACTACAGATTCAAGTATATTTAGCTCCCAACCTTAAACAAATTAATAAGTATAAGATAATAGAAGTCCTGGAATGGGATCAGCAAAATTTGCCTTGTTAAAGGATTTGATTGGGTAAGATTAATATAACATACCACGTACTTTATAACGCATTGCTTGATTACAATGTAGAAAAAGTGGTGAAGTTATCTTTAAAAAAGTAGGTATTAAAAGAAATGCTAAGATATAGAATTATGATGAAAAATATCAGTTATTTCTAAGGCATTGAGATGCTTAGAAAATTCGTGAAATTAACTTTGAGATAGAATAATATAATCTAATTAAGACCCTCATAATAGTTTTCAACTGAGAAATAAAATTAGTTTTTCAAGAAAGTTTCCAAAGTTGGATTAGTTCCAAGAAATGCATTTTTTTCTTATCAGTTTTTAATGAAAAATGAATTCAAAATATTCTCTTGATCACGTGTCAAAAACTAAATTTATTATCCATATATCTTTTCAAACAGACGATTAATTAAACCCCTTGATATTTAAAAATTTGACATTCTGATCAAATTTAGAAAAAAATAAAGATAATTTTGTGACAAGTGTTCAGTCCCTTAAAGGGACTGCAAAGGAAAAATGAAAGGGGGTATAGGCTAAAAGCTAATCACCTTAGCTCTTGATCCCGACCCATGAAAGTTTTATCTGATGTTCCTGTCTCGAGAAATTGATATAAAACTGTGTTAAAATTATACGAAAGTTCATATATGTAAAATTTAGAAAATCTTAAACTTAAATCACGTGACCAGAACTATCACCAATTGCAGAGCGGTATACTGGTCACGTATCTCCGTCTGTATCACGTGACCACTTTACTGCACTGCCATTGGTGGAATTGCTGGTCAAGCAATACGGACGTATGAATAATATTATGAATTAAATCTATAAAAAATAGAAATAACAAATATAAAATTAGAGTAAACCTAAGTTACAATTAGCTTTCTCTGGGATATTATCGTTTTCAGATTGGTTGCATATTTGCTGAATTTGATCTTTTTAAACCCACTACTTTAATACAAAATTGTATATATATTAATTTTCGTATAAATTTGACAAAGTTGTAAATCAGTTTCTCGAGATAAGAACATCAGATATTACTTTCATGGGTCGCGATCGAGAGATAAAGTGATTAGCTTTCAGCCTATACCCCCTTTCATTTTTCCTTTACAGTCCCTTGAACATAAATATTTGCCTAGAAAAACTGATGAACAGTCCCTTGATATAATTATATTTAGTACCTAGAAGTAGAAGGATTGCTACGGTAACCATGATGATACTGAAAACTGTAGCAATAGCAAACATACTCAACACAACGTTCTGCGTTGCCACCAGGAGAACAACAAAACTGAAATTAATAAATCTGGTTTCAAGTTTCTAGTATATCCGCTAGAAATACTATTTCTTTATATTAAAATGCTTATACTACCCCAGAGACTAGGATTAGGAACAAAACTACGATTACTTTACAACTAAAAAATGTTCATGAGGCCTGGACATTTCAACACTCCGAAGTGTTTTTGCTTAATATAGCTGAAGACTTTTATATGTTTTAATAAAGATATATTTACGACCAGGGACGATGCAATAGAGCTCCAAACTTTCATTGAAAACTGTCATTTAACGTAAATAATTGTTTGGCTTCATTTAAATCATCGCAAAGAACATGTGTTTCATGAAAATCAAAACTCATAGGACTAAACAAATCCATGACTACAAGATGCCTACCTGATAAGCATACTTACTTTTACTACTATGACTTCTATGAATACAATGACTACGAGTATCCTACCTGATTAACATGATTTCTTTGACTACTATGACTACTGATAACAATAACTACAAGATTCCTATCTGATTAGTATGATTACTTTGACTACTATGACTACTATGATTACAATGACTACTATGGCTAATATGACAAGTATGACAACCAGTATCCTACCTTGTAGGTATGGCTACATTATGAATACTATGAACACAATGACAACTATAACTACAATGACTGCTATGACTACTATGAACACAATGACAACTATAACTACAATGACTGCTATGACTGCAATGAACACAATGACAACTATAACTACAATGACTGCTATGACTGCAATGACTACTATGACTACAATAACCACTATAACATACGAGTGTCCTCGCTAATGAGCAATTGTTACTATGACTAATACTTTGAATACAATGACTACTATGACAAGCAGTATCCTACCTAATGAGCATGGCAACTATGATGGCTATGTAGGTTCCCTGAAGCAAGGATTGTTGAAGATCATAAAACTCCAGGTAGCTGGAAAACCAACCCCCCGAGAGCTCAGCAGGGGCGGATACAAGTATCTCCTAAATTTGTATTTTAAAATTAGAACATATTATGCATTTGTAAATTTTTAAAACTTTTTAAGATCACTTATTGATTTAAAGAAATTAAGTTTCATGGAGAAAATGTGTTTTTACAAAAAAAAATAATTCCTAATCTTTGTTAAGATCATGAGTGGCAAAGAAACGGTAAAAATAAAGAAAAAAACCACAAAACTCTGAAATATTAATACTACTAGAATGAATTGTTATAACTTTGAAAACTGAAATGAGAATGAGAAACAGTAATTGTGCAGAGTAAACAGACTCATTTCACTAATTTAGTAACTTAATAAGTTTCTAGTAAAACTATTTGCTCTGTAACAACATCAAATACACTTAAATATTGCTATCATATCGTCTTCCTATTCCATTGTTTTCTGGTTATCACTGTATATATAAAAAAGAATTTGTTAAGGCCATGTAACGTGGGAATGATATTTAATACTTTCTCTGCTGAATTAACCAATAAATATTTGATCTGAAGTTTAATTCATTTCTGAAGGGAGGAGCTAGTAGTCTAGGAGGTGAACTCATCAGATTACTTTAAACCCTCGGGACACCAACGTTATGAATACTTGATTTTTCTACTTGCTCAACATAAAATATATCCATGACCAACCCCTAGTTTACAGCGAGGGTTCTAAATGAAAATTAAGGTATCTGCAGTAGTCCTGCAGTTAGATAAAATATCCTAGCTATCCTACTAATTGAAGAAAAGCGACACTGCACACCGTGGACCATTTTCTAAATAGAATGGTTTGGGAGAGAGCAGGCTATACCTTTTCATTTTGAACATTTTTTTTATCGAAATACATTTTAAATTCAAAAATACCGCAAAGGTCTTTTCTTCTTAAGAATTAGAATACTTTTAATCTTTTAAAAAAGTATATGAATTACTTTTTGCATAAAGTTTGTCGATTCAAAAAATTTAAATTTTTACCTTAAACCATTTATTTACTGTAAAGTAGAATTCCTGCATTTCCGCGTATTTAAAGGAAAACAGTTGATTTGACTCAAACTCAATAATGATTGCAGAAACATTCCTACAAATAGAAAACATTTAGTCTTGATTTTAGACTTAGCTTGAGATGACACTCCATTTATTTATTTCTGATTTTAGACGTAGCTTGAGGTGACCCTCCATTTATTTATTTCTGATTTTAGACGAAATGTTTGAAATGTTAGAATTTTATGATATAAAAGTTGTTTAAACTAAGAGTTGTACACATTTCTTAAATGTCTAAAAATGAATTAATTGCTATTCACCACATTCTTACCTTGATATACATTCATTAATGAGATATCCAATACCAATGCTTTTCTCTTTAAAAACTTAAATATTTTTAATTGTGATATGTGTACAATTTGACTTGCTTCAGTAACAATGGAGGAAAGTTTTAGCTCCATTAATGGAAGGTAACTCAAAATTACATATACAGTCCCTTTGAAAAAGATTACCTTGAGATGATATCAAATTTGGGTCCAGCTACTCCAGGCAACCAGAGATCAGAAGGAGTCTCGTATAGATCCTCAACAGCTGAAACAAAATAACCAGTTATAACCAGTGTTGTGCATTAAGTTATATAACCAGTTATAACCAGTGATGTGCATTAGTTTATATAAACAGTTATAACCATCAGTGATGTGCATTAGTTTATATAACCAGTTATAACCAGTGATGTGCATTAGTTTATATAACCAGTGATAACCAGTGATGTGCATTAAGTTATATAACCAGTTATAACCAGTGATGTGCATTAAGTTATATAACCAGTTATAACCAGTGATGTGCATTAAGTTATATAACCAGTAATAACCAGTGATGTGCATTAAGTTATATAACCAGTTATAACCAGTGATGTGCATTAAGTTATATAACCAGTTGATATTACCAGTGATGTGCATTAAGTTATATAACCAGTTATAACCAGTGATGTGCATTAAGTTATATAACCAGTTATAACCAGTGATGTGCATTGGTTCGTTTTTGGTTGGTTTATTGCCTATGTTTTCTTTCAATAATCCCAAAACGGACGTGTTCTGACGATAGTTTTTCATTTTTATTTTATTAAATGTAAATATTGTAACGTTTAATATGTAATAAAAGCAAACAGTAGCATAATACAGTTTTCAAATCTTGGATGTTTATTTGCAATGTTTAAGAGATCACTATTTGTTCAGTGTTTAAAGGGACTGTAATTTCAAGCGATCCTCCATGCAAAGATGGCAATTTCTGATTCACAACGGCGGTACCCTGAAAATCTTTTTTTGATCAAGTATGATTTAGATATCAACGTTTTTAATTTTAAAACTGATTATTTTCACGGAAGGTAAATGGGGACGTGGAATGAGACGACCAGGGGCGTATTCATGAATTTGTCCAGGGGGGGGGGGCTGACATTTTTTGTTTCCAGGGGGGCTCAGCACCCATTGGGACATAGATATCACTGGTCCAAGGGGGGTTAAGCCCCAAAAGCACCCCCTGAATACGCCTTTGAGAGGACCGGAAATAGGAAAAGCTGAGCTGAAACCCACTGAATTCTATTTGATTAAGTTTTCTCCTTGGCTAATCTTTATGTCAACAAAACATTCAGCTAAGAAAACATCCTAAACTTCTTGATCAATATAAAACATAAATCTATTTTTCAATTATTCAATTTTTCTCTTTCTTTAGTACAGCTAAAGACAAAACTTATAAGCGTATAGTAAAACCGTAGCACAGTGAAATCTAGCAGTCCCTAGCACGCGTAAAACAGTGTAATCTTGCAGTCCCTAGCACACGTAAAACAGTGTAATCTAGCAGTCGCAGTCCCTAGCACGCATAAAACAGTGTAATTTAGCAGGTCCTTGCACGTAGAACAGTGTAATCTAGCAGGCCCCTGCACGTAGAACAGTGTAATCTAGCAGGTCCTTGCACGTAAAACAATGTAATCTAGCAGGTACGTAATTGCATGTAGAACAGTGTAATCTAGCAGGTCCTTGCACGTAGAACAGTGTAATCTAGCAGATCCTTGCACGTAAAACAATGTAATCTAGCAGGTCCTTGCACGTAGAACAGTGTAATCTAGCAGGTCCTTGAACGTAGAACAGTGTAATCTAGCAGGTCATTGCACGTAGAACAGTGTAATCTAGCAGGCCCCTGCACGTAGAACAGTGTAATCTAGCAGGTCCTTGCATGTAGAACACTGTAATCTAGCAGGTCCTTGCACGTAGAACAGTGTATTCTAGCAGGTCATTGCACGTAGAACAGTGTAATCTAGCAGGTCCTTGCACGTAGAACAGTCTAATCTAGCAGTCCCTAGCACGCGTAGAACAGTGTAATCTAGCAGGTCCTAGCACGTAGAACAGTGTAATCTAGTAGTCCCTAGCACGTAGAACAGTGTAATCTAGTAGGTCCTTGCACGTAAAACAATATAACCTATACAGGTCCTTGCACATAGATCAGTGTAATCTAGCAGGTCCTTGCACGTAGAACAGTGTAATCTAGCAGTCCCCAGTACGTAGAACAGTGTAATCTAGCAGGTCCTTGCACGTAGAACAGTGTAATCTAACTGGTCCTTGCACGTAGAACAGTGTAATCTAGCAGTCCCTAGCACACGTAAAACAGTGTAATCTAGTAGTCCCTAGCACGTAGAACAGTGTAATCTAGCAGGTCCTTGCACGTTGAACAGTGTAATCTAGCAGTCCCTAGTACATAGAACAGTGTAATCTAGCAGGTCCTTGAACGTTGAAAAGTGTAATCTAGCAGTCCCTAGCACGAGAACAGTGTAATCTAGCAGTCCCTTGTTATCTTAAATCCCTGGATCAAGGAAAGAGCAGAGTAATTAGTTGAACTGACAGATTACTTGTAAACCCACGGTTGTAGAACTGAAAGGCTGATTGTCAGAATTCTTCCAACCATTCCTTTCATTTCTTTAAATTATATTTTCTAAATAAAGGGATTGCTTTCTTCTAACTATGGAATACAATTCCTTCCATTGCTTTAACTTACATTTTCTAAATAAAGGGATTGCTTTCTTCCAACTGTAGAATACAATTCCTTCCCTTTCCGCGTTAAATAAAGGACGACTTTGAAATAATTTGCGGCATTTAGTCGTCAACCTGTTACTAAAAGCAAATAAAGCAAAATATTCTACTAAATAAGTTCTGAATTTCTGAAAAATAAATGGTTTTTGTGGAAAACAGGTTTTTATTGTTTCTAATAAGAGCCCTAGCTCTAAGTACTAATTTGCTCAATTGCTTTGCGAAGTATGTTAAGAATGGACTCCCCAATAAACAACGGAATTGCAAAAGAGAGTTGTAGGAATAACTAAGGAAGGGTAGTTAGGTGCGGAGATGAGTGAAAAAATTAATATATTACCTAGTTGTAAACACTGATTAAAGATGGCGGGTGGAAAAGGGAAATGAGATTCTCTGCAGCAGGGTCTATGATCCTCCTGCACACAAAGGAAAAACATATTTTAAAAAGTATGTTTGTAACTTTTTAATCCATTTCCATATTTAAAAAAGAATGTTTTACAAAGGTGTACCCTGTCGTCTGCAAAAAATATTAAAAAAAATGTTTAAATAAAAATCAAAACAGTCCACTAGAGAAAAGGAGAGTATTTCTTGTCTGTGCAGTGAACTAACAATACAAGAAATAGAAGATTGAATCAAACAAGGTTATAATGCAAGGAAAGTTATTTCAGAGGTGTAATGTAAACGCAAGACGGATGTCACAGCCTGACATGGGATCCATCTTTCACAAAAAAATCAATAAAATATTCTGGTCAAAGGAAACTATTAGGTAAATTATCAAAATTAAATGCTTGGATTAAAGCGGGTACTAAAGCGGGTACTAAAGCGGGTACTAAACAAACACTGAAGCATCTATTCCTGTTTACAAATCCCGCCCAGAGAGAACTGGTTTCAATATGTACGCAGAGTATACGCAACTGCAATTAACTTTCCCTGCATTATAACCTTGGAATAAAATATCTCTATACACTGTTCGCTGTACAGTATACTGAACACACTATACAGTGTACAGTACGCTGTATACACGTTGTACACTGTACAGTGCAGTGTATACACTGTACACTGTACGCTGTACAGAAGTCTCAGCGTTTTATAGTTTAACCTTAATTACCTTTGAAAGATCATTATGACAGGGTCTGGACATCCAATCCTAAAAGTTAAAAGTTTAAAGAGACTGTTAATGTAATTCTAGTGATCCTACATTTAGATTATTGCTACAAGCCTAATTCACAACGATACTCTTTACACCTTTTGATGAATAACAATGAGAAACACATCTTCGTTTTTTGAAAAGATTAATTCTGTCAATTTCCTTCTTCGTCTGTGCTGCACAAATCTGAAGTAACTTAAAAGAGTGAGAGAAACCGTTGTTGTGAATTATCAATTTTCAAATAGAACACAAGGAATATCAATTATTTATACTCGGAGTTAGGTTTTAAGGATATCGCTGTAATCGGACATCTAACTCTGTAAACAGAGGTTTACTTGAAATTATTTGAGATTATTTTAGAACAATTCATTATTAAATTCTTTATTTAGTTTCTTGTTTAATGTGTAAAATGTATTAGATTGAAAATACAAGGTGCATTACTGACACAGTATTTAATCTGTAAGAACTAGATAAAATATCTTCAAAGTTTTAAACTTTTTAATAAAACCTAGGAAGGTTAGAACTGTGTTTAAATATTTGAAGGAAATAAATTTGAATATTTATTCTCACATTCAACCTGAATCTAGCCAGCTCAACATTCATATATCTGGAAAATTGTACAAAAACTTTAATATGAGTTTACAACTTTTATCAGATGATATATGGTAAGTTGGCATTGTTGCTAAATCTATGAAAGGAACTGTCGATGTATTATCACGTGATCAACTATTAAAAAAGGGGTCTGCACTTTTCACAAAAGTAAACTTCGAACCTTTAACTGATACATAATGTGGAAGATATAGTTTTCTAGAATGAGTAATACTAAAATTGTTTCCAATCCAGTCTTGATCATGCAACGTTTTTAAGGGTACCGTTGTGAATCAAACATACCAATAATTTAGATTACTAACCCTGAAAGTTTGAACGAAGCAGTTGGATAGTTGAAGCCGGCCAGTAACAAGCTTGTAAAATGGCTGCCGTTTAAGCTCCTAGAATATTATTCTAGTATTAATGAAAAATTAAATATATATAATTTATCCTTTCTTGGTTTGTCTGTAATAATGTCTCCTTGTTTGTTTCCGTAAACATAGTAAATACAAAACGCCCAAAAACAATCCAAAAAAAATCATTACACCCAAAAACAAGAAGCCCTATAGTTTACATATCATAACATCCAAATACTGAATACCCAAATTATAAAACATCGTAGATAGTATAAAGCCCATCATTTTCAATGCAACAATTAAAAATGTCCAAAGTTACTGATTTCAAATATTGTAACATTAAGCGTTTTAAAATCTTAGAAATTTGTTGTGGGATAAATATTTTTTGAATTTTTGTATCCACTCCAAATTTGAAGGCTATAAAGCTATAAATATAACTATAAAGGGGGCGCGAAGCTTCCTGAGCACCTAGTATACACTATAATTATATAATTGCCTGGCAGAACTTGAACATCCAAGATTGTGCTTCTTTTGTCGAGATATCAAAACTGCTATCCAACCTCATCATTCCTTAAACAATTACAATATTTATATTTTAAATAATTCACATTTATAATAAATACAATCATTATTAATACAATATTTGTTAGATTTAGCATTTAAATCTTTTAATTGTTTGCACTAAAATAAACACAGAAGACCAAAGGAACGAAACACATGTCTCAAACTCTAATAATTGCAACCTGATCTTGTAGTTATAATAAATTTCTAAATATGAGTTCCGTTTGATTAAAATGTCAAAAATGGAAAAAGCCAAAGTGTAGGAATTACAAAATTGTTCATATTCTTCAAAAGGAACCAGAAAGGATGGTTAGATTGACAGCTACGTGATTTATGCAGTTAATTATGCAAAAACAAAGAGCATTACTTTTAATAATTAAATAAACGCCTTGTTTCTCAAATATATCCAGAAAAAAAATATTTTAATGATATTACAAAATTTCTAAAGCAGAGACGCAGGTTCCTAACGGGGGATAATAAACATATATATTATGGTTTTATCTTATCTTAGACAAATTAAATCAGAGTTTTAAGGAACGCTCTACTAGCCACATTTTAAAATCAAAGTAAACTTACTAAATTAAGATTAGATATGAATTTGCAGCTTCTTATAGACATTTGCTCTTTTTGAATTTATTTTAAATTTTTAACCTTGATATTGCAATTTTTTTTGACATGCATAAATCTACAAAACCCCCTGGAAACCTATCCCATAACTTCACCTTGAAATGTTACGATAGTATAAATAAAGTGTTCAGGATTATATTTTTTTCAGGATGGACAAGAAACTAAGGGTAAGAACGGGCCGTTTGACTCGACGCTAACTGCTCACTTTTTGGGTCCAAATATTAGAAAAATAAATTCAAAAACAGGTTTTTATTCTTGTTCCTGGTCGAACGATCTAGTAGGTTTAATTTTAATGAAATTAAAGTACAGGGTGTCCCAATAAACATGGGAATTCAGTAAGACGAATTCGATATCGTCTTTTCAAATAATTCTTAGATTTAGTATAGTGATACCTACTAAGAAAGTTGTAATCTGTAAGAGTTTCGTCTGCTACAGGGTGTCCCACGAAACATGACAGTTGGTGAATAGTTTAAAACCTCTTTTTCCATTATTTGTTCAGTTGTTTGATACCAAAGATCAATGAAAATATTATATGGGAGTCATGTTACATTAAAATTGATAAGTAAAATATAATTAAGCTAAAGATTTCTTTAACTAAAAATAACTATTTATTAAATGTCATGTTTCGTGGGACACCCTGTATGTTCACATTTTGTTTGTTTATGTTTTGACTGCATACGGTTGTACTTAGTAAAACAAGAAAATTGGAGTATATACAAACAGAATAAACTTGTCCGTCTTCACTGTATATCTTGCGGAGAATTATAGACACATCTTTACAGTCTTTTACCCTTTTCATAAAATAAATTCTAGCAGATATAATAATAATATTATGGCTGTTGAAATTAGGTATTACAATGCTAATTCATAATAAAGACGATATCGAATTCGCCACTGAATTCCCATGTTTTTTTGGGACACCCTGTATTATGTTGTATACAATATAAATAATAATACATATAAAATAAAATACGTAGTTTGGACAACAATATTTCAGCCAAAAAAGTAAAATAATTACCTCTATCCCCTGGGTTCAAATGGTTTCCATTATCTACATCTTGAACCCCCCAGACAAATCTAACATATTAATCTCAAAATATCAGAATTTAGTTTTGTAAAAACTGAAACAAGTTTAAACTTATTCATCCCAATATTCATTGAATGCAGGATAAAGTTCTATGGATAATTTACGGGGAAATATATTTAGCCTTTAACTCTATGCTAGAATATGTAGTAAAATAAATAAGATCTCTTGGCCGGGGGGAGCAATGACATAAATATCCAACCCTCCCTCGCACAACATAGAAATAATTTTATTGTAGAAGTTAATTGGAAAGAACCAATTAGCCAATTCCAGTTTGGAGAAGGAAAATAAAAATAAAATGATAGAAAATGTTTAAAATTATCCCTACATGGGGCCTCAAGCTTATAATTTATATAAAAATAAAGTTTGGAGCTTTAGGGAAAAGTTTTCTATAAACAACTCTACACAATAAAACAAATGGTGAACTAAACACTTTAAATCAAGTTTAGGTTTCCAGAGCAGAATCTAGATATTCATTCAACCGTCGTTGGAAGCAGTGTCCAGATCCGGATCCATTGGAACCGGAACATGTTTGCCAACTAACAACAATGAAACAGAAAAAAACAGTTTGTTCTCAACTGATCAGAATTATTTTAAAACGATGGCAAAAGAAGTTATGGCATAAACTTCAAACGTCTGAAAATAGGCAAAAAAGTTCAAATTTTTCTTTTTTTTAAATAGAAAAACTTAATATGAATGTGCATTTGGTTCCGGAACTATTGTTTCCGGACCGGAACCAGGATCCGCATCCGCATCAATATGTGGATCCCAATCAATAATTAGGAAGCTTCATTTAATAAAAGAATTTCAAAGTACATTTCGTTAGCTGAAAATTGAAAACATCCAATTTCAAAGTACATTTCGTTAGCTGAAAATTGATAACTTCCATTTTCAAAGTACATTTCGTTAGCTGGAAATTGATAACTTCCAATTTTTAAAGTACATTTCGTTAGCTGAAATTGATAACTTTCAATTTCAAAGTACATTTCGTTAACTAAAAATTGATAACTTCCAATTGTAGCTTCTTTATAAAAGAGACTTGCAGTCTATGGCAAAAGAAGAATGCAGACTTGCAGTCTGTGGCAGAAGTAGAATGCAGACTTGCAGTCTATGGCAGAAGTAGAATGCAGACTTGCAGTCTATGGCAGAAGTAGAATGCAGACTTGCAGTCTATGGCAGAAGAAGAATACAGACTTGCAGTCTATGGCAGAAGAAGAACACAGACTTGCAGTTTATGGCAGAAGAAGAATACAGACTTGCAGTCTATGGCAGAAGAAGAGTCTATGGCAGAAGAAGAACACAGACTTGCAGTCTATGGCAGAAAAAGAATACAGACTTGCAGTCTATAGCAGAAGAAGAATACAATTGTTAGAAAAGCGACCTTAACTTTCACATTGTTGCTTGTCAGGGTCATTTGAAATTACGCTAACAGTCCCTTTAATAATTTAAAAAGCTGATAAATTCTGTTGTTTTAGTGTTATCAGTTAATTAATGTTTGCCGAAGCTAATCCTTTTAATGGAAATCTAAATTTAATCCCCAATCCCTCAATCCCTACTCTTTCTATACTTCACATGTGAAACCATGCGGATTAATTTAAAGGCTGATGTGCATACTCTGATGCAAAACCTGTAACAAACTTATTTCCTGTTTTTAAACTTAATAAAATACTTCTTTCAACATCAAAGGAAACAAAATATTTTCATTTAACTCAGAGATATACAATTCAGAATAGTTTTGATGAATTTAATCTTTCAGCATATTGTTTCTTGTTTTACTGTTTGCCAGGTCAAATTGTTTATCATTTCTCTGTTTGTCTGGTCAAAATGTTTATTATTTCGCTGTTTTTCAGGTCAAAATGTTCATTATTTCGCTGTTTGTCAGGTCAAAATGTTCATTATTTCGCTGTTTTTCAGTTCAAAATGGTTCTTATTTTGCTATTTGTAAGGTCCAAATGTTCCTTGATTTGCTGTTTGTCAGGTCAATATGTTCCTTGTTTTGCTGTTTTTCAGGTTAAAATGTTCCTTGTTTTGCTGTTTATCTGCTCAAAAATTGATATATAAAATGTTGAGACTAATGTTCCTTAGGGGCATGTTTACATTAAACTGTTTCTGGTAGCTCTTCTCAAAGTCAAACATATTCCTAAATAAATAAATAAATAAATAAATAAGTGCGAAGATAACAATTTTTACTTTTTTGTGTTGTTGAAAGAAAATAAAAAGAACAGTGAAGAGACGACAGTACAAAATGCATTTATCCAAGTTGTTAAATCCAAAATGTAAAGTTTTCTAATCAGCTCTTCCCAAATGTCCGTGCTGCTTTGTACAATAGCATATCCTAACCGCATGTGCACAGTTCAGAATATTTCTAAATCTAGAAAACGACTTTACGAAACTTAATCTGTCTGTTTCCTTATATTCATGATTCCCTTCAACTATAAAGTTGTCACTTTCGTTGCCCAATCAATAAAAATGCCATTTAAGAAACACTTTATATTTAAGGCAGAATACTTAATTCGAATTTGGAATTGTCATATTTTATGAGTTTTAGGTCGTCTTTACAGTCTCTAGTTTTGTGCCTAACCCTGTATAAGAAGAGTTAAACTTTTGAATGAATAAAAGGCTGCAACATATTTTGCAGACTTGGAAAGTTAAAAATTGTCTTTGGTCAATATAATACCTAACTCTAAAGTTGGAATTAATGAATAGCAAAATGAAGTGAATCTAGGTACAAATATTTAAACTACTCTTTAGTACGACAGAGAAATAATTTAACTAGCTATACCTAGTTCAACTACTTTACTTTATTCATTAATTCCTACCTCGTGTAGAATAAACTTGCCTGAACTTGAAGTCATATATCTCGAAGGGGTGTGTGGAGGTGAAGAGCTGCAGCTGGTCGGAGGCAGGTAGACGTAGGCCGGGCAGGTAGAACAATACAATACTGCTCAATACAACCATACTTCCTGCACAAATCACAGGTAAAAGAGTACACAGTGTCCGAATTTAATGAATTTGAGCCGCGTCTTAAATCCGCCAAAAACCGGTTTTAATTGACCGCTGGCTTAAATCTTGAATAAAATAATACAAATTTAAGTGGAACCAACCATATTTGAGCCGCGGCTTAAATTTAAACCGCGGCTCAAATTCTTTAAATTCGGCCTCAGAACTGTTAGACGCGGAATCTGCTGCTGTGTAAAACTGGAGTACTAATTAGTAGACATCTATCTGCAGGGATAGTCAAGGCTTTATGTAATACAATATTGAAAACTTTATAAATAGTTAAAATTCAAGAAATTCAATGTTTAAAGAATTGATTAACAACCATTCTTCCATTTTTAAAATAGCCCCCTTTTCCTATTTTAAATATTTCGCAAAAAATTTCGGAAAATTCGAAAATTGATTAAGTTATGAGGTTTCCTTATTGTTTCAGAGAAAGGAATTGAGTCTTTGCCACAGACTCTGATATTCTACTCCCTATAGCTTTGAAACACAATGTCGTAGACATTTCAAACTATGAATTATGTAAGTTCAAATAACATATGTCTATAAATATCAAAGGTTTACACCCTCAGGTTGCAAAGATTTAGTAATTATAAAATTTTCTTTTATGACAAAGATTCCGTTCCTTTAGTTTCAAGTTTCCAATCAAAAATGGATAAAATTTGCATTTAATATTTAAATAAAATAATGTTAAGGTAAAGCAAATATTTTTTTTTTGAAATTTAATAAAATTGTGAATTTTTGAATTGAAGAATTGTACACCTATTAAAATTGTGAATATTTGAATATTTGAATTGTAGAATTGTAGAATTGTTGAATTGTAGAATCTAGAGAACTAGAGAACTACACCTATTAAAATTGTGAATATTTGAATATTTGAATTGTAGAATTGTAGAATTGTTGAATTGTAGAATTGTACACCTACCTAGCAGAATAATCCATAGTATTTTAGGCCGGATCACAACACATGGCAGAACAGTATCGTAAAACTTATTCACAAAGCCTACCAAAACAAGAACAGTAAATATTAGATAGATGTAGATAAAATAATGTATATGTAAATCCGTCTTATGTATATTTTTAAATACATTTTAAAATTTAAAAATCTGTAAAATTTGACATATTGATGTTAAATGCAAAGAGAATAGACGGTTATATAGCACAAATATGTGAAGTACACCTGCAGTATGGAAACAATACAACAAAATGGCTGTTTTACACTTTTTTCTAGTAAATTCCCCTCTAATATATATTCTATTCTCTTTGTTTATATAGCACAAATATGTGAAGTACACCTGCAGTATGGATACAGTACAACAAAATGGCCGTTTTCAACTTTTTTTGAGTAAATTCCACTCAAATATATTCTCTTTGGTAATATGACTTAGCTCAACGATTTATGAAAACTGTCCGATTCCGACCCTTTTTCAATCCTCCTAATTATTCATGAGGCTGTCGAAGATTTTTCAAAGGCTAGATTGAGTAGAAAATCCCACACTTCCTCAGGGAATAGATTTCTAAACCTCGGTCTGAATTTCAGATCAAACATTATTCTGAATATGGTCAAACAATTTGGGTGTCTCATGAGCATTCAACCTTATACAAACATGAAACAAGTTGATAATCTAGAGAAAATAAGATATTTCCGGAGAGTAGATTATTCGGCATGTTTCAGTTCACCTTTGTTGTCATTTTTTTATTTCCGGGGGTGTTAGCTTTCTTATTTTGGATGGATAAAACAATTGAATGTGTGTTTAGATGAAAAGAAGTATGGGGAAATGTGTACGGGGGGGGGGAGGACTCTATTTGCTGCATTAGCTGAGTCCACTATGGATTCATGGGGGAATAAAATGCAATCATGGTAACCACAGATTTCCCCAGTCACACATTCTCTTTAATGTACAGTGTACAGTGTACAGTGTATACCAAAGTAAACAATTCAGGAAAAGGTATGAATTAACAATTGAAGATAAAACAACTGAAAGGAGAGGTTAGAAAAATCTGGTCACTGACAAACACAAAGTGATCTGCAGTTAGGGATGAGCTTTCAGTTGGATCGTTTTTAGCCTTTATTTTCTTTCAAGATCAAAATTTGGCATAATGTAAGTCTAAGAAATGTTTTCTGCATTTGCTATTCTAATAATTTGCCTTTCATTGGCCTTGGCAGAAAATTAATGCAAAAAACGGCCCAAAACCGATGAAAAAACTATGAAAAAAACGATAAAAAAAAACAATGAAAAAACGATGAACAAACGATGAAAAAACGATGAACAAACGAACATGTTGTAACAATCGTTTATGGATCATTTTCCAATTTTTATCTTTTTAGGATAAAGATGTTGTAAAGTTTAATAAAAGCAAACCTAAAAATAATTAAATTTTGAAAACGATCAATCCAAAACGATTAACAACACATTCTGCAGTACATTGACTAAAAAAAAGCGGTACAAGTAAGAAGAGAAGGGAGGAGGGGGTGAAATATGGAGGGTGTTTCAGCAGACATTAATTACAGATCATTCCTTTAAAATCTTAACCGGCTTCAGTTTGCAAAAACATCACAATTTTTGCGTTTGGAAATATAAAAATACAATTTTTTAAAATATAAGACTGGGTTTATCAATGGCCATTTTCTTAATTTCCTTGAAATTTTATAACAACAAGATCTGAATCCTTTTCTTAAACTCCCTTTCAGAAACCCTATTATAATAATTTGCAAGTTAAAATATATATTTAAAGTTAATCCTTGATTAAATATCTAAATCTGTTTAATCTAACACTGTAGTTTCCTCTCCTACAAATGTTAACAATTTAAGTTTTAAGTTCAGTTGTTTAGAACAGATATTTGAAAGTTTTATCATTAAATATACCCAAGTGGTAATCTCCAAGAAAGTTCTCTAAAAAATGTTTTCAGAAATAAAGTCATAAAATTTGAAAAATTAAAAAATGGACTACCATTCTGAGACTTTCCTTTATCTGGCTAAAAATGCACCCAATAATAATATGGGGCTAAAAAAGGGCTTCAAAGGATTTAATAATCTCTAATTCTTTAATTTAAATACTATTTAAAGGAAGAACTTTATTTCAAGTAACATTTTGTCTAAAAAAATTCAAAAAATTTGGAACTTATTTACCCAGGTTTGTAGTGTTTTTCCCTTGATTTTTCCCCTGGTTTGTCTTATATTGATTTATCCAAATGTGAGGTAGCAAATCGTTAAAAGTACAACATTAAATTTTCAAAATGATTATAAAATTTTAACATTGATATTACTGCTTTCAGATGAAAAAGATATTTTTTTTTTTGAGACATAAATAATCGTTTTGCACTTTTTGCTTTATGGTACACTGTATCCTTTTAAGAAAAAATGTTAAACATTAAAAACATGCTAAAAAAATGTTGCAAATTCATTTACAGAACAAATGCTTAAATATGAAAAATGGCGGTCTCAATTTATCTAGATATATTTGGCTTTACTGTATGTTTGTTGGTTGGTAGTTTGCTTGGTAGTTTGTACAAAATGAAAGTCAAAACGGCTGAACCGAACAAGCCCACCATTTTTGTGCGGTTGCCTTCAAATTTTTTTTTGCAAAAGCAAAAATTTTCCAAATCTAAAATTTTTATTATTTTCCAATTTGTCCAACAAACATAAAGAAGGAGATGGGGGAAGAGGGGGTTACATTTATTTTGTAATTTGTTCCCTTCCTTCCTACCTTGACTCTTATTGTAGCAAGCTAGAACACTTTGGCTGAATGATTTGAGTGCAGGAGGTAGGGTAGTTTCAGGTAAAATCTAGAAAAGAACATTTAAACTTCCAGTATTATCTTTACTTAGTAGTTTCTCCTTAGTATAAAACATTTTAGCATTAAAGGGAATGACCGGCAATGTATGGTAGTTGAACTGAGAATGCAGTTTTGTAACGAAATTCATTTGAGGCCTATCAGAAGTTTTTAAGGCGCATATTTGTTCCGCAAGAGTGCAAATTTAATTTTTTAAATCCTTCTTCATTGTCCATTCTGGAGAGATGATTTTGAGAATCAGCTTTTTTTAAATTATTCAATAACCACCAAGAAAATTGTAACAAAAATTCGAAAGTATGGATGTTTCAGACATATGTCTCTAAAGAAATTTGTCAATAAATCAATGTTAGAACCAATGAGCCTCGTAAAATAAATGTTCACTATGGTTTATAAGGTTACCCAATACCCATGGTCAAGTTTTTATGATAACGGCGCAACACAAAACGTTGGGGTACATGACTTTTAATCCATCTTGAGCAAACAAAAATAATTGAAAGACTTGAAAAATGAATAGATTTATTGATATATCGTTTTACTTGTATGCGTGAGCTTGTGCCCATATCCCTTAACTAAAATAAATTATTAAAGTTAAAAAATGTTAGAATCAACTATTTCCTTTTCATCCTTTCATTGAATTTCTTATTCTTCGCAGATTACTTCAAATTATTCAAATGTCATCTTTTCGATAAAAATTGCATGAATCTAAAGAAAACTAAAAACTGAATAAGTTTAGTTATTTACATGATAAAGAATTAATTTTTATTTCCTCAATCTGTTCCTTAACAATTTATTAGTTTACTATCGAATTTATTACATTTTTCGCTATCGTCATTGAATAATTTTTAAAAAACCGATTCTCAAAATCATTTCTCCAAAATGGATAATCTATGAGGATTTTAAAGGTTGAATTTGCGCTCTTGCTGAACAAATATGCCCCGTAAAAACGTCTGATAGGTCTCAAATGAATCCTTAAAAAAATACTTTACAATATTACATTCTCAGTTCAGCAACCATACATTGCCGGTCACTCCCTTTAAAGGGACCGTCAACGTAATTCCCAACGACCTGACATTTAAAGAGTTATAAACTCAATTCACAACGGTACTTATGTCTGTTCAAAAATGATTGCATTAAATATAAGGAAAAAAATTTACAAAATCTATCCTTTTTCAAAATGAAAAACTAAGATATCTTCCTAATTACAGCGCAAATAAAGATTTAAAGGGTACCGTTGTAAATTAGGTATGTAACTTGTTAATGAAGAGTCACATGAAATTACGTGAACAGTTTCTTTAATTTACTGAAATTTTTTGTACTTCGAACATGGATTTGTTGCTTACTTGCCAAAAATGCAGTCTTATTAATTATCTAATATATAAACGTATTAATGCTACATTCAGGGGGGCCAAAACTTTTTTGAAAAATCCGTACAAAATCCGTACATTTTCAGAAAAAAATCCGAACAATCCGTACATTTTCAGAAAAAAATCCGTACAATCCGTACAATTTTCGAAAAAAAATCTGTACAATCCGTACAATTTTTGAAAAATAAAACCGTCCAATCCGTACATTTTTTTAAAATCCGTACAATCAGTACAATTTTCGAAAAAAATCCCTTAACTAGAAAACTAGAGAACTAGAGAACTAGAGAACTAGAGAACAAAAGAACTAGAGAACCAGAGAACCAGAGAGCTAGAGAGCTAGAGAGCTAGAAGACTAGAGAACTAGATAATAGAGAACTAGAGAACTAGAGAACCAAAGAACAAGAGAACCAGAGAACAAGAGAACCAGAGAACCAGAGAACCAGAGAACTAGAGAACCAGAGAACCAGAGAACCAGAGAACTAGAGAACCAGAGAACCAGAGAACAAGAGATAAGAGAACCAGAGAACCAGAGAACTAGAGAACTAGAGAACTAGATAATAGAGAACTAGAGAACCAGAGAACCAGAGAACCAGAGAACCAGAGAATCAGAGAACCAGAGAACTAGAGAACTAGAGAACTAGAGAACGAAAGAGCGTTGATTCTAATTTTTAAAACTGTTTTAGATCGGTGTGAATTAGGCCATTTAACAAACAAACGATTAAGTTATAAGAGTGGAGTGTAGATTTAGAATCTAATATAATTAAAATTAGCGTGGTACAGGGGTTGCACACTCAATTAAAAGACAGTTAATATTAAACTAAAAATTAAAAGATTTACAGATAAACGGAAGAAACCTGAGAAGATGTTCTCAGATCTGATAAAGAGACAGATTCTCAGATCTGATAAAGAGACAGATAGATAGATAGATAAACAGACAGACAGATAGATAGACACATACAATATAGATAAACAGAGAGACAGATAGGATATATAAACAGATAGATAAAAAGATGAATAAGCTGTCATGCAGATATATATACAGATGGATAGACAGATAGCTAGACAGATACCTAGACAGATAGCTAGACATATAGCTAGACATATAGCTAGACAGATAGCTAGACAGATAGCTAGACAGATAACTAGACAGATAGCTAGACAGATAGCTAGACAGATAGCTAGACAGATAACTAGACAGATAGCTTGACAGATAGCTAGACAGATAGCTAGAGGGATAGCTAGACAGATAGCTAGAGGGATAGCTAGACAGATAGCTAGACAGTTAGCTAGACAGTTAGCTAGACAGTTAGCTAAACAGATAGCTAGACAGATAGACAGATAGATAAACATATTCTCAAATGAACACTTCTGGGACATATCTCGAAAATTATTAATGAATTTTGGTTGTCAATTGAAACATTTATCTATCTAATATTATTTAGAATGCAGAAAATAAGTTAAACTAACTTCATTTGACGAGATTTTTTTTAAATTTTCATGAAAAATTTGCTGAAATGAGTGAAAATTAAAAAGAAACGGCGTATTTCCAGGATAAAAATCCGTACAATCCGTACAATTTGAAAAAAAATCCGTACAATCCGTACAATTTTAGGGTTACAAAAATAAAAATCCGTACAATCCGTACATTTTGGCCACCCTGTGCATTTATTGATTGAAAACCTAATGAATAAAAATAACTATGGTAATTAATGACTAGCTCATGGTTACCCAGGTTTGTCTGGAATTTCCCCTATATAAGTCAACACTCAATTTGGAATTTTAAACCAGGTTAAAAACATTTCCGTGGTAAAACAGAGCTTCCCGATCGAAATTAAAGAACAATTTGTCAAGGGGTTCATGAGTTATGATCGGACACACAAACAGACAGACAAACAAAGATTACTAGATTACATATGTGAATGAGAAAACAAGGCCAGCATATTCAAAATTACAAGTTAAAAACTATAGTTTATTTATATTTACCTGTAAATTCATAAGTTTATGATGAAGAACCATCCAAGCTGGAACCCAGGACAACATGAGTAACAAGTTTGCCAGGATAGTTAAACCAGCAAAAATACTAAATTAGAAATAATTTCCGTGATAGAACTAAGTTTTTGACACAAATTTAAATTTCTAATCTCTATTTTTTCCAACATGATGGTGTAAACCTTAAGTATAATTCAAACTTAGATTGTTTGATCTAAAAAGGTCTATAGTTTGGGTTGCAAAAACAGAGACTAGCAAACCAGAGTTTGTCTTTAAAGAAAACTGAAAAACTGATAGATATTAGTTGTCTGCATTCTTTCTTTAATTATGAAATCTCACAAATTATAAAATCTCACAAATTATGAAATCTTACAAATTATGAAATCTCACAAGAGATTTTTTAATTTAAAACTTTTATTAATGCATTTGTATCAGAGCACATTTCTAAATCCTACAACTCTAGATAAAAGAAAATACGAAGACGAGAGTGATTCAACTTTATTTTTGCTACCACTGTGGTTACTCAAAGTAACTCTTTGATTGGTTTAGTTTTGTTAATTGTAAAAGTTCTCGATATGAAATTAAATCCCTAAAAAATAATATGTTACCTAAAACACTTGATTGCAGTGATGTTGGATACAATGGATCCGAAGAATGCAGCTGCAGTAGTGATTGAGGTAACCAGCATACTTAGTGAAGCGTGGCATAGTGTGTAGTTTACTAGGTCTTCAAGTACATCAGGTTCATTCCCTTTCTAGAAACATAGGTAGGTAGGTAGGTAGGTAGGTAGTTAGGTAGGTAAGTAGATAGGTAGGTAAGTAGATAGGTAGGTAAGTAGGCAGGTAGGTAGGTAGGTAGGTAAGTAGATAGGTAGGTAAGTAGGTAGGTAGATAGGTAGGTAGATAGGTAGGTGGGTAGGTAGGTAGGTAGGTAGACAAGTAGGTAAGTAGGTAGGTAGGTAGGTAGGTAGGTAAGTAGGTAAGTAGGTAGGTAGGTAGGTAGGTACGTAGGTAGGTAGGTATATAGGTAGGTAGGTAGGTAGGTAGGTAGGTAGGTAGGTAGGTAGGTAGGTAGGTAGTAGGTTGAATCTAGGGGATTCGGATCCATATACAGGAAGTTGCGAATCCAGTCCAGATCCTAATTTGTCGACTAGAGATTTGTAAGACACCCGAAATAAAAGAATCCCCTGCTGGTAGATTTGTTGGTGTCTTAATTGACACCAATTCAGCGAGAAGAAGTTTGTTGCATCTAGATTCCAGGAGGAGGGGGGGTGGGGGGATATTTCTAATTTTTTCCTCTTCAGTTGAAGAAAGGAAATGGTTGTAATGTACATCATTACATGTATTATACAATAAAAAATATTCCAGTATTTACAAAAAAAAACATTTCTTTTATTGTTTGTTCTGTAAATTGGTTGTAAGATTTCTACACAGATGGAAAAGGTAAAATCTATGCGACATTACGTGTTCTTTGGTTCTATGGCATCATTCAGCAAGTCAAGAATTGTATAGAGATACCACAATTAAAAATCATTAAGTTTTGGACGTTTTACCTTAAAAGTCTGTTGGCTCTTGTTCCAAACTTTAGCAAGGATAAATGTGTCATCAGTTCCAACTCCTAGAGAATAGTTTTAAAAGATATTGCAAGAAATGTACGAGCAGGGTTTGCCTTGAAGTTTAATTGTCATTTAACTTTTTTCCTGGACAATTTAAACCCCCTCTAAACAACATAAACTTTTTAAAAAGCTTGAATACCTAAAGCAATTATAACAGCGAGTATATTCATGAAGGGGAAGAAGGAGAGGTTGAAGATGAAGGTGTAGATGAAGTACGCAATCACCAAGGAGAAGAGGATTGCAGAGAGGGAGGCCAGGGTGATCGTCAAGGAGCTCGTGAATACCCACACTAGGAAACCCAACAACCATTGGAGAATATATTAAGTCTATGTTTCAAAATAATATATTAATTTCTAATAAAATGCATAATGAATTAGATATCAATGTTTTCTTTAAAAATATATTTTTTTGAAATTACAACGACAAACGGCCCCTTTAAGATGCTGCTGTTTATAGTTTTAGTTTGTAAAGTTTGTTCTACTAATAGGAGGAGTTTAACCTAACTTCTGAATTATCGTAATCACCAATTGTCAACATTCATTTAAGGTAATGTATTTGAGAGTTGATATTCATGATGATAAACTTCTTGTGCAATATTTGAAAACACATAAGAATAAAGTCTTTGCCAAAAACTCTGATTTTTTAATCCTCATATCTTTGCAACCCAATGTCATTGACCTTTAGATATGATTATGACATCTTTTGTGTTTAAATATCAAAAGTTTACACCATCAGATTGAAAGATATAGGCATTAGAAAATTTGAGTTTGTGGCAAAGACTCAATTCCTTTGGTGAACAGTAAAAATGTAACAACGTTTTATTTTCACCGAATTAATTATATTGAGAACAGTCGTCGATAGTTGTCGATAGTACAGCTATCAGAGAATGGTTGATTTACATTTTTCTTTAATGGGGGTTGTAATACATGGTTGTAATACATGGTTTCAGTTGTAAGATTAACTCAATATCATTAAAGGATTCGTTTATATCTACACTTGAAAGTTCATGGTTTAGACATTTTAATGTTTCATTGCTTTGGTTTGATTGGTTTTAAATTTTAATTTGATTAAGTTTGATTTGGTTTGGTTCTGTTAAATTGGTTAGATTTTTTTTGCTTTATTTGGTTTGGTTAGTAATTTTCGTTTGGTTTGGTTTTGTTCCTGAGAAAAATATGAGTATTAGTGAGAGTAGAAGATAGTGGGCATCCTGGAGTAGATATTTGTTAAACAAAGCATCTTTCAAACCTAAAATAAGATTTTTATGAATTAAGTACCATGGATAGGAAATATTTTATTTTTGTATTAAAGGGAGTGTTCGTGAAAAGTGAAAGGGGGTATAGGCTTAGACGTCCAAAAATATTCGATGGTGATTGCTACTAATCTTACTACTATCTGTTAAGTCTATAAGGAACAAAATTGTTAAAAACGACTAATATCCAAGAACGTAGCGACCATACAAATTCAGAAAGCTGCACTATTCGACTCGGATCATAAACAAATCAATTTAATTAATCTTTTGCTGCTAATTAAGTGATTTTTTATATTTATTTATTTTGTGTACCACATCAGCCACTTTTTGTACCGGCAATGCCTTTATTAACAGACTAAAATTGTACTGTACAGAGCATTGTTTACCGAAATGATGTTGCCTACACACACTGAGCCTTACGTTGCTCTTGTTTGTTTATTAAGTAGACGAATAATTTAATGCAAGGGAGGTAACGACTAAAAAATCTCAATTAAAAATATATTTATTTGAAGAATCGTTGAAGTAAACTGAATGAATTGTGTAGACTGGATGGCAACCCATTAATCCTCCCTTCCTCCCAAGAGGTTGAAAACTTACTTGAGGACAAGTTTAAAATTTATTATCCATGTGTTTAAACCGGATACAATATTTAAGCTTGTATCACTTTATCTTAGAAACCTGATGTGTAAACCATTTAGCAGAATTCATACTTTTAAAATCAGCGGTCTACATCAGGTTGCAAAGATATAGATTTTAAAATGAACAAAATAAAAGTTGATACTGCTGTACTTTCTTTATCTACTTGAAATCCCTGTGCTCAGTTCGACAAGAGTAGGTATAGGTAAAGTATGATTTAGAACACTTGTCCAAATAACAAGAAAAAGCTCCGAAAGAAACTGAAATACAAAATAAATCCCTGCAGTAAAAAGAAAACAATAGCTCCTGCAAATATAAAGGAAAAACTCTTATTTAACCCGGGAAATAAATAAATCAAAGGAAAATCCCTGAGAAATACTATTAAACAGTATCAAAGAAAATAAAACCCTTCAACAGAAACTAAATAAAATCCTGTAATAACAGAAACTAAAAAACAATGCACTTTCTGTGCATCTAGCTGCAATATTGATGAACGAACAAAAATAGAAAAAAAATCCTACAAAGAAGTAACAAACAGTTTAGGGTTTCGGGTGGTTAAGCTGTCACCAAAAGGAACTGAAAAGAAATTGTAATGATTCTACTAAGATTTGGAGTCGTAACCCCCTCGCCCCCTTAACCCTATAAAGGCGTGAGTGCCTGAATCTATGTAAAGCCTGGGGAGCCTCCCCTTGAAAAAGGCCTTAAAGAATAGGTATAGGCTTGAAATGCATGTTCATAGCCCAATTATTCAAGGCCAGCTCATTAAAAGAGAAAATAGATCGTTAACTTTAATAGTTTGAATACTGAGGTCGGCTGAAAAATACCAAAAAAAGGGTCAAAAAATGTAAAAAATATTTTTTTTGTTTTAACAAAATCAAAGTTTGACACGTGTTTCTACGTCCATTTTTCAAGTACTTTTTAAAAATATAGTTTTTAGATTTGTAGCTTTAGTTACAAAAAAAGTTATGGACCTTTTTAGATTTTTTTAAACAGACCGGAAAAAATCTTTTACAAAAAATCCTTTAAATTTCTATTCATTAAAGGTACAAAATGTCACAGTGGTAGTGTAAAAAATGTGAGTGCTAGAACAAAAAATTAGAGGGGGGGCGTCAAACGTTCCCCCCCCCCTCCCAGCTAAACTCTGTTTAGGCTTCACCATTCACAGCCTCCACTAACGACATGGTCGATGAACATTTAAAATTGTGTGAGTTTTAGAAATTAAAAAGAAACTAAAATCAAATAAAGTAGAAACAGTGACGACCCAAACAAAAACGAAAACCATTAACAACTAAAACCTGACTCTGAGAAACCCCGGCAACAGAAAAGAAAACCTGCAATCACTAAGAGCTTAACAAAAGAGTTTTGGACTTTAATTAATTTCCAAAACTATTTAAACTATTAGAAACTTTATAAAAACTAGGAAACCACACCTCGGGCAATATATATTATCAATTGAAAGATGTGAATTCAGCTCATCAATTTTCTATAGAAGCTTTAAAATCTTAAAAATAGGATTTCAACTTACTTATAATAATTTTACCATTAACAATCAATATTTGTCATCCTATTATGATCTAAATTTTGCACAAGTTCAGCAAAATGAAATTGATTAGATTTTGAGGTTATTCAATTAAGAAATTTCCGAAAAATTGTCTAATTCAAATATTTATACAAGTTGGTCTTGAACAAGGAACTGAATCTGGATCAAATTGAACTGCAATCATAAGTTTTTCACTCAGGGATACGAACGTGAATTGGTATTTTCCTTAAACGTTAAATGTTAGCTAAGGAAGTTATTTGCTCACAGAAATCTTTATTTTGATGCAAAACTTTATTTTGACAACGTTTGTGGCTTATTCATAAACTTCCTTTATCGTATACTGTAACCACTACGGGTTTCATAAAGAAAAAGGCATTTCATCCATTTGAAAACAAATATACGAATCATAAACGTGACATAAAAGATAAAAAATAAAAAGTCAAGAAAGAATCCCTACATTACTAAGATTGATGTGAACTGCAGCTATACATTTAATCTACTAATGGACAGTTAAGACAAAAAAAATAAAAATCACAGCTTTCTCAAAGGAATTGATGTAATTAATTTTCAAATTCCTTCATCTTTACAACATAATGGTTTGAACCTTGATATTTATATATGAAATTAAGAGTTTGAATTTCTTTTAATTGCGAATTAAGAATTAAAATGAAAACTTTGAAACATCTGTTTTTAAATAATAGGGATAAAAGCCTCAATTTAACTTACCAAGATCCATGGCAACAATCTGTGTTCTTCCGTCAGAGATTTTAACTCCGTCTAAACCTCCATAGAACGGCATCATTGCAGAGCTGCGGGCAAGGGGAAGGAAGGATATTGCGTACTTTAGATTTCCCTGGACAACAATTTTTATCAAAATATTTATGGAGAAAAATTCACCTATTCTCTCAAAATGCGAAATATGACGGTTAATGTTTTGGTCGAATCTTTAAAAAAGCTTTTACATTTGATATTAAGCAATTTGTATAGAGGAGGGGGGGGGGGGGGTTAAAATGTAAAATGTATACAATAAACTCTTGGTATCAATACTCTTGTTTTTAAGTTTTCATTAAATTAACTAAATAAGGGTTAATCACTGTCTTAAATTTACAACCCTTTATCTGAATAAGTTTGAGGAAAATACCAATAAATACAATTTACAGATAAAAAAACAAGAATATCTCAATCATTTTTACTTAAGCATAGATTTAGCGGACCAATCGGGCTTTAGACTTCCTAATTGCCTAACATATAGATTCAACAAACTAAAAAATGTTTTATCAATTTTAAAAAGAGGGGCAACCTTGAAGTGTCGAACGCCTTGGGATTTTATTTTACCGCTCTAACTCATTTATGCTTTAATGTAGCCATTACCATTTTAGCACTATAAAGCGCATGTTTTTGGTTTAAGTTTTTAATTAGTAATTGACAAAAATCTCAACGATTTTCGCTTTAGAGCTTGCAACCTTAAAATCACAGTGATAATTGGAAGGTCTCTTGTGATAATATCCCCAGTCCGTTTACAGCAATAAAAATATTATTAAGTCCTCACTCTGCTGAATAAAATAAAGTATAAATATAATATAAATAATTTCCGGTTACTTCCCCATCAATTAGCTCAGTCTAGGGTATACTGGATAATATATTATGAATACACAGTAATATATTCAGGAAGTATATATCTGAAATACCAAGTCCCCGTTTTTATCGNGGGATACATAGGACAATTTTATTGCTTTGAATAAAGTACAGGAAAGAAATAAAATAAAAAGTCCTATAATGCTCAATGTATAGAGGATGTAATTCAGGTATATAGCTAAGAGGTGAACAAATGTTTTATCAAAAGAACATTTAAATACAGCTTAACAGGGGCAAATGGTTTTAGATGACCTGAGGGTGGGGGGTGGGGATGTAAAATTTCTTTTTAATACTTTTTACCCAAAATTTTATTGACTTTTAACAAAATTTACCAAATTATGTAAAACCCCTTAAAAAATGTTCAATGATTTGTCACGCTAAACATTGAATTTCTTTATCAGATTAACAGAATAGTGAAAATTGAATATTTGACTGGTAATACTTGCACATTACTATAGTTTTAGTTTTACTAAATATAAATCCGTCTCAGTAATAAACATTTTATGATTTTGCAATTTGATTATAAACAGTGAATACTGAACAGTAAACAGTGAACACTGAACAGTAAACAGTGAATACTGAACAGTAAACAGTGAATACTGAACAGTAAACAGTGAATACTGAACAGCGAACAGTGAATACTGAACAGTCAGTGAATACTGAACAATAAACAGTGAATACTAAACAGAAAACAGTGAAAACTGAAAAGAAAACATAACTAACCCCATTTGTTAGTCTTTGTGTTCCCATTCCAAAAAATTAGGATGTTTTGATTATTTTGGAAAAAGTGAACAAACCCTTTAAGCTGTCTTATGTTATGAAATATATAAAAAGTATAAACCTGTTCATCAGGAAAAGATTGATCTGTGAGGAAATGTAAGATTGTAAATATTGCATTGTGTTGTACACACTGTACTGGCACTCCCGTACAGTCGCTGTAATCATCCAAACAGCCAGCTGTTAATCGACCAGCCTACAGTATACCAATGTAAACAATAATGATAAAAATAATTTGTCCGTAAAATTTCAAAAAAACAATTTTACAATAATAATAATAATAATAATAATAATCATAATTACAATGATAATAATGACAGTAATTTAAAAACGATAAGAAAACTAAAATTTCTCATTTATGTTTTATTTCTTCATGAAGTTTTTAGTAATTAAGAATAGTAATTTTACACCATAGTTTCTTTAAACTTTAATATTTTACCTTTACAATATAAACATGATAACATGCATGTGTATTGTTTATAATATATAAAAAAAAAATAATGTGAAAAATTTAGAAGATTTGGATTAACCATGTTATTTTAAGTGGTTTAAATAATATATTAATATGTAAGTAGAGTATAGTAGGGATAATTTTTAAAAGAAAAACATTATAATATAATATCTTTTACGAAATAAATAATATTATAACATTCTTTAGTAACACTTTTTAATATTGGACACAGTAAAATTGAGAAATATAAAAAAATAAGAAAAGTGAGAATGAAATTATTAATAAAAAAGAGATTAGAATGAAGAGAAAAAATCTAAAATAAGTACGAATAACAGTTAAAATCTAAAACAAGTTAGAACACAAAAATAAAAGATGAAAAAAGTGTAAAAAGATGAAGTATAAAAAAGTTTTAAAATACGTGATAGAATATTTATAAATAAAATAGGATTAACTGGATCACAAATTTCTTTTAATCTATAGAAAAAGAGGAATAAAGAACTATTAAGAAAAACTCATTATTTTATGTCAAAATTATTCCATTCAATAAATGTGGAACTAACATCTACTTTTTATTCCATTCAATAAATGTGGAACTAACATCTACTTTTTTACTCTACAGAGGTTTGGTCCATCACCATCACTGAATTTTAAATTATTCCATAATTTTATAAAAAATTCAAAAATGACGTCATGAAAAATGTAAAATATGAGGAAGAAAAGAGCTGCGGGGTCAGACTCAGAACCAAGATAGTTTTAGATCATTGATTTATGGTTATTTTACAACTATGTAAAAAAAAATAAAAAGATAATTCTGCTTCTTAAAAGTTTTTATCTTAAAAATATAACAAACCTTATAATGGGGAAAGCATTGTTTTGCTAGCTGAAGAGTAAGATCTACGTCAGACTCCTAAAAAAACATCTGAGTAAGAAAACACGTTACAAGGATTATACAATACTGTTAGGTAACACCTTAAAAAGCATATATATATTGATTACGTGGGGGAAGTAATGTAATTTGATATTGTTTATGAATAAAGAAAAAACTAAGGGGTTTCCGTTTTTGTTTGACATTTTTTAACACTAGATTCTTTTTCACAATGAGTTATTGACAAAATTCAACAAATTTGAATACCTTTTTTACGAGAACCCATATGTTTGCTTTTATTTGTATTTTATAAAATGATGATCTAAGTTTGTCACATTATCGTACCAGGAATTCCTCCTTTTGTTTAGACTGAAGTGATAGGGATTTAAGTTTGTTTGCCATTTGAATATTTTCCAAAAAGGAAAAAGTTCTAAAAAATGAAGTATCCAGTGCCACTATCCAGCAAGATATTTGTATGTTAGGTTGAAATCCAACATCCCTTTCCGACTTCAAAGAAAACTAAATCTTTGAAATCAGATGGAGTTGACCTTTGATTTTCAAACCATTACTTTTTTGATCTGATAGAAATCATAACTATATCAATAGTCTACGACAAACAAATATAAAGATTATAAAAATAGATTCTGATGTGTCCCAGAATAATGACTCAAAGAAGTTCGTAGTAAGATTTCGATTCTACTGGAGACCACCGGAGGGATTTTATTTTCACTGGAGGGATTTCAAAAAATGCTTTATACAATTTAAAACTTTACGCAGGGTGATTTACATTCCACTGGAGGGATTCAGATGGCCTTCCTGGGGGGTTATAATTCCACTGGAGGGATTCAGATGGCCTTCCTGGGGGGTTATAATTCCACTGGAGGGATTCAGATATCCTTCCTGGGGGTTTATAATTCCACTGGAGGGATTCAGTTATCCT